ACATTTAGTTAAAATGGTGGTACATTTTAATTGTAGCGTTTGATACTACTAAAAAAAGTAATGTACGCCACTGTCTAACTTTGTAATTAGTATCTAGTTTGTATAGATGGCTATAATCTATTTATATAAACATTAAGTTGGTTCTTATTTTCACGATATCCGAATTTCAATTCTACCAACTTTGAACTTTCTAATCCGATCCTAATCATTCTCTGTAACGAGGAGAAGTTTTCTGTTTAAAATACATGCAATTTCCCTATTTTAACTTGATTATTGTATTACAAGGGTAAATAATTGACGAAAATAATTTAATTTTCATGAAATTGTCGAGGATCAGTGTTACTTTTAAGCATGAATTAATATATTATCTTATTTCGTGTTTTTGGGTAAAAAAAATGTTGACTTCTGCTTAGTACCGTATAGTTCAATAGTAACAAAGAATGAGGAACAAAATCCATATTTGATACAGATGCCCTTATTATTTTCAGCGATGTAGTAATGATAAAAACCAGATAACTGAACAAAAAATATTAAAATATTTCCTTGTTTATTAACAATAATTACTTTTAATAAGCTTAATATTATTAAAAATTAAAATTCAAGGCCTAAGTATTTAATTTGTTAATATTCAAACAGTTTTGCTTCCTCAATAAGGAAGCTACGGTTCTCTGGAAATTTGTTATTTGGGATAAGAGCACTGAACTTAATATATTTTAGCTAAACGAGTTCAATGGATAGGAGAAAGACTATATATTATTATATTATTATTTACTGTAATCGAAAATAGAACAACTTGGCAGTCGGTCCGTGGACGTCAGTGTATACTATATATGTTCGGCTGTCCAATTTCTATGTCCTTCGATAGTGACTATGTGGATTCTAATTTTTTCTTAAAATTTTATCAGTACGTTTTTCGGTTATCTAAATGGGCTGATTAAAATTTGGTGATGAATTTGGGTTTCATTTTGACGGAATTTTTTACTCTCGATATATTGAATGATGATAATATAATATATCTCATATTTAAACAGTTTATGTAGTCGACTAAGCTCGTCATATCACATATATTAAAAATTACGGTCTCTAACTCAATAGTTATAAACTACTCTTTTTGCTGTTATCAGTTGAACTTATCTTAACATTTTAGACCCCGGCAAAGTTTCAATTACATTATTCTCATTGCAGATCAAATTTCTACAATGAGGGTTGCCGGCACCCCTACCTCCTGTACCGCGATTTGACATAGAGTTCATAGACGCTTTAATATTAAATACAATGCTATACAATCTATGCAATGAAGTATGATGAGTATTATTTGATATTTCTATTTGCATGTTTGACTTGAGTAAAAAATCGCCCACAGACGACACAGTTTTATTATATATTTGTTTTGTTACTGTTGTAATAGATATCGGCACTACTTACGTTTGAATCTGTTAGGGGGGTTTCTTACTATTCCTAGTATGTAGGTAATACTAGATTTCAAGCCAGACTGTTTGGATGATTAAATAGACCCTATTGTGGGTAGCTACAACGAAGTTTTTAAATCAGTTTCGCGCGGCTCTTGAAACCAAACCCCAGATTTGTGAGCCGTAGATCCATAAGGGTTTTATTAGTAAGTAGGTAGTTTGTAGAGTGTAAGTTTGGTGTGTAGAGTAAGTTTTGACGTCGGACTTAAAATTATTTTGAGGATGCGTAGGCGTTTGTTAAAGTGAATTCATAAATATCTTACGTTAGAGGATGAGGGAATCATGTTGTTTAGGCATACAGAGGGGTTTTCTTATCTTTGGGTAAAGAGGTGACTGGTACCGATTTACTTTCGTTTATTTTTACTCTCCATTTTTATAGCAATTTTGAAGTTGGTCTAAGTGGAATTGTAGATTGTTGGAGGCTGTGTCTGCGTCTCTGTAAATAAAGCTGATGCGTACTTGACTACTGTTGTGTTTTGGGGAAATGCGCTGGTCAGTGCTTTGCCAAAAATAAATTAAAAAGTAGCGGAGCTGCAATAGCTCCTTGGTGTTGCGTGCTGAGGTTGATTGATGTTGAAATTATTTAAAATGAATAACTAAAGTCTATACGTAAAAGGCTACATTTGCCAAAAAATATTTTTCTAAAAGACCTCTTTCCCTTCCGAATTCTCTGCCATTATTATTTGCAATAGTAGGGTCTGCCTACGCCAGGCGTGACCAGCCCACAGTAATCTCCTACTCTGGATTGTATCTAATATGTTTGGTTTGTGAAAGAATTCCTTTAATTCTTTGTTTTTTCTTATTCTCCATTCGGCGGTTTTCTCGTCTTTCACCGGACCAAATATCTTTCTTAGGATTTTTCTCTCCAAAACAATCAGTTCCTTTTCCTCCGTTTTTCATAATGTCCATTTTTCTGCTCTATATGTAATTATAGGGAAAAATAAATAAATATAAAATTATTGTAAATTCGTATGATTAATATCAGAATAGGTATGCGTTTGAGCATTTAATAGTTAACAAAAGTTTACTGTAAACTATTTAGGAAGATGTACACATAACTGATAACATAATAATAACTATTGTGATTATTAATTTTTATTAATTAATATATTATCAGAGATGGACAAAATAGTTGCCAAAATGCATTTCAAATGCAAAATTACATTTAAAAACAGGGAGTAAAAACGTGTAAAGAAATTTCCGAAATTTTATTCGTGTAAAGAAACGTTTTTTCAAACCGTTTTCAAAAACATTTTTACTTCTAGTTTAAAATAGTCAAAATAAACACAAAATGTATAAGTAAAAATTAAAATTATTTTTTTAAAGTATTTAATTTGGAAATCACAAATTTTATCAAAGATAAAAATATAAAATGCAATTTTGTACTTTTAAATTATAGGAAGGTGGTGAAATGGCGGCCATCTAAGCAAGAGTTAAAATATCTTCGGAACTATAAGTCCAGAAATTTCGTTTTTTCTTAAAATCAAAATATCGAGTTATTTTTCGGAAAAATATTCCAACAAATCACTTAATTAGTTGGAAAAAAATAGTTTATCATTTTAAAACATCTGGTTAGGTAGTATTATTTTTTTACAAACCCCCCCCCCCCAGAGCAATGAACCTAAATGACCCGTAAAGCCAAAAAAAAAGAATGTTCCTAATATTAAAAATTTAACATCTCTAGACATTTTAGAAATAATACATTAATGGTTAATAGTTAATGGTTGATATTTTTCTAAAAATATATATTGCCATCGGTCTACCGTTGCCATGTTCTACCACACTTTATTACCGTAGCTTTAGTAAGCTTAAATTAATTAAGACATATAACCAATCTACAATTAGCTAAAACAAACTCGCAAATGTATCAATTGAAAAATAAATTGTAAAGTAAATCGACTTTGTAATTATTGACATTGGCGCGGTTAAAAAAAAGAAATACATTTATAATTCTGTGGTGTTCGGGCAAAGGGGGATAAGTGTAAAATCGCAACTTTTGGAATCACTGAAACTAAATCACTTCAGTTACATTTAATCCCATTTTTCACGTTTGAATACTAATATTAAAATATCATCCTATGTCCTATGTATTAGTATTCACACGTGAAAATGGGATTAAATGTAACTGAAGTGATTTAGTTTCAGTGATTCTAAAAGTTGCGATTTTACACTTATACCCCTTTGCCCAAACACCACAGAATTATTAAAAATAAGCAAAATATTTATATATTTTTACTAGCTGCCCGTGTACCCTGCTTCGCACGGGTTAAGAGGAAATACAATTGAAACACAGTACTCACAAGTTGTACAAATTATTAGTTTATATTTACGCAAACTCCAAATTCCATCACCATCGCTATGGAATAAATGGTGCACGTGTTAATGCCCAGCTGGTTTGCTGTCTCTCTCAAATTTACGGTTTCGTTTTCATCGACAATAGTGTCGATTGATTTGAAAGACATCAGATCACCTGGCATCAACTGTTGTATCTGAAAGTTAATATCGTCAACATTTGTTGCTGCCAAAATAGTACGTTTACTGAGCCAATATGATGATCCAGGTAATTATTCAGTTAACCGAGAAGACACTATCAATTAATTAATTTTCGTGCTGTTCACGCTCCACTCTTGTTCTCAATGTATGTTGTCGCAGACGTTCATCACGCTGTTCTCGATTCTTGTACAGAACTCTGTGCCGTTACTTTGGGCCGAGTTTTGAAATGTTACAGTCAAGGTGGTAATCTATCGAAGACTAAAATGGACAACCAGAAAATGTGAAACCATGTCTTTTTGGCCAGAAACTATGAATATGAAACTATGATCAGCTGTCAACCGTCCGTGATATTTGTACGCGTAGCGCCATCTATTGGAATAAACTTCCACTAAAATCTTAAATTTCCTAATTTTCTGGGCACCTTTTCCAATTTTTCCTATCAACCTATCCTATCTCTCAAGTCGGACCAAATTACACAGTGTAAACAATTTCATCATTATCAGTTAAGTAGTTTCGGAGTTCATCGCTATCAAACATCGTGACATGAGATTTTTATATATATAACGATTACCTAAATAAAGTTGTATACAAGAAATATTTTTTATTATAAACGAAAGGATGGTTTTTATTTTTTAATATTACAATATTTTGATACTTTTAAATGCATGTTAAAAAGAAATGTTAGGTAATGAAAATACGCCCATTTTCAATAACATTTGATTAATTGAAACACCATAATTCTTAAGTTTTAATAATAAATGATTTGATAGATGTATTTAAAAACTTTTAAATTAAATTAATGTGGCCATAAGTGAGGTCTCCACTCTATTTACATTTTTCTTTAATCGAACCCAAACTTATTTTTTTTTAAAATCATTATTGATAAAATATGATAATATTTTGAATAACTGAATCCTTTGCGTTATTCATGTTTATAAGGTTTATATGAACTAATTTTTTCTTTTAAATAACCAAAACTAAAGAGATAAAAAAATTACTTTCAAAATATTGTGCGACATAAAAAAAAACCACAAATGATTAAAAATATGTAAATATATTAAATATTTTATTTATAAACTAAATGTGAAAATAATTCTAATGCATTACAATTTTTAATGAAGTGTTGGTATAACTTTAATTCACATAATTCAATATCAGTATTATAATAATAAATTAATTAATTTTTGTACCAATCTCTAACTGTTTTATCACACCATATATACTTTCCTCTGATATTTTTTTCACCTTCTGGTAACAACGCTAAGTAAACCGGAGCAACTGCACCCTCATCAATAGTTAACGGTCCCTTATGACTGGTCATATCAGTGTCAACATAACCTGGGTGGACACTATTTACTATAATATCACTATCACTATTAAATTGTCTTTGTTGTATGATTGTCAATGCACTGACTCCTACTTTTGATACAGCATATGCTCGTGATGGCCAACCAAAGTCTTCATGATTTCCTTGTTTAGCCGATTCTATGAACTGTTGCATAAGAGAATCTAATTTGTCAACAGTTAATTCAGGCGATGATAGAGTTTGCCTTAACTCAATACCTGGAATATTAGATAAATGGCCAGCGGAACTGGAAACGTTTACCACTCTTGCACCTGGCAAGAGTAATGGAAATAAAGCATCACAAACCTTTTGCAATGAAAAATAGTTTACTCGTAAAGTTTCTTCAGCTTGTACACTAAATGGTTCAGTAGCAGCCATTTTAAAAGCAATTGCAGCATTATTAACCAAAACATTGATTCCACTATGATTTTTTTCCAAGTAAGTTTTGAAATTTGATATACTCCCATCGTCGGTAATATCTAGTTGGTAAAATTTAGGCTTAAGGCCTAACGCATTCAATTCCTTCACGGCTTTTTCACCTCTTTGTACGTCTCTAGCCGTAAGATATACATCGCCTTCAAAATGTTGGCATAAAGCTTTAACTATTGCAAAACCAATACCTTTGTTTCCACCAGTAACAATTGCTAGCTTATTTGCCATTTTCAAAGAAATTGAAAAGTATCAACAAAAATCTCGTTAATTTAATATTTTTATTTGAAAGTTAATTAACAAACACAACAATGATGAATAATTATAAACAATTTATTTTGGTACTGATTAGTGATTTCTAATAAACAATAACCATAGGAAACATAGACCTAATGCTACTAGACTGGGTAGAAGGATCATCCGGGTAGGATGCGGGCGGGTGCCGTGGTGTGAGCACGACTATTGTCGTAGCAGTAATACCACTGCGAGAAGTATAAATTATTGTTTAATGAATTGTACAACAATATTTTGTTTTGTCTCTTTTATATTTTCATCTTTGGGGAATCTGAAGACGTCACAATAAATATTTGTGTAAAGATATGTATAACATGCAATCAATTTATAATAAGACTTCATAAAAAAGTACTCACGAGTGGAATTTTCTTGCAATTTTACAATTAAATATTGCATTACAAACCACACTTTCTTTTACCCATTAAAAAAATTGTACGTAAACAAAAGTGAAATTACAAGTTAAATTTTTAATGACCGAAAAATAGCTGTCGACTCAAAACTTGATTTTATCGGCATTGAAAAATTGATTGTCAGTCACGAGCCGCGACATATCGTACAATAATTTTTTAACCGTGCACCATATTTCTTAAACTGGGAACTCAAATGCGCATGATCTGTGATACCAAATGCTATAAATTTATAATATTCGGTGTTACCATAGGGCATAGATTATAGATATATACTAATATCATGTATTAGTATATATCTATGGGTGTTACGGATCTGTTTATCAGCACTGATAACCTATGAACTGATAGTAAAGACTAAAGTCTTAAGAGGTCCGAGGGTCGATAACTTTAATAATAATAGTAAAAAAGAAAAAATTAATTTTACTACAAGGGTTAATATTACCAATTAATTGTAGCACATTTGTTTTAAAATGTCAATTACTTTGAAAACAACCGAAAATTAACTACAATTTAAAGTAATGTCAAACGTCTTTAATTTTTTACTTAATAATTGGTGAATAGATAACTAAATTAATTTGGGATGATTTGTAAAAACATGAAATTTTAGTGAAATGACCCCATGTTTGACCTCTCCGGCATTTGCGACCTGGATGTCCGGGTCCCAATATGATGATGGATTTTGATGACATTTTGAATTTGAAATTTTTTTTTGATTTAAATAGATATCGATTTAAAATTTTTTTTCATAATGGTGTATCAATGCATAATTCGTTTTAGCAAAATAAGATCAAGTTAAGATGTTAAGTGAAAGTCGACCTAAAAATCGAATAAGATCCCATTTAATTAAAACCATCCATTTCAAAAAACAATGAAATTTATTATTATTATTAAACATTGCGACTTTTTATAATTAATACATATCAGATATAGCTTGAAAGAGGAACTAAAAAGGTATTGATTTTACAATACTTAGTCAACTTTTTTAAACTAAATACAGATCTGTGAGGGATATTCACTCTCATACATACCCAATATCTTATTAAAATTATATCTAAGCTGTAAATAATACTATAATGACATATTGAAGTACGTTATCGTATTATTTTCGAATTTTGAGTTTTTTTATTAAGTTGTACTCAAATAGGTGTTCTGTATTGAAATTTATAAAAAAAACTAAAAGTATGCGAAACAATATTTACAATACCTATTATAGTATAATGATAATTTAAACTTCTGTGGCCGCTTTTTCATAGCTCAATATGCAACCAGTTAATCTATAGAGTATAGCGGATAGCCGTGGTTCAGACATACTTCAGTTAACTATAATTTATATCACGGCTTTAGAAGATTTTCTAAGCTCGTGATTTTTAATATACTATTATATGATATTTCATATTTTGTACATGATATAATTGCTTTGTTAAAAATATTATAAACTATACTACGAACTAAGATTTTATCTAGTTCCTATTACCTAGTAATACTAACATAATATAGTGTCAGCTGTTAAGATAGTGGAAGCTATGGAATTACAATGCAATTTTAACAATTTTATATTAAAAATAAACCATGTTATAACCGCATTGAAGCTAAAATGACATGTAAAACTTATAACTCAAGATAAAGTTTAAACTATTCCATAAAATGTACGCAATAAACTTGCTTTATATTTAAGGTAAAAAAAATAAAACGCAAATATTAAATTCAGTTGTTATAATTTTCAAACTATGATTAATAATAAGCAACCGTATAGAATTACAAATAAACCATTATAAATGTAATCCATACATAACATGTTGTAAATAAAAAAAATGGTAAATAGTATACATATAGTAACAATTATATAAGATAAAAAACTGACTATATAACAACAAGACGTATAATGAATAAAGAGATCAAAGTAAATATTCAACAAAAACTATTATTATTTTTGCAGTATTTTTGTGTGGTTAGTTTTATAATCTAGTTAATATTTAATACTTAGTTGTTAAAATTATAAGTAAAATAATCTATTATTGTGTTTTATTTTGTGATTTTCTTAGTTCTTCTTTGAAATAGTTAATAGTCATTTTTAAACCTTCTTTTAAGCCCACCTAAAAACAAGAAATACACAATTTTTTTTTAAATTTATAACTGAAATGTACACAATAATTTCCCAATAATGTATTTTAAAATACATTTTTATATTCAATTTTGTTTCATTCCTATTATTATTTAGATTAATATTATTTGGAGACAATTTATTTTGTTTAGTAGTTTCAGGGTTATTATTAAACATTATACAGTTTTTTTTAAAGTAAATAAGCCAATTCTAAGTAACAAGTTGTTTAATAATTACCTTGGGTTTCCAATTTAAGTAAGTCATTGCTCTAGTGATATCTGGTTTTCTTCTTTGTGGATCATCTTCAACAGCTGATTTTGAAATTATCTGGCTTTCTCCTCCAACCAAATCTTTAATTATCTTTGCAAACTCTAAAATATGTGATTTTTATTTAATAATATTCTGTAACAACAAGTTTTATATAGAACAAAAGCTAAAACCTCACATTAAACAGCTAAAAAATTATTATTAACAACTAAACTTTAAAATATTTTTTAAATACTCAGTTAAGTAAGTTTCTGAACTGCCTTTTTTTAAGATAGAAAAAAACGTGTTAGGGCAAACATTTTCATTCAGTTTTCAAACCACAACTCTTTGTAAAAATTATAATACATAGCAACCACTTAAATAATATAAATTCACACAGATGGCTACTAAATCCCGCTGGAATTCTACAGAAGCTCACAAAGCACTACTTGAAAATATTATATGAAGTCAGTCTTTTTAAACAGCTTTTTTGAGCAAGCTGCCAATTTGATGGGTTGCCAGCATTCTATTCAATCTTCATCAGACATAATTTAAAATATTCATTTAAAATAGTGATAGTAATTATAAAAAAAAATATAAGTTTAAGATAGTCAATTAATCAAAAACTAGTTTTGAATAATTATTAATTTTTTAATTTTTAAAATAGCCAATATATAAAAATAAAATAAATATTATTTAGCTTTATATACAATTTGGAGCAAAATTTTTATGTTTGAAAATTTCCTACAGCGGGGATTAGACTTCAATAAATTTGTATAAAGTGAGGGTGGAGCATCATTTTTGAATAAACGCTTTGCTGCAAAACTGTGTTTGGCAACAACTATTGAATTTTTCTAGTTTTCCTCAATAAATAAGTGTAATAGATTTTTTAAACATAAATGGTAACATGTATTTAATCACTCTTATCCAGTTTAAAATAATGTATTTTTTAAATTTTGATTGATCAAATTTATAATATTTTAATAAAACATAACAAAAATATTTTCAAAAAATGAATAACTAAAAAACGACTATTATTTTCATGTCATGCATTAAATTAATCACAAAAATAAGACCTATGAAAAATAAAAATCATTGTAAAAACGATACCTTCTCAGCTCCACATTGTAGCTAAAAAGTGAAACTTGGTCATATTCAAACTCTTTTAACATTCAGAAATTGTATTTTTATAAAGGAAGTCTAATCCACGTTGTAGAATGTCCTTTTTCAAACAAAAACTGGACTACTTTACACTGTCTGAGTTTTGCCTGTAATGTTTTTGAACAGACTACAAACAGCCCTTTATATAAGAAATATTTATAGTTTATACATCGTAATAATTACCATTAATAGTGTGTTCTGTTGGGTTTCCTAGATTTACAGGTTGCGTGTAATTCGATTCCATTAATGCTATTAGACCATCAACAAGATCTGATACAAATTGAAATGACCGAGTTTGTTTACCACTACCATATACCTACAAAGAATCAATTGTCTTGTAGGCAAACTTAATTGATTGTAAATATTATACTATAGCAGACATGAGTTTTCTTACTGTAATTGGTTCATTGCGAAGGGCTTGTAAAATAAAATTAGACACTACACGTCCATCATTCATATGCATTCGAGGTCCGTGTGTATTAAAAATTCTAGCAACTCTAACGGACACTTTTTCGTGCTTAGCATAAGCATAACTAAGCGTTTCCGACACTCTCTTACCCTCGTCGTAACATGCACGAGGTCCTGTTTCAATATTTGAATTAGTTATTTATAAATAAATACCTAGTTTATGACTAAACCAAATGATTTTACCAATTGGATTAACGTGGCCCCAATAGGTTTCTGGTTGTGGATGGACTTCTGGGTCACCGTAAACTTCAGAAGTACTAGCTATTAAAACTTTAGCACCCACTCGCTTTGCCAATCCTAAAAAAAAATTGTTTAACTTTTCTGTTACTGTAGTGTTTTAATACTTTTTAAAAGTGAAATATTTTAAATAAACAAGTAATAAAAATGCTACTCTTTGTGTGAACTAAATTTCAGATGTTATCATACATTTATAAGCAGACCCGTACTGACTACACCTTTGTGAGGCGCGGGGAAAAAACTAGTTTAGGGAGCTAATTAAAAAAAAAAAAATTTTCACTTCGCACATTACCTGGGGGCTAGGGGTTTTCCTGTGTTTTAACTGATTAGGAGAATGAGGTTTTGATTTATAATAAAATAATATCATCATCATCATGTAGCTTAACGGGCCATGAAGGCCCAACGCTGCCATCATGAGATGGTTTCTTGACGAATTCGCTTCCGGGACGGGTCGTCAATCCGTCGCCGGAGAGGGAAATGGCGGTTCCTTTTTACCGGACGATTGCTCGCCCAGCAAACAGAGCGCCTGTGACCGAGTGTCGAACCGACGACAGTGAGCGCTAACACACTGCCGCCTTACCCACTCGGCCACTCCTCCTCTTTAATAAAATAATATATCAAATATTAATTGTAAGTATTTTATAAAAAAACATTGGATAACTTATAAAAATATTTTGCACCATAATAACATATTTTGTTAATTGTAGCTTGTATTAAAATGTCGTCACAGTAAAAAAAACTGTTATTCTTGTGTTACACATAGTCCGCAGAATATATGAAAAACCATGAACTGAAGTTTAATTTAAGAGGAGAATAATTTTATTAATTCTTGAGAATGATATTTTTTAATTTAATCTTAATATTAAACATTAACATTTCAATTTCTATAAATTTTATTTGACTTTTTATCATTTTTAATAAAATATCGACCTCAAAATAAGTTATACTTAATAATTTATTGGAATTTTATTAATAACATTTTGTTGAGCCTCTACCTTTAGATAACTGTGTATTTTGTTTCCACCACCTCTCCTAGAAAAACAGAGCTTGTGCGAGGTACATAACATGTACCATGTAGCAGCACACCGAAACGCTGGGCCACAGTAGCTAGGGGCGCCGAAAGTGGAGGCACGGACCGCTATTTGACTATGGGGCCAGAGCGCTACGATAAAGCTCCCGGTATCCCAGTGGGTCAGTACGGGCCTAATTATAAGTTGATATAGCAGTTTCATTTTAACTAGTGTTTTTATTTATCATTGTAGTATTGATGTGGACAGATATAATAAGTGTAAAAGTAAGTATAAATCCCTAAAAACAACTGTGTATTCAGTCCTAATATGACGTAGTATGAGATAAATTGAATATTACACACCTAACATATTAATTGTTCCGATGGTGTTGGTTTTTATAGTTTTGACAGGATTGAACATGTAATGTGGAGGCGATGCTGGAGAAGCTAAATGATATATTTCATCAACTTCTACGAACAATGGGTTAACGATATCTTGATGTATTAATTCAAAATTAGCATGACCAATCCAATGTTCAACGTTTGCTTTGACTCCGGTAAAAAAATTATCAACCACAGTAATATCATGACCAGCTTTCATTAATTGATCAACCAAATGGGAACCAACAAAACCTGCTCCACCAGTTACCTAAAAAGAAATATTACAATCATTTTGACATCAATATTTTTATATCATTTTTAAATTATACCAGTATACGTTTCTTAAAACGATAATTCAAATATTTAACATTTGGATATGGCTTTTTGATACGTTCATCAAATCCTCGCATCTTTTCTCCAAGTTTTTCAATTTTTATTTGTGCCAAAGCTAATTCTCTCGTCAACTTTTCAATAAGATTTGTCTGTGGTTCAAGTACCTCAAATTCATTGTATCTAAGATTTTTCTTGTCATTTGATTGAAATCTATTTTTGAGTACATCATGTGATGTATACAATAGGCAATAAAAAAAACCTACATAATAAATTAAAATCAGTTTGAATTGTAAAATATAAATTTTATTTTATTTTGGCTTGGTGAAAGGTGTTGATTTTCAATGTTGCAAACATTATTTCAGGAAAGGTGGCAAACATTTATTATCTAGTCAAGGAAGGCTATGCTTCTGCTTTATTTATTGTTTGATCATAGGAATATTGGAAGTGATAGAATTATAAGAATTAAGAATATAGAATAATAGAATTATTAAAAGTATAGTGTATCGTACCGGATAACAAATTTGTCCAAGGATATTACATACGAATATTTTTAAATAATATTTCAAAAATATTATACTGCAGGAAAGATATGAGCACATATATTTTTGAAGTTCTAACCTCAAGTCAACGAGCTGTACTTATTTAATTGATAATTAGTTAGAATTAAAAAAAAATTCAAAATGAAAATTGTATAATTTTTTGTACATAATTACATAGTAAATTTAATGACATAATATGGTTGTGCTCATCATTGATCCATTAATAAATAATAATATAAATAGTTTACAAACACTCATATCAAATTTAAAAACGGACTATAAAAATATTGTCGTTTTTTAAAAATACATTACATTTTAACACAGTTTTATCACTACCATTTATAGCAGTAAGATCAACACCTAGTTTAATAAGCTTACCGCACGTTAATACTCCACTGATGGTTAATACGAAACAAATATTTTTACGGATGATCAACATTTGATGTGCTTGAATTAGACCCAACAGGAAGTTAACTATTTAGTCGGTCTACTTAAAATCAAATTTGAATACGCCCTCATTATTGAAAAATTCTTGTGTTGCAATAAATATTTATATATATGTATAGAAAATACTATGATAAATTTATGTTGAGATTTAAAAAAATAACAATTGGTATAAAATTAAAATACAATAACATGAATAAATGTATTATTATTTACCTATACAGTTATAATTCAGAGTACCTGTTATCACGTCTTCTTTTATTTAATGAAAAAGACCGAAAACAACGTTTTAACTCGCCGCCAGATCAGCTGATATATTATTCCACTGAATTTCACTGATAATGGGTATTAGCAGAAATCTGAAATAGATAATATTATAAATTGAAATAGTCAAGTGTCGGTACTCGGTAGTTAGTAGTTACCATAATATAATTATCGTGATTTTTTAAGTACGTGAGAAATGTGATTTACGTGTTCCTTTAAATAAACATATGTGCAAACGACCTTTCCCGAGTGTTCGTTTAAGTAAATAAATATGTTATGTTTGTTATAGTTCAGTAATCAAGTAATAAGTTGAAAATGTTTAACACAAATATGAAATTCTTACCTAATATTATACATGTACACTGTGCTACGTACAGCTTCTTAGCAGGTGCACATTAAAATATTGTTTACATATGATTCTATTGAGTTATAATCCATTGATGTCATGTATGACTGATGTCCCACAATCGACGACTTGCAAGTCCTTAATTCGACGTAAGTATAATATGTGTTAAGCTGCGTCCACACTGCCACGCAAAACATTACCGAACATGTTTGGTACTCTGTGTGAAACATCAAATACCAATGAAATGTTTGTGAAGCGTACATAACCACGCGCACCAAAACCCATGTAATTGACAAACGTTTGTGAACATTTTGCGCGGCAGTGTGAACCTGACTTAAGAGGTCTTGAATTAACCGCATGCCTAAGAGGAGCCCAACCAACTGCACCCATAACCAAGATATCAACAATAAGCATTTCCACGCCTCTTAAACTGTTTTTTTCCAGACGCTAAATACCCATGTATATGTCACGCTCGGGGGTAACCGAGAGCGGCGGCAATACGTTTGAAGTATTACTCGCCGACCTCGCAGACTTTTGAACATCACATAATTTGTAATTTTTTTTTGTTATTTTCATATTAAATATACTTCTGTCTATGTAGAAAAAACATTAATTTATATAATTACCCTATAATAATAAAAAAAGGGAGGATCCATAATATAATACACAAGTACCAACACATATTTTAATAAAATAACTAAAAATATTGATAAGTACAAAGCTGTTGTATTATTTACAGCGCATGAAAGGTTAAATGAAATTAAAGTAATTCTGACATTACTGTTTTAGTTTTGCTAATTCTTATTTGTGTAAACTAAAATTGTATATGGTATTTAAATTTTTATTTACTTTGTATAACTATTATTTTTTTTACAGCGATGTAAATAATTTGTTCTTTAATAGTAATATTTGATTACAGAAAATGGCGTTAAACTATGTCAAAGTCCGTCTTTGGTTAAACTCCATGGCAAAAAAAGCATAATTACTAGTCATCCCAAACCCTGGAAGAAGAACCTTTATTCCAATGAAGGTTACCCAGATAATTACACCGATAAATCATTCCTAGAAGAACTAAAAAAAAACCTTCATGTACGAAAGCTTACACTTTTTGAGGCGATTCTCGGTGCTGGTTTAATAACCCAAAGATTGTGTATTGTGGTAATATTTGCTCTATCTTTTTATGCGTTGAACAGTAATATAACTTTACCGTTGTTGTTGTTAATTTCGCCCACAAGCTTCAATTTGATCGTTTACCTTGTTCTCTATGAAAACCAAAAGGTCTTTCCATTTTCACTGATCAAGTCGACGTTTGCATTTGTTGTGTCTGGTTACATTCTATCGCCAGTATTGAAAACATTAACAGAAACTATAAGCACTGACACAATATATGCCACAACAACATTGATGATGTGTGTGCACTTAATATTTTTTGACTATGGAGTATCTGCTGTTATAGTATCAACGTCTCTATCAATGAATGCTGCTTTGTTTGGATCTATATGTCTGTGTTCAAGATTACCAACAGCATTTCATGTTTTTGTTTTTATCACATTAGCAGTACAGTGTTTTGCAGTATCCCCGATACTTTTATCTCCGCTGAAGTCTTCTATAACGCTGTTGTTATCGTTTGTGGTCATCACATTCATAATGTGTATCAAAGCATCATTGCTCCTGAGCTGGTTATTTTTAGGTACTATCGTGTTCATTAACCTAATATGTCCATATTATTTTGTCAAGTGGTATACATTTAAGGACAACATTTATGGACCATGGGATGAAGCTATTGTGCAAAATATTAAAATTAAGGATTTATGACTGTGCGACTGAAACACTGGAGTATCAATAATTTCAACAAACATTTCTATTGAAATACCATTTTGAATTTTCAATAAAGCATGCAGACCAAATATGAAGTTACCAAACTATTTAATAAGTATTTTATCGCGAATAGTTTCATATCAAACGATCTGTTTATTTTTAAATGTTGAAAATCTAAGGTGAATTTACAAGTTTTATGTATACATATTTTTTTTTTATACATTTTATCAACATTAATTTATTAATTGAATTATGGATTTTATATTAACTAGGTAGTGTAGTGTTTTTTTATTTGTAACTTATTATTAAAAGTTCATTAAGTTGATCCTTGATGAAATTATTACACTGCACACTAAGTAATAATATTTGTAAATGTTGTGTATAGTGCAAGTCCAATTACTTAACTCTTTTTGGTACTTATCGCAGAGTGAATTTATGACTTAGTTGCATAATATTAATATATATTATATAATTATTATAATTTATCATAAATTACAATATGAAAATTTTTTTTATTTTGTTTGCTAATTAAAGAAAATTATAACTGCATGTTACAAATATTATTATTAAGATGTTAAATTTTTTACTATGGATAGAATGTGTTCCTTTTATTTTAATTTAATAGTTGTGTTCACCTTGATTGTTATGTAACAAACTATTCCTATTATAAGTATAATATGTATAATTAACTTATTTTATGTTTATAAGCATAATATCTGATTTGAATATTCATAACTACAATATGAATGTATTTCCTCATTAAAACTAGCGTATTTAGAAAATAAGCAGATTAGTATATTTTGTTATTGTTTTTTATATCATTGTCTACTTTAAAATAAAAATGTCATTTAAATAATAATGATTTTGATACAAAAATTGTGCATCAACTAAAAAGTTGACCAGAATTCTGGAGAAATTCGGTTTTAAACTTATTAATAAGTATCAATGGTATTGTGTTATTGTTTAAGAGGGCGTCGCACCGGTGATTTTTAGTGGTAAAAATATGTTTAAGCAGACTGAAAATAACTCGCTTAATTTTGATTTTAGAGTATAAGCACCCATTATAAAATTAAAAGAGAACAATATTCCGGACTATTATACATTTTTTAAGTAGATTTATTCACAAACTGTTTTATAAAACTGGTTTTTGCAAATTTCTATCATGGTTAATTAAATGGATCATCCTATATACAGTTTAGGCCATGACTAAATACACAGGCATGACCGCTAGATAATACTGCTCAGGATAATTGGCCCAGATTTGAAAAAAGAAGTATATCACAGTGTTAATTTCTCATTATATTATAAAATTTTCCACGACTAGGGCAAAAAAACGCATGCAAATGCGCAAAAATTGGAAAAGTTTATGATTTAGCAATCATGCCTGTTTATTCAGTTATGTGCTTTCTTCAAATTGTTTATTGTAATATTGTCTATATAATTTATGTTATCTATGGTACAGCTTAACAATTTAATAAGAGGTCAATATTAATTGCAGAATTTTGTTTCCAACATAAAAACACAAGTTTCAAGGATAAATTTCAGAAAGAGATGTCAGATATGTAAATGTTAAATAAATGTGTAGTCCAATTTATTTTTGGATTTATACTACCAGGGCCTGCTTATGGGGGTTACAAGCTGGCACCAGTTTCTAACTGGGTGCGAAGTATTAAACAAGTGAGGGGTAGCGTAAAATTTGACTTAAGGATTTAATATAATATAGGCCAAGAGCGAGACTATTGTTTACTACAGCTCTGTATTCAATACAAATCAAAACAATTACTAAAGTAACAAACTGCATTTTATATTTAATTATTAGATTTGAATACTTAAATCATTGGTTTTATTTTATTACTACAAAATATTAGATACTAGAAGAAGGAAAATATGGCTTTTTATGATGGTGTTCGGGCGGATAAAAGTAATCGTAGGTCTTTTCTAGACCAAGAACAGTAGCTGCCAAACCAAAACCAATTGTTATTCCACGTTTGCCACGGAACCAACATTTGAAATATTGTGCATAAACACTCCCTTGATTAGGAGGATACCTCCATACTTCGTTCCTACAAAAATATATACTTAAAACAATAAAATAGATGATAATTATAGGTAGTACCTCAGCCAAGGATCTTTTAAACCATCAACCGCTAGAATATCCTTAACCTTCATAAGTTCAGGCACATTTTCAACTTTATAAATTCTGTAATCTGGTATTTCAGGACCGTGATGACCCCCTCCCATATCTAAAATTAAAATTCATATATAAAAATAAAATAATAAATTATACAAATACTATTGAAATTATATACATACTTGATGTGCTTAATTAGAAGTCCGAAAGTAAAAATTAATATTACTCGAAAGTCAAAGCTGAGGATTGAGGAATGACATTGTAGACTGACGACTGTAGACTGTAGTCTTTATCTGTTATCACTTATCATATGATATTTTGATAATCTCTTAGTAAAAAATGTGGGGTTGCTACAGTTACCACGAATGTTGCATGCCACGACTTGTAGTTACTCCGACATTGCTTTATCAGTCATTTGCCACGAATATAATCTACTTCGAATATACAATTACTACGATTAGACGGTTAGCCCGAATTTAACATACCCGACATCGTAAAGTAATTAAATGAATCATACAACAGTTAACCCGATATTGTGATACCACGAAAGTATTTTACTTCGACTATACATGATAAGAATACTTGACCACCGGGCATAATGAATTTAATATGTTATATTACATTATATTAAATTCATTAATTACGTTTTATAGTATATTCTTTAATATCAATTGCACATTTTAATATACAATATTTTTTTTAATTATTGGGTAAAACCCTTTGGCAACAAAGGCCATTGTAAGGGTTTTATTAAAATAGTTGATATACATAATTGAATACAGTAGACTATACATTTAAAATAAAAAAGTTAGAAAAATAAGATAAGAATTTTATAAACTATTTTTATAATAAATAATTATATAAATCTGATTGTAATGTAATATAATTTAGAAGGTAGGTGATTGCTTCAAATTGAGGCCCAAGGGTTTCAGATAGATTTTCGAATATATTATTGTTAATTCGTTGTGACTGGTATTATAAACAATTATTTTTAGGTTTTAGAGTCACTTAAAATGGACAATAACTTACAATATTATAAAATAATTGTAACAATATAAAAGTTGGTTTTTAATTACGATTAATATGTGAAAACAAATTGGTATTATAAAAAAGTAATAATATTGAACCAGTGTTTCAATTTTAAATCAACTGTATGTCTGTGTAGAGTATAGATTATACCTTTTTTAATGACATTTTTTATATGCATATTCATTAAAACAGAGGTATTTAAAAAACTAAATATTACTTAATTTTATCTTATCATATTATTTTTAAGTTGTAAATTAAAAACATTTATATTATGCTGTTAAATTTCTTGACTTTTGGAGTTATGTTTTTGTTTATCAAAGGTGATACAAACAATAAAACTATTTCTTGTTGCTTTCATCTTCTACTACATCAATGTTGTATATCAAACATTTGTTTAACACCTCTCTAAACATTTTTTGTAGAATCGTCTCAGATATTATTACAATTTTTATTTTGTATTTCTATTAACTTTTGGCTTCAGTGTTTGTAAAAATAAATAAATATAAACTAGGCACTATATAGCAACGTAATGGATTAAGGGACACCAGAAAGGACCATGGCCCATAAGACATGAAAATGTCAAAAAAGAAATGGGGTTGAAGATGAGGTGGGTATGGGAAAGGGGTGGAATTAGCTATGGCAAATAACCGAAAAAAAGCGTAACCAAAAAAGCGTTACCACACGGAGATGGGTTGGAGGTGGAAATAGGGGTAGGAGATAAGGGGTGGGGGTTGAGGTTGGGGTTGGGGACAGGAGATATGGGTGGAAGATAGGGGTGAGTCATAGGGACGGGTAAGATATCGGAGCTATGTTGTACGTTCAACGTTCAAATTAGAACTAAATAATAAAGTCAAAACAGTTTAATTCTCTATGTTAAGTTATTTTTGGCCAGATAATAAACACTACAATTTTAGCCAGAAACATGATTGTACATATTTTTTTAATCTCCTTGGCTTATGCTGTAACTGGAAGCTCCATGTAATTTTTTTTTTTTTAATTATAATTCCACAACTAATCTAAATTTTTTTCGATGTATAGGGAAACACTTTATCAATGGGTTGGCCTTTTTTAATTTCTTTGATATTTATACTTAATATTTTTTTATAAAAAACATGCTGCGGTCCCCTTAATGTTATTTTAACTTTGAGTTACTTCTTGCTGAACAATTTTAAACTTGTTTTTACTCAGATTATATTATTTATAGTTTTATATAAATTAGTTGTTGGGTCATGTCAGTGTAAACGGAATTTAAGGTCCATATAATGTTTATCAATGTAAATGTCCTATAAAATAGCGAAATCATAACATTAAGATTTTTTGATAAGTCATGTCGATGTAACAGGAATTCGAGGTAAATGTAATTCGAAGCAATAATTAAAAATGGAACTTTGATGTAACTGTAAATCGTGGCATAAAAAATAAAAGCGAAAACATATTTTCGTTGTAAATGTATTCGTGCCAATTGTCGTCGAAGCAATTGTCATTCGTAACAAAAATGTCGGAGTAACATAACATCGTAGCACGCAACATTCGTGGTAACTGTGTTATCCCAAAAATGTGAATTCATTAAAAACCAGAGATCTATAAAGAAAGTTTCTTCTGCTGGTCTATGTTAAAACCAGCAGGATTTGATTGTACATGGAAGAAAAAAAGTAACATTAATAATTGATAACGAAATCATTATTAACATACACAGACTTCTATACTAACAATCAACAGTTAAGTGTTAACACATATTTACATTAGGCGTGAACCTGAATAAACTATAAACATTAAACTGAACATCAATTCATACCTATTTCAATTTTTTTTTGTACAGTGCTTCTAATTTATTATAAACATTTTAAATTATGAGTTCAGAAAAAATTGATTATCCCAAAGCATCCAGTAAGTTTTATCTGTCTAATAACCTGTTAGCTTAAATTGTATGTATTAATATAATTATTCATGTAAAAATATTAAAAATATTTATTTACGATGTTGTAAAAAGTTTTTTTACATTCTTAACACCATTATATACTTTCATCAATTTCTAAATCCATTATACAGTATTTAATTTATTTTCATTTTTAATAATTTAATAGCTACACAAAACAATTATATTTGTCCACTTGTACATATTTGAATTTACCTAATTTATAAATATTTTATTTTTGCAGAATTAATCAGTGATGCTGGGGTAATCATTTATATTGGAGGATTTTTTTTAGTAATTTCATTTTTAAGGTATTTACGTCTACAGCTTCTATTGTTTCATATTATTTATTTATTTATTAATAATTATGTTTAGCCCTTATTGGTTGGAATCATATGATGAGGCTTTTATAAATTTTAAACATATGGGCCTATGGACCTATTGCTTTGATCATTTCCGATACCCTCACTATCAATTTGACAAACTTTTTGATGGCTGTAATACAGTGTTCAGTGAAGAATATTATGTCATTCGTGAGTGGCTTTTACCAGGTAAGACTCAAACAAGTTTTTAGTTAATGTATTTTTTCTACTCGCTAAACTAATAACTTTTCTGTTTATTTGTTTAGGCTGGCTTTTGTTTTTAGAATTATGTATGACTCTAGCATTATTGCTGTCTCTTGGAACTTTATCAATTATAGCTGCTATTTTAACTCGTTATCCACAACGCCTCGTCCTGAAATATGAATACATGCTTTCTGCTGCGTGTTTCTTGGCCACTGCTATTTCTGGTTTGTAATATCATCTATTACAAAAGACTAATCAAATACTATATTTTAAATTTAATATTTTGTATAATCTTTAGCGTTCCTTATATTTTTGACGGTTATTTTATTTCCTTTTAATTGCTGGAGACGTGATTGGCTTATGTATCCCATGTTTAATCATTTATCATGGTCATATTACATTGCAATTGTATCAGGTATATTGCATATGTATGGTGCTTGGTATTTGTATAAGGTCAGTAGAGAAAATATTAGTTTTCTTTTCCGATATAGCTGTAATAAATATTAAATAATGGAGTAATATATGTTTATCTAGGAAGCACGCAATTCATATGACAAAAGGAGGGAAAGCAAAAATTTAGTAATGCAAATGTATCCACCACATGAGCGTAATTTTTATGAACAATAACTTTACAACAATCAATACATTCTAATAAAATGTACAACAATCCTATACTATCCGTCCATATTGTTGAATGTTGATTCTCATTTATTTTTGTATTATTATTGTGCTTAAACTATGCACCCCATAAAAAACTATTTTAGGTATTTTATAACTTTATAACTATTTAATTTTGTTCAAATGACATAGAGTTCAAAGATAACTCGTTTATTTAATAATTTTATTTGTGTATCTTTTTATATTATTTATATTTGCACATAAATTTGTTTAAAGATGACATATTATTATGTTAAAGAAAATCATTTATTTAAGTATTTAATTATGATTTTTATTATATATATATATATATATTCTTTATTTTATTAGAAAACCCCACACAACTGATATTTTATATTTTTGATAACCTTTTTCTTACAAATTAAGTACAATTAGTACAACACATACACAATATACACAAATACTCAGTTTTGTAACATCAATTCATTTGTGAATATATTTTATAATTATTGTAAAATGTGTTTTTAAAGATAAAAATAACTTAATAAAAGATAACTACTTTAAAAAAAAATCTATTCATTTCAAATCAAACGTAGGTTACAACTTTACTAATAAGTCTACTCAGCTAAGTAATATATTGTATAAGACATTTATATTGCATGTAAATAAATCACATATTTCAACAAAAATATAAACGTTCCAATGTGTCAGTTATCTTTATCATCGTCATACTTCACTCTTCTATTCGCAATAGAATCACACTTCACATAATCCATAATAGTAGAAATATTTTAAGATAATATAAATAATAAACTTTGTAATAACTAATATATTAAAATAAAAATTATGTGCTCATTTGTAACAGCAACTTGTGAGTAAAATTTAGTTTGAAGATATAATAAAAGATGAAACTTATTTGTATAAATTTTTTATTTTTTATACAATAACTAATAATTTATAGTTTTAATAATTCATATAAATCAATTTGCATTTAAAAAAGTCTAACAATCAAAACAAATTCAAAAATTGAGAGATTAATAAAATAATACAAAATAATAATATACTATAATTAGTTTACAAAAAAAAAATGTTATATATGTATATATATATATAATAATATATGCTATATAATTACAAAAAAAAACCATGGAGAACATAAAAAAAGTTTAAAATTAATAAACTGTTACTGATATCATACAGTATTATACAACAGAATACCCGATTAATGAACTACGTTTTTATAAAATATATATATATATATATTGAAGTACTTAAAAAATTCTTTGGTTAGTTTTTTATGTAAAATATAATATTTCGTTAAAAAAACTAATATAATTCAGAAGTCTAGTTTTTTAAGTATCATGTTACCTAACTTAATAATTAAGAATAAAATAATAGTTGAATAGTTTTGCTCATTAAACATTTTTTTTAATACCCAATAAACAGAGTATATTGATTATAATCAATAATAATAATTATTTATGCAAGAAGATTCATATTCTTTTTTATTTTTTTATTTTAAGATACATAATTTCCTACAATTTTTGTCTGAATTATCATGGTACATACGATTTCACAACTTTAAGGTTGCCATTTAATACTTGAGAAGAAGTTGCAGTTTTATTTAAAAGAATTAAGTAAATAAACTACCCTGAATACTAGTTATAGATAATAATAATAAAAATAGGTAATTCTTTAAAATAATTTACAGAACATTATATACTTATATATATAATCTGAATATAACTATATCAAAAAATGCGCTTTGCTAACAAGATAAAACATCGTAATACTATTTTTATATATGTATAAATCTACACTATTCCACTCAATGGAATGATTTATTACAATAATTGTAAATTAACAAAGGTAAGTTAGTCATATATCACATGTGATCATTGGAGGGGTAAACATTATTTAACCATATTTTGCATTTGGTAAGGGCATCTCCTTTGATTAATTAATTAGTTTATCATTCGGATTTGCATATTAGTCAACTCCAGCAAACCCTTGTGAGCCTTCAATAGCTTTAATTAGTTTTCCTCGTAACTCATGATAACTTTCATATGGTGGAAGATCCAGTCTATTAAAACTGTAAAAAAAATGTACATATGGTTTACCACACGTTAAATAGAATTATTACTAACTATGATTTTTATACCAAGTATGTGCTCTGGGATAATTTTCTTTGGTCCCCCATCGTTCAATTGTAAACAACTGTGGACCGTTACTTCCATATAATTCTTTAAATCCATTCATTGGAACTCTAGATGTACCAGTTACAAACTGCAGAAGCCTAGATCTCATTTCATTGTTAAATGACAGAACAGCCTGTATTAAGCATTTAATTAGCATACATTTTTTTTAAAAATATTTTTCATCTACACTTACTCTCCAAAACCATTGAATTACAATGTTGTTTGGGGAATAATCTCCTTTATAATGAGTGTTTTCTTTCCAGTCTTTTACATCAATATTCTGTATACCACACATTAAGAGTTCCATTTCGTGTTCGTCAAATATTTTTATGTAACTAAGAGGTACTATAGAACCAAATCCTTGTAAAAATGCATTCATTTGCTCCTGTATACGAGATACGAACCTCCACTGAATCACAAGGCTAGATTAATATAAAAATCACAACATGAAAAATTAATATTTTTAATTAATAATAATTTAGTTATAATTTACCTTATATATTCGTCTTTATTTTCTTGTGTCAAGTGAATATTAGCACCATCAGGTTTCAACTCTCGATGTGATGTGTGGCCTAAACTATCCTCATCAAGCGAAAAAGTGAGGTCTAATTCAGAAGGATCGTTTTCTTTAATCCACAACAACGAATTGTAATATTCAGAATCAACACTTTCCATGTCTTTTAGCTCTATTGGTTTTTCCAACATCATTTTGTAAAACGGCCGAATAAAAAATGCTAAAATAAAACAAACATCATGTTTCAAATTGTAGTACTAATAAATCTGAAAAAATCCATATTGTGTGTTATTATTTTACTTAATTGCCCATGGGTCATTTGATAATAAAATAATAAAATAAAAGAATCTCAAGTTGCTTCTATTGCTACCTAAATAGGCTACTGTTTCATACTTAAGAAAAAAGTATATTTTTGTGGTATAAAATTCATAAATTGATGTAAAATAAAAAAATCTAGTGGCAAGTAATCAGATCTATAATAATTACACAACAACGTGTGTGCCACAGTGATGTATGGTATCTAACTTGCTACTATAGGTATAGTGTTAAATTTTCACATGCTGTAAAACAGATGTTCATATTATATACCTCATACAAGCTTTGCTTTTGGGAGAGGGGGCATAAGGGAGTTAATAAAAAAAAATAATAAAATATTTTACCATCTAAAAGTTTGCCATGATATACAGCCATCCCTGCAACCGTACCAATAAATTTGAAATAATGAAGGTGTTCTTCATTACACAACCCTGACATTGCATTAATTTGTAGTGTATAATTGTCCATGGCTGAATATTCAAAAAGGCCATAATATGGATTAAACATTTCTTTGGACAACAAGAAAAACCATTCTCTAGCCAATCCTCCATAATCGAGACCAACCTCTTGTTCAAATTCTACCCATAATTTTGCTCTAAGTTTATCTGGGTGCATTGAATTAATTATACGAAATGAATCTTCCAATATATTAGATCGCCGAACTTTTATTTCCATTTTAGCAGGAGGTCCATGAGCCTTTACAAAATAATTAATTATTGTAACAACAAAATGTCTCTAAATATTTTTAATTTATACTATATTTACCATTTTACTCAGTCTTGTTTTAAGAGACTCATATTTCCTCTTATAATCACGAGAATAAGGTAACGCCTTAAAAAAAAAAAAAAAACAATTATTATTACATTTTTAAAACTATAGTTAAATTAACAAAAATTTAACTTACAGGGCCTGCAATTTTAGGATTGTTTAATCTTGGATCTTCCCACTGAGTAGTCCTTGTATCTAAAAAAAAAAATCGAATTTTTTTTCCTCAAGTCATTTAATTCCATTCAAGTAATGGTTAATGTATTGCAATAAATTAGAATTATTTGTAGGATTGACTTTAGAATATACAGATTAGTGGTTGTATGCACAATATGGCTACCAACTTAATAAGAGCTTCCCAACGCCAGTCAAGAGGAGATTCTAGCATCTCACATCTAAAAAACTATGACAAAGGTATCTCTTGACAACAAAAATCCTACAAAGTCGATTGCCAATTGTGTTCATAGCTCTGCTTATTTATATTTTATCATTATTATCATCAGATTAAAGGCCCATCATGAAAGGGGATGGCGGCTCCTTTTCACCGGACTATTACTCGCCGGTAAACGGAGCGCCCATGACCGAGTGTAGAACAGGCGACAGTGAACGCTATCACACTGCCGCCTTACCAACTTGGCCACTCTTTCTCCTATATTTATATTAAATATAATTATAATTATTAAATATTTATAAAAATGCCTTACTATGATCTATAAAGAAAATTCTGCCATCAGCATGAACTCTTTCTTCCCAACCTTCAGGTAATGGTTCTAACTCATCATTGTAGGCCGATGTGGAAACAATAAGATCAGCTGCAGGTGGTTGACTTTGGTTAGGCATAGAACTTGCCCTACCAGTCCTAGGATCTACCCAAGTAGTAGCTCTAGTATTATGGTCAATGAAAAACGTCCGACCATTGGGAGCGACTTGCATTGACCATCCTTTTGGTAAACCTTCAGATCCTTCTGGAGTAGGCGACTCTTCTTGTGTTGCTGCTGTAGCTGTAGCTAATGTTGTATTATTTTGGTCATTTGAATTTGAATCCACCTGATCACTCTAAAACATAAGAATAAGGAGTATTATAACAAATACAAATAATATTTGTTTACATTCGACTCTCATATTGTCCTTCAGGGTAAATTAATAAATTGTATAATGTTATTATTTGATAATATATAAGAAGGACTAAATCTTGCCTAAAAAGATAGTATTAGTTTAGGTCAGGAAATTGTTGACTACTTTAAACAAATCAGAATGATAAGTAATAATAACTAGACCAGACAAAACTGTAATAAGTAGTAGTTAAATTGCCTGTAAGTGATTTTGTACACAGAAAGAAAAGAATATAAAAACAAACAAATAACTGATTAAATTTGTAATAGAAATGTAAAATTTTTATTTAATTCACTAAAATGTAACCAAATAACATGGTATACCTGATTTTGATCAGCTGGTATTGATACACTGGAAAGTCTTCTATCGATATTAGTTAGTGGGTCCGATTCTTCATAACCTTCATCGCTCTCATCATCCGCATCACTTTGAAGACCCTTAACATTCAGTATTTATGTACAATATTAGCAAAATATACTGAATGTTTTGAATTAGAAAACAACTTTTCTTGTTCTATACGTTTTTATTTTAAAAAAGTGTATTTTAAATTTATTTCTCTACAATTCAACAACATTACAATAATTGTAATGTTGCCCAGCAAGAGGAACAAACCGCCAGGGGCTGAGATTTGAACCAGCGACCGTGCTTTGGTACACTGCCGTTTTATCTCACTCCGCCAGACGCTAATTATTGAGCTATTACTTTCATTATTGTTCCTAAATTTTCATTGTACGACTTATTAATTATAAATAACACTAAATAGTCAACATTTCTAATTTTAACCAAATACTACATCAATATAGATAAATTTAAGTATTATACTTCAACTGTTACCTTCTTCCTATTAGGATCTCCTTTATCGGATTCTGGAGTATCGACACTAATATGATATCTTCTTTCAAATTCAGTAGCAGCTAATGCTAAATTCTGAATTGAATTAACATCTGAATGGTCTCTAAAATAAAAATGTATAGTTTTATTAAACATGGTTACCTTTCCTAAATGAATAATAGACTTTTAAAAGGTAATAAAAACAGTTTTGACATGGATATGTCTTATGGTTGGGAGTTATTCTGAAAAATTGGTCCATAATATTTTGAGCGACATGTTAAGTGTCACGGTGGTGACGTTATCACGGATTATGGAGGTGAATTAATAGAGATAATAGATTGCAGGACATAGCCATGTATTGATGTATCTGCATGAAGTGTGGATACTCTTAACTTTTTTAATAATTTTTTATTTGAAAAAAATTCTACTTAAAATACATATCAATTAATATTACATTTTTTTTAAGAATAATAATTGCCACATTTTATAAAGTAATTTTTTTCAAATAATAATTAGATAGAGAAGTAACAACTTTTCATAGTAAACTACAAGAGTTGTGCCCCGGAATATTATATAGGTGCAGTGGATTCCCATTGCAATTTGTACGGCGCACATCTTATATTTTCTAAGTAATCTAGTTGGCTAGCACATTAAGCAATATTACAACTTGAATTAACTATAAAACTCACGTAATTGTCGGTCTTTCCCATTGGGTTGATCTTGCTAAATGATTAACATAATAAGTTCGTCCATTAGCATCTTGTCGTTCTTCCCACCCAGAAGGTAAAGCTGTACTTGATTCAATTGCGTTTGGTGTGTACGGCTAAAAATAACATAGAATAAATATGTATTTAAATAAATAAGATTTGTAATTCTGTAGTTTTTAACATACAGATGAAACATGAGAGCCATTCAAAACTTCAGCATTTTCAATCATTTCCCAATCACCCTCTACAGATAATCGACCAGAAGTACCTGGTTCTTGTTCCGGAACATATGCTAGATACAACTCTAGATAACCCTTTACTCTTGATCTTGCACTAAAATGTGGATAAGTATTACGTTTTTATAGTAATAGTAGTACTCAAAAAAACAATATGCATACTATACATTTATATGAACTTACCTTCTAGGCTTTAATACATAGTGAAGACTACATATATTTCTGCCAACTATTTCTTTAGGTACATTATTTAATGGTACTTCAACCATTCCTAAGAAATCATCTCTTGTCAGGCGATTTTCATCAAATACTTGCAGCACTAATTTATGTTCATGAGGTCGGACCTGTACATAAATTATAGAAGGTAAGCATATTGTTAATATAAGTTCATCACCGGACACAATAAAAAGAACAAATTATTTTGATATTGCTAGTAAATCAAGTATATTATTCTAAATAAATTTTAAGATGCAGGAAAAAACCATTGTAGTACATTTTTCATAATAATGAGCTGGTTATGCTATCTTATGTTTTTTTCCTGAACAAATCGATTCAAGAATGGAGTAGTAGAAAAAATAAAACAAGATCCTCGCTACAATACAGTATTAAAAATACCTATAACAGCAAAGATCTGAAACTTTGAACAGTACTAAAAATTTGAAAATATTGACTATTATGGTTTTTTTCGCAACACTTCAAATGGCAGTACTATTTTAAACAATATAATTACAGCATTAATTATATAATAAATATATATAACTTACACGAAATACAAACTCTTCATTCCAAACTGGATTTAAAGTCTGAAAAATGAAAAAGCAATCATGTTATATTTACTAGGTTATTACAGTATTTCTAACAATAACGTCATAATACAAAAAATTACAAGATATAGTTTTTAAGAATTTATTTGTTTTGTTTTTATGTTATTACAATTATTATTTGTAGCGTTTAAAATTATTTTACTATAAATTATTATTGTTATGTTTTTATAATAAAAGAATTCAGTACATTTTTATTTTGATAGTTAAAATGCATATAAATAAATAAATAAACCTAAAAATTGGTTTAAAAAAGTAGCAATTACTTATATGGAATTTTATTTCTTTAAAAAATAAAAATAGGGGACGAGTGGGTAAGGCGTCAGTGTGTATGGCGCACTGTCGCCGGTTCGACACTTGATCAAGGAAGCTTTGTTTACCAGACAAGATATTTTCTGGTAAAAAGGAGCCACTATCTCTCTCTCTGGTGATGGACTGACGACCCGTTCCGAACAGCTAATTAGACAAGAAACCATTATCTTATGATGGCAGCTTTGAACCTTTAAGGCCTGTTAAGCTTACATGATGATAAAATAAGAATCATATGCATATTAACTTGTATTTTAAATTATTTTTTTCATTTAAGTTAAGAAGTTCATACATAATTATAATTTTATAAATTTTAAAATTCTACAACTATATCAAGTCATGAAATTGATTGAAACATACAAAAATGAATTACTTTAAATTAATTTTAATTAATTACTTTAAATTAATTTTAATTTATGGAAACTAAGGGCTGAATAAAACATACAACATGTTAACATAAAATAATCTGAAATACTTACTTTCTTCTTTGTTTTTGTCAAAACAGAATCAATAGATACATTTCCAACAATTGTGTTTAGTTCTATTCTCACATATGGGTCACTAAAATAACATACAACAAATTTAAGCAACATAATATATACACCGCAAAATATTAAACTATCATTTACCTAGCACCAAATATATCTTTTTTTGCCAATGAATGGCCAGCAATCACCCTTAATCTAAGTAAAGGATCTTGATTCTAAGACACAACAAAATAAAACAAAATTATTATAGTAGTTAAACATTTTAATATATATATATTAATTAAATAAAAAAAGACTATTTTGTTTAAATTAATTAATTAAAATTAGAATTAGGTTGCCTAAAGACAAAGCTACTATGGCTCAGTAAAATCATAATTTTCCTAATTTTAAATAATGACTTGTGGTTTTTATGTTATTCACATCTATTGCTATTTTTAATGGATATATGAAAATGGATTTGATGTTTAAGATTAAGAAAAAATTCAATGATCAAAATGTGTAATTAGTTAAACTTGTATAATTAAAATAGAGTGTGGGAAAGTAATTGAGAAAAACTGTTCTCATTAACCCTCGCAAAACAACCGACATATTTATCCAGCAACTGTCCTGGAAGGGTTAAGCAACATACTACAAAAATCGAATTACTTAAGCTATTTACTGATTAAGTATATTATAATTTAACAAACATACATTCATAAGTTTAATAGTAGTCAGAATGATAAAAACATGAACATATGAATCATAAAGTAGAGTAAGATTCGGAGAGGTATCAGATGAATTTCCAGTAACAACAGGACTCAGACAGGGAGTCGCTCTATCGCCAGCACTGTTTAGTATTGCATTAGAATCAGTTATGCGAAAGGTACTAATCCATGCCAAAGGAATAAAAATGGACAATAAAGAATAAACCGTAGTAGCTTTCGCTTACGATATAGTCCTTATAGCCGAAACAGAAAACGAACTGAGAAATACAACTAGCATCCTGCTAAATGAAGGTAAAGAGATTGGTCTGAAGATAAATGAGTCAATAACAAAGTATATGATACTTTCGAGACAAAATCACAACACTGATTATCTAAAAGTTGATGAATACTAATTTGAAAGGGTACAGAGCTTCAAGTATCTAGGGGCAGAGATTAATGAAAATGCTAATAGCCACGAAGAAGTGAAAAAACGACTGATGGCAGCAAATCCATGCTACTATAGTCTAATGCCATTATTCAAATCAAGATTACTATCCATAAAGTCTAAAATTACATTATACAAAGTCATAGTTAAACCAATTGCTCTATATGCATGTAGTACATGGGCCACGACAAAATCAGATAAAAAAAAGTTAGAAGTGTTTGAAAGAAAGATATTAAGGGGGGGGGGGGGTGGAGACAACATGTTGTTGCGGCGATGGGCCTTACAGGCCTGTTAAAGCCTAGAAGAAAAAAAAGGTAGATAATATTTATATATATATATATATATATATTATATTATTGTAACATAGGCACTTCAACAAATTTAAAGGTCGATGGTACAAAATGATAATTAGTAGCTAGACAACTCTCTAACATTCCAGCCTAGCCACTAAAATAGTTTAAGTTGAACAAGAAACTAAACAGAAACCAATTGGAAAAATTCTAATTGGTCTTCAAAATCTCATACGACTTCATGCACACAAATTAGAAATACTTTTCCCACACTATAAGAGGTAATCCCAAATTTAAATTTCTACTATTACATGGATGATTAATATTATGAGGTTATAAACCACAATTTACTGTGTACACGGTTTATTTTATGATCCTTAGAATATTTTGTTTCAATTAAAAACCGAAAAATACAGGAATCAAGTTTTTTTAATGTTTCTACCTATGTAATAATAGATATTATATGGGCTCTAGTTATAGCACTTTTGTTTTATCCTGTACACAGTCAAATATTATGTCTATTCAAGTAATAGGTATTTTTTAATTATATCCTTTATTTAAAATTATACAAAATCTTTAATACAAAACTCACAGTTTGGGTTTGTTCCATTTTCTCACAATCGGATTAACCGAATATTTTGAGGTGACGACAAAAATCACTAAAACTCACGCTCATGGATGCTCATTGACGTATATTTGTAATTAAAAATTATTATCCTGTGACTATTATTTTACGGAAATATGTGACAATTTAAAGAGAAAAACAAAATTGACGATACAGACTGATATAAAAAACACTGGACAATGGTCATTGGACGAGGGCTACCATCTGTTTTCCAGTCGTGGCAGTTTGCCAAAGCGAAACTGTCGTATCCTTTTATCTAGTGTTCACTGGACGCACTTGTCACTCTCACACTCTTCGACATTCGACGTTTGCGAACTCGAGAGGTCGCGAAATCATAATTTATTATTTTGGAGTTCAGTAAATTGTTTTGTGAACTACGTATAAGCGGATGAAAATAAGTAAAAATGATTTTGTTTCTCCCCAACAAATACCTACGAAATACCTACTGATAATAACAAATTACCATAAAATTGTAATTAATAATTAGGTATGTCTGTAATACCATGAATACCAAATGAATAATATGACGATCTCAACTTTTGATATGCATACGCATCAAATATACGTCTGGCATCTGGTTCGTTGCAAATTGAAAAATTTAATGACTGCGTATACACAAATTGTGATACAAGAAAGTTGTAAACTGTAATCATACCTATTAATTGGATCATGGCCCTAAATACATATTTATATTATGATATATTTAAGCTATGGATGGGATGTGCTAGGACGAAGAATTTCAATACTTTTAAGTTATAACTCGATCAAAACTTGCTGTGCTCACTTTTTTTTCAGATATCAGACGTGATAAATTTTTACACTATGAATCGATTTGTTTGATCAGCACCTCTATCGATAAAAAATATGAATGGATCAGTTCTATAGTTTTTCAATTTTATCTTTTTTTAAGTTCATCCCTAAGTTTCTAGAATAAAGTTGGCTAACTTATGTTGTTTTTTTTATATTTTAGATGATAGACATAATTTGGAATACAAATACAAATGACGTATACTATAGTTCAGGAGCTAATTTATGAAGCTAAGTCGAAACGAGCCACATCGTTAAGAGATGTTTATAAAATGAAAAAATGAAAATTTATTAATTTTACTCTAATCTTAGTTTCATGAGCCGCACGAAACTGATTTAAGAGCCGCATGCGGCTCGCGAGCCTCGTTGAGGACACACCTGTTATAGTTTATATGCTTGCTTTATACTACCCCTCGATTAGAAATTGCAGTGATTACCAGCTGAAACTTGAATAATATAATATTATAAGTATAAGCATTAAGCACGAGTGACCGAGTGGGTAAGGCGATAGCGCTCACTGTTGCCGGTTAGGTTACGCGGAGTATAGGTCCGTTTGCCGGGGCCCTGGCGAGCCGTCGAGGACTGACGACCCGTCCCGGATAGTGAATCCGTCTAGTGACTATCTCATGTGACATCGGTCAGCGTTGGGCCTTAAATGCACGATAAGCTGTTGATGAGAATATAAGCACATATTATATATATGTATATATCCTTCAGGCTACAGTTCAATTCTCATACCTACGCGTAGTTAACTAAAAGTTTGCATACTAGAGAAATAAAATAGAATTTATTGAGTTATGTGGTTGTTTTTAAGCGAAAGAACCATCAGTAATTTGAATAGCCCCCCGTCCTGGCATTAGCTTTTACGGATCAAACTTAGGGCAATATTTGGCAGAAATAGGTACATGTACTTGGTTTGCTAAATTTCACAATGTAAACTATTTTTCGAATTCATTTTTATTATCTTTAGGGTATACTTTTCAAAGAATACAATTTTTTCTATGAGAAATGCTCAATATAGCCATTTTTATGATGAGAATTCTACTACTATCTTATCTTAAAAAACGACGATGGCCAGATTTTATAACTATTTTTTGTTTGAAAAATTTAATGAAAAAATTTATTTATTTATGGTTTTAACTTTTAAAGAGAAAAAGCCTAAACATGAGACATGAATGTAAAATTTAGGTTGTAAATGGTACATAATGATTGCAATATTTGATATCAAAATATGATAACTGTAGTCTGTAGCTACTAGCTTATATGAGCAAACTAATATTAGTTGATGATTTTCGGATCTATCCATATTGTCATAGTTTAGCTGATGTAATGAAGCTATTGCGGAATGCAGGGTCCATTTTCATAGATAATATATGTATTATCTATGATATGATGTAGAGCCTCACTCACTATGCTTCAGCCTAAATAATATTGGCTGGTTTTTAATTTCATACTATACAAAAATCACACATTTTAAAATTGGATAATTTATAATTTTATTTAACTAGATATACAATAAAAATAATACCATTAAGTATTTAACTTTTTTTATGAATAATTAACACATAAAATGTATAGTAAAAAGTTAACAAAATTATACAGCGTCTATGCACACCTATATAGATTAGTTCTCACAAATCGTCTATGCCTTGAGCGGCGGATTGCTAGTCTTATCTTGTTGCCGCAGGTTATTTCATCATGTCATGAGAAACGACTAACATAAATTATACTATTACCATCGAGACACAAGTTTAGACGAGTGCCGCTTATTTTTAGTTTTATCACTAATTAAATGTATTATTTAAATAAAAATAGTTGAATATGCACCATTCGCCGGAAACGTATAGTAAATTCAAAATAGACACTATAATGTAAGAGTGTTAAGTACCTACTTTAGGTTCCTATTATATGGTAATTACCAAAATTGCAAAATAATAATATTAAAAATAAAGTTCACAAAGCAGCGCTAAAATTAAAACATAGAATATCAATTAACTAGGTATTTGAAAAGAATAATATTTACAATAAGCGCCCGTCATAATTGTCATTTTTTTCAAATTAATTGAACATTTTGTTTATAATCTGGGTCCTAACTCCTAGATCTGTATTTTAAAGATATAGGTACTCAATGGCGTATTTCAGGGATAGATTTGCCTTGGTATGGGTTAAATACTGGGGATGTGATGTATAATAATTGATTACCCAAAAATTCTGTTTAAAAATACTGTCAATATACCTACCCCATAAAAGAAAAACGCCATTATCTATAAAATAACTGGGATCTAATAATAACTCGGGACACTATATTGTATTTGTAGTATTAATGCCATTTTATATAAAATATTTATACTACCATTATCATAGTTTTGAAAAAAATCACAAAGAAAATCTTTCTTATTTAAAAAATTTAGTAGGTTTTAGTTAGGACCATTTTACTAATAAGAAAAAATATATTTAACTGTATTCAAATATATTAAGCATACCGTTATAAATCCTGAAGGTGGGGTTATTGTTGATTTCCTAGTGGGCCTTCTGAGTTCAGCAAATACAGTAGTAGGTCGACTCCCAGTCGAATGTCTTCGTATTGGTAAAATTCCAGCAAATCTTCGCCTTGATGGGGGAGCAATTCCATCTTCTGAAGGCACCTGAAGAAATCGCGAAGATGACATGCCAGGCCTATCATTATTATTATTACTCATATTGAAAATGTTCATTTATGCACATATGAATAATAATAACAACTACATGATTAAAACTGAACTGCTTGAAGCAACTTTTGAAGCATTCAGCTTATCTAGAGCAGTGTACAACTATCTTATCTGAACATTACAATTGCGTATTATCTTCAAATAGCTGTAAAACAAAAGTGGCAGTACTATTTATTTTACCTACATATTTATCCATGATTCCAACATAAAACCTCTATTCTGTGTTTATAATTTACAAGAATAAAAAGTATATATTTTTTTTTTAGTAAAGGACAACATTTTATTAGAATAACGTAATATAATTTAAAGAAATATTTATTTTAAGAGTATAATCATTTTTAAGATTTGGTAGGTATTTTTGATATCTTTAGTCACCAACGCAATCATCAATGAATAGTCGTCCAACGAGTAACGGTTCTTCAGTCTCGACGGCAATCTCGACGATAATACCAACCATTTCACATGACAAACTGTGTAATAGCCAGCCATCTTGCATTGTTAAATTATAAATTTTGGAGTTTGGAACAACACAGCTATAATCTTCACAATTATTAAAAAATAAGTTGTCTTCACCTTGTATACCAAATTCCATTTTATAGGGCATTCCGTAAGGATCTATGGCAACAACAATTATTTTATGTACATTAAATGGCTTTAAAGCTTTAACTGTTATTTCCAAATTCAATTTTGATTTAATTTCATAGTTACATACTAATATTCTATGATATGTATCATTTTCTCTAGTGCCATTTAATCTTAAACATCCACCATCAGTTAGTGCTTCACTGTTGGTATGAGAAATACAAGGATGTTTACTATCAAATAAACAAATTGGAACAGTTGGTTGAAAATTCAGTTTTGATAAATCAAACCAAGGATTAACTGAAGAGACTTCAGCTTTTTCCGTTTTTTTTAAACCATATCCTCTACAAAAATTAGTGCATAACGGTAGTGTAGAAGGAATGTGAATATACATAAAAGGATAAAGTGATCTCCAAAATGCATTTTCTGTTTCAGTGAATTGCTTTTTATCTATTAAAGTCTCATATGTCCACCCAGGAGCAAATATGGCTACAGACAAATCATATTTTCTGATTATTTTTAAAGATTTGTTACATTCTAAACCACCTAAGCAGTTTCTACCAAATACGTCTACACCTACATAAACATCAACAATTCTACTTCCAGCATTAATGACAGATTTTATAAGATCTTCTTCCTTCCAATTATAGTTTAAAAATATACCATCACAAGCTTGAAATGCCAATTTATTATGAACATTCAGTTGGTTTTGCCAATTTAGTTCTCCATTTACCATACTAACTGAATCATACCATATAACTTCAGAATGTGGAATTATTGCTTTTAATTTAGTTCTTAATAAGCTTATGGTTTCTATCATGTTTTCAATATTTTCTATTGGCAAGTTATTTTCTATATTAATAAGGTAACCGTCAAAACTATAGTTCTTGCATATTGCTACTAGTTTATTAACTAAGATATCTCTTTTTTCTAAATTAGTAAATAGTTTTAACCATAATTCATGTCCGTCGTCCCATTCAGTAATTAAGGTTCCTAGACACTTCACACCATGTTTATGTGCGGAATTTGTCCAACCAATAGGTGGTATTGTTACAAAATGATGACTGAAATATATAAAAGTATCTACTATAGACCAGTTGTAAAATGTATACTCATCCAGACTTTGACAGCCATTCACAAATCTATCATTTTTGTAGCCTCCTTGCATATCATGACAGATCAATGTCTTAGGCAAACCTCGATTGAAATGTCTTTTAGGAGTCATTAACTTTTCATGACACTTGTAATCATTACCAAAAATAGAATAATTTGCACGAATTTGTAACTCTACAACTGGAAGTTTATCTAATTCCCCTTGCCAGGACAGTACTTCTTCTAATGATTTTATAGGTGATATTTCAACAGTTCCCATTATGGTAAATTCCTATAATACATATTAGGATTTAAAACAAATAAAACAAATTTCTAAAATAACAGGAACTACTGTAATATTATTAAATTATTTAATAACCTACGTGATTCAATAAAAATTATTTTTTAGTTGAGTGAAAATTGCATGTTATGAAAGATAAAATATAAAAATATGTACTTTGTAATGTCACTTAACATGCACTTGCACCATAGACCTAACCGAAAGTCGATAGACTTCTTATAGATCTATGACTTGCACAGAAAACAAAATTGAAAATAACGAAGTCAAAAAGCAAAATAGATCATTCTTATTTTGTTATGTTATTGAATGACAATATTTAGTAAAGTGATACATCTAAGAGATAAGCGGCAAAACCTGGTAATGCGGCGTGTTATCAGCATTATAAAATAATCTCAATATCTTACCACTAACACACTTTTCTGTGCTCTCTCACCCTGCTCTCAACTTTTAACTGCCGATCCCCCGACTTTACCAGGTTACACCTCAAAGAGCCACTCGACACGGAGCCACTCGACAAACAACCACCGAAAATCGACACGGAGCCACTCGACAAGCAGCCACTCAAAGGGGTACCAACATATACAATATTTATAAAAAATGCACGATTATTATTCGTGTATGTTGTGCGGCTAGTATTGTTTATTTAAAGGGGAAAACTTGTACATTTCATAATTAATGCAATAAGGCTTGAACTATTTTTAATTCACTGTGTGACCTGTCTCCGGTTTTGAGTTTTTTTATTTAAGTTATAATCAAATGTTTCTATTATTGAAATTTATATAAAAAAAAAACTGAAAGTATATGAAACAATATTTACAATATTATATTATAGTGATAATTTACCAACAATAAATTGTCTCTTGAGTTTTAAAAAAAAAATGTTTTTCAAAACATACTTACACGTTTTATAATAAGTAAAGCAGAATGTTCATTGATCAAATTTCAATGAAATTATACTTTTTTTTTAAATTATTTAATACCGATATATTATACCTATCTATTTAAAACAATATATCGTGAATACCTCATACGAAACTATTAGATACCAGACACATTTACTTAAATACTTTACAACTTCCAATAGGCAATAACACAATAATAAATTATAGTTAAATATTATTTAATTTTGTATTATATATTTTCATATCTGTGTATTAGTTATCATGTTATATATATGCCAAAAATAACAATTCCGAAAATATTTAGAACCGAAACATATATTAACCAAAAATATAATAGCCGAAAAATATTTAAGTCGAAAATATAATAGCCGAAAAATATTTAAGTCGAAAATAATATTTACGAAAAATATTTAGGTCGAAAATAATGTCATCGAACGTATTTTAGCTGACACTTATTATTTGAACAGAACCTTTATAAGTTATAAATTATAATAGTATAAAAAAACAGTGTTACGCGCGCCGTGTGACCGCGGTGTGTCTACTGTCTACGCTATTTTTATAACATCTGTGATAAGTTCCATTTGTTATTGAAATATACAGCTATTTTTTATTTTGTGGTTGACATTTTTTTTCCATATATACTACCAATGCTTAATTGTTAGTATTTGTTTATACTTAGCTACACAATAGTAAATTCAAACAGGGACAACCTATGGTAGACTGGCACCTTGCCGATGCTGAATAAAATGTTTATATATTATTAAGCCGGCAGTAGTTTTTTGGGGTCTAAAAAAACCGGTATGGTTCTTTTGGATCTAGATATGATGCACTCATCAGACTTATCACTAATGTCCAGCTAATATATAAAATAGATCACTCCAGTTTATGTGTAAACAAGGTCAGATACAAGAGGAAGGCTGGAGTTAATAGTTAATAGTTTATAATACAATCTATATTAAAATAAATATAAACCAAGTCAAACTATAACGAATTTATGAGTAGTAAATTCACATGGCTCAGGTGCTATAATATAATATACATAATATTATCATTGATTATCATTAATCAAAGATATTATGTATAAATGCACAAACAACAATAAAATTCAAGTATATTAAATTTATATTTATAAACACAGATTTCTTTATTTCACACTATTATAATATACAAGTTAAAAGTTAGCTATAACTTAAATTTAAGTGGCATGTGTACTGGCGTTGTCGATTGCATTATCTAGATGTTTTTATACATGTGCATAGAGTACACAAGGGTTTCACAAAATGATTGATACTTAGTGTGTGATATTATAATTAACGTGAAGTGGGTCTCATACGGTTATAGTTATTAACGAAACGTTAATATTACTAAGTTTACTATGGTCAAGTTTATACAAACTAACGGTTGGTTACCAACTGCGGCCATCCATCACTGATGTTAAATAATTATGAGATTCGAGCTATCAAAAAAAAAAATATAATGGTTCAACACGTTTGCGGTGGCCGGTACTTAACAAAAGACTGCAAGGAAATAGTTTTTACTAAAAAAATTGATGATGTTACTGTTTAATAAATTTTAATGTTATAATTATTAAAATTTATTTTATTATTGACCACGATTTAATAAAAAAAAAATTGTTTGGCTTAAGTATTCTAACAGCCTTGACAAAAATGTATTTTCTAAAATGATTATGTACATGTTTATTTTTAAAAGTTATTATCAGCAGTAATAAACATATAATATTAATCATTTGTTGAATAAAAACTAATAGTGTACATATTATGAACACAACGGATTTCATACAAGTTATTTTAATATTAAAGTTAGAAACAATTGTACATTATTAAAGAAAAATACTAAATTAATATAATCAAGTTTATAAAAAATGTTTACTAAATTATTTACACTTGGCTTATAGTTTTTAAATTTTGAACATAGTTGGAAAAATAACAAAATATAGTTAGAACATTACAAATAATTATGGTATAAATCTACTTTACCGGGCACCCTTTTTTTCGATTATTTTTTTAAATCGACAGTACTTTTAATGTTGATTACGAATATGTAAAAAATTTGCGCCGCTCGCACTTAGTTTGGAAGTTACAGACTTTTAAAGTTCGCCGAAATCGACATACGTGCGCGCCCCGGCACTGCACATCTACCCGCGCCCGCTGGGTACTTCGTCCGTCGATCGCCGCTCAATTATCATCAGATTCCTCGTCTACCTGCCTCCCGCCCGTCGTGGTCCTTTTTTTTTTGCATCATAATTTCATCACGCTAATATTTGACTTAATTGGGATTTTGCTATAGCGAACAATGAACAATTTTTGGCTCGCCCGATGCACATTGTTGAGACTTGAGGATGACTTAGTAGTAAATATTAATGTTTTATCGCGCCCCGCTAATATTATAAAGTATTACGGGCTATTATAAAGCAATACATGTTAATCATTTTTTATAATTTGGTTATTCATTTATATTTTATGATTCTACATATATTAACACAAAATAAATATATAATGCTGTTTTTCTACAAACTCTGATGAAAGTTGTGAGGGACACACACACACATACATTAATTTATATATATATATATATATATATATATATATATATATATATATATATATATATAGATAATAAAAATAGAAATAATTAATCAGATAAAAAAATCCAATTTATATAGATGGCCTATAGCATAAGCCAAATGGGTGGAAAATATACACATTTGCCAATTAGCTAAAAATGTACTTTTTTTTTATTTTTATATCGGTATTTATCTAATTCTAACCCTCTGCTTCTGAGTTTTTAATAATTAGTTCTAAGTCAATAAAAAGTAAAAACCTTTATCAAATACTTTTTAGTTGTATATATAATATATATATGGATCGTTCATTCCGATACTCATGAAAATGCACACAAATTAAACAATGTTCAATAACTTCATTTGTTTTATATTTAAAATATATTTGTAATTTAATTGGAATACATGAAAGCAAGTTAAAATATTATTCAATTAATATCGTTGCAATATACATAATTTTTTTACCTATGTATTATATTAATAAATAAGTATCAATAATATAAAAATGTATAATTATTTATAATAATAGAGTAAAAGTATTTAGAAACAATAATTATTATTAATAGAATGAGTTAACAATAAATCCTGTTGAGTAAATTGAAATGTTTACAATGAACATAGTAACAATGTCTTCTATACAATAGGGGTTTTAATAAAAATATTATATTTTCTACAAAGTTACTGTTTTTATTTTTATTGATATACAATTTGGAAATTACATTTTTTGCTATTACTCCGTTATAATATGTGGTGTCGGCCGCACAACATACACAAATAATAATCGTACATTTTACATAAATATTGTACATGTTGGTATCTCTTCGGGTGGCTGTTTGTCGAGTGGCTCCGTGTCGATTTTCGGTGGCTGTTTGTCGAGTGGCTCCTTGTCGAGTGGCTCCGTGTCGTGCTCCCCTTTACCATAGAGTTGAAAACAGATAATAAATTATACTGTAATCACGGTCTTCTATACTATACAACCACGGTTATAGATAAACCGTTTATCTATAATAATGTATACAATCTATAAGACCGTGATTATAATTATAATATGTTTGTTCGTTTTGACAAAAAGTGTACACCAAAGCGTTCGTTTTGAAATATCAGATATAGTTGTTGTATCAGTGTTCTTTTTTTTCAAAACGAACAATGCTAATTAGTATATCAGTGGTTTAAATGAAAACCATTAGTTAACCAAGGTTTATAGATTGTTTATTATACCATCTACTAATCTTGGTAGTTAAGAAATTTTAGCTTAATAAAATTAGGCGCTATTCCACTGCTGTGTGAAATCGCCTAAACTAATCCTTTCTTTTACCCAATTAAAAAAATTATACATTTACACAAGTAAAAAAACAAGTTACATTTTTAATGACCGAAAATTAGCTGACGACTCAAAATTAGATTTTATTGGCATTGAAAATTCTATTATAAGTCACGAGCTGCGACATATCATACAATATTTTTTATTTTTTAAACCATGCACCAATTTTTCTTAAACTGGGAACTCAAATGCGCATGCTCAGATCGCCTCAAGACGTCATCGAGTGCCGCTGTCAGCGCAGCACGTTGGCTCGCTGGAACTACATGCATGCTCCGTCTATATAGTAGACAGTAGGGTTCAACACTCATCCATAGACCATAGTAGACAAGTCATAAGTCCATAGTTGGGGTAACACAATCAACATTTTTCCTTATCTATTTTAACGATAAACGAACGCCTACGCAGTACGCGGTCTCAATAAGTTACAAGTAACAACAACCTAACATTATAACAGACACAGGCAAGGCAGCTAGAGTGACTATAATACTTAAAGTGACTTCAGTGACGCCTCACGCCTGCTGCAGTCGCCATTAGAATTTAGGACGCCGTTAATTTCAATTTTTATGTTGATAATCGTCCGTTAATTTTTAATAATTGTACTTCACTTCTTAAAGGTAAGTCTGTCCAAAATTTATCTTAAAGCAATTTATAAATACCAATTATAGCCTGTGTTTGGTTATTAATTAAACTAGGGCAACGTTTTGTGCTACTTTTATTCTCACTACAATAATAAAAAAGTGGAGCAGTCAATTTATTTCGGCAATTTGATTTTTCTATTCTAAAAGTCTTATGCATTTTTCTCCATGTCAGGTGAATACATGTAAACAAGATGAAAATAATAGTACTGCTAGCTGTGTTAGCTAGTTCTAGCAGTTTTGTATACAAGCATACTGTAAATCTTGAAGAAATAAACAAAATTTTTGGTTTATCAAACTGCATTGAAGGTAAATTAGAGACTATAGTTCAGTACATGTATGGGCCGGTTACGTTAAAGTATATAACTCATTTTAACTACAAGGTTTTTTTGTAAATTTATTTTAGCTTAATGTTGCTTGGGATATATACTTTACAGAACGACTTTGTAATGCCTGGGTTTATTTTATGTAAATAAGTAAAAAGATTTATTTAATTACAAGCAATAAATTAAAAATTAATAAGAATGTTTATTATTCAAATAATTACTTAAAGTTTTTGAAAAACATTAAAAAAAAAAAACATTTGTTTTTATTACTATTGACTCCTGTATAAGTTGAATGAATGAAATGAACCCTTTAACTTTTCATCTACTTTCCTCACTGGCTCAATCAATTTATTTTAATATTTAGCGTGATTCATTACTCTTCTGTCTTCATTTGAATGGCATTATGCAGAAAGCATCTATCCTACACAAACAAAAAAATGAGGGCATAAATTAATTATATCAGGCACACTTTTGTTTTGCGATTTTTTTTTACTATCTTGTACTATTTTTTACGCTGATTATGTATCTGAAGTAAACATTTGGCGGATTTCTCTAGTTCTAAAGTTATAGCTACTTGAAATTTGTATATTTCCGCATGTATAACAATAAATGGCGTCTACGGCCACAGCCGTCCGCCGCCACACTATACCTTTGTCTGGAAAGCAATGATAGATTAGTTTAGGTTCGGTCTTATTAGTTCGCTGACAATTTTAGAGTGGTAAATTAGGTTAGTTTAGTATTTAAATTGTATAATATTATATTCTAGTCTTGGCATCAATAAACCGTGCCGGGAACACGGGGGAAGTAATACTGTAAGGTGACCCCCCCTGTGTTCTTATGGACTTGTAATAAAAAAAAAGGTAAGTTTAGACCATTAAGCAAGCTATATTTTCCTCTGGGGGTTTGGGAGAGTGAGCCCCCATCCAACAAAAAGTCCAGAAGGGATTAAAATACCTAAGAAAATTCCATTATTGTTCAATACAATATTGTCTATTAATATGTATAGTATAATATTCAATAATAATAACAATAATAATAATAATAAATAATTAACTAATAATATTCCCGTTTTTTTTTTTTTATAAGATTTTTTAACTTTTTTATGATGCCTATATTTTTTATACAAATATAGGCATAAAAAATCTATTTAAGCCATATAGATTTTCTTTACAAATAAAAACATAATACGGTATAATCAGTCTAAAAAAAAATATGTAATTCTAGTACAGTAAAAAATAAAATGCTTAATATGCATTACAAACAATTAAGTCTTTGTAATATAATTTTAATAAATCAACATAATATTCTATAAAAGAAAATATGATGTAGATACAGTTAATCACAGTTGCCATTCAGCATTATTGTTAAGACACATTCGGCCTTCCTAGTAAGTTCCTGGATGGGTGACCTGAGAATTTTTGTAACAAAGTAATGCTCCTCTCAACCAGCACATCTTGTTTCAGAATCAATTGATACAACTTTTTTGTTTAACCCTAACAATCTGGCCCTACTGTAACCTCCCAATAAACCTGAAATTTGCTTAACTTAGTTTGTTAAGTGTAAACAACTATTTTTTTCCTTTAAAATTGTTTACAATAATAAATATAGGAAAAAAATCTGTTTTATAGAAATATTTCAGCGTACCTGTTTTATTTAACTACATAATATATAAACTAGGTAGTATTTTTATCCTGTTACTATGTATTGATTTTAGTCTTAAAAAACATATCGGTTAGGTAATGTTATGTATTGTCCTACTAATAAACACTATAGCTTTTGCTTTATTAATCAATTGCTTATAATCATCTAACCCTATATCTTATTAATTTTAGAATAATACTTAAGCTTATAAATTGTAAATCAATGTGTATATTTCAACTACAGACGGTCATTTACTAAATTACATAATAAATGATTGTTTAAATTTCGTAAGTATTGATTATTTACAGCAATAAAAAAATTTTGATCGTTAATTAGTAGAATTTATATAAAAATCTAAACAAAAAAAATAATTATTGGGTAATTAAAAAATAGTTTCGAAGATTTTTCAATTATTTTCGGATATTTTATTGGCAGTTATTAGATTTAACTGTTATTTTATAAAGATGAAAGATTTATCGATTATTAAATTATTTTAAAATTATTCTCCAAACCGGTCAGCCATAGTTTAAACATAATTGTTAAGTATATTTTAAATGAATGATTATTGAATGCGTTGACATAAACTTATTTTTTAATTTTTTTTAAAATCTTAAATCTAGTTTAAAGGACTTTTTATAACTATTGATATCAATGTTATAACATAGTATACAACAAATTTTAACAATATATTTCCTAATATTTTTAACAGATTATATTAGGTAGACTAAATAATTTTATTAATTTTGTATATAATAATATATTTTTATAAATAGTAAATATATATAAATGAATATTATGAACATGAATTTTAAATTTGAATGATCTTGCATCGTAATTTTTCTGTTTGCTACACTCTGTTTTTATAAAATAGTTGTATTCTTAGAATTTTTTAATTAAAGCAAACTCAATAGTCAACTGTTTACAAATTTTAAAACTAAGTAAGGAGTATAAATATATTATATATTATTATTATTATTTTCAATTTTTCTTATGATTTACATTTATGGTCTTTGACGCTTGTCAAAATGCAAGCCTTGTAACAATATTTGGAATTCATTTGATCATATTTAACATAAACTAAAGTTATAGTGTGTTAAAATTAAATTTGCAAAAATCACACGTTTGTTTAGGATTTTACTGATTTTGAAAGAGGCAAAGTGAACTAAATACTAACTACTTAATAAACCCAATATCAAAGTTGAAAATTACAGCTAACAGGGTCGAGCTAGGCAAGTGTGATACAGGAGAACCCTGGTAGGCCAGAGAATAAAACTTTATTTTTTAAATATCTAGTTGCTTTATTTGTTAAAGAGGTATCATATTCTGTATTAAAATAAATAAAAAATAAAATGGTGTTACTCAGAAGACTAGAAGCCTACGCAGAAGACATATTAGCAGAATATCAATCTGGATTTAGAAGAGGAAAGTCTACGACCAATCATATTTTTACATTAAGACAGCTAATGGAATAATGTTTTGAGTACAATAAAGATCTGCATATCCTGTTCGCAGACTTTAAGCAAGCGTACGATAGTATTGACCGAGAACAACTGTGGACTGCACTAAGGAATTTCAGGATACCTGGAAAACTTGTGAAGCTAGTTGAAATGTGTAACCAACAAACCTTCTGCAATGTACGCTTCATGAGAGAGACATCCAAAGCTTTTGAATGTAAAACCTGTTTGAGATAAGAAGACACATTTTCCCCAGTACTCTTTAACATGGCGCTTGAAAAAGTGATAAGAGACATTCAGGAGGAGCGAGAGATGGAAATAATCGGGGTACACACATTTTTGGAATATGCAGATGACATCGTCATTCTAGGAACATCCAAGAATGAAATTGAAGAATAGGTTAAGAGATTATTCAAAGCTAGCCATAATATGAGTTAATGAAGCCAAAACAAAATATATGGTTATGTTAAGACAAGTGACTCAAAAGAATAACATCAAGGTAAATGGATACTCATTCGAGCAAGTGAAAAAATTCAAATATCTGGGAGTAAATATTAATGAGGAAAATAATATGCACAACAAAATCAAGATTAGAATGTGCGCAGCGAATAAAAGCTATTACACTATGAAAGATGTTCTCATCAAAGCTTACGTCATACCGAACGAAAGAGATGTTGTACACCACATATTTGCCCCCCATAGCAATGTATGCATGTAAGACATGGGCAAGTACTAAAAGAGATGATTAAAAACTCAAGTTTCAAGAGGAAAATATATGGGCCAGTATATAATGCTGGTTCAGGGATATTCAAAAGAAAAAGGAATGACCAGATACAAAGACTTGATAAAAATCCAAGTATATGCCAATTCATTCGTAGTAAGAGGATAGAATGGGCGAGCCACGTGTGGCGGGTAGAAGGATGCCTCATAAGGAAGGTTATGGTGGGGGCTCCGATTGGAAAGATACCCCTGGGGAGACCACGCCAGAGTTGTTTTGATACGGTGAAGAGAGACCTGTCCAAAAGAATAAACACCTTCAGCATCAATATGGCAACGGAGAGGGATCAGTGGAAAAGGATTGTAGAAGCGGCAAAGGACATTAACGGTCCATATTAATAGGCCTGAAGCAAAAGAGAACAAAATCAAATATGTTTGTTAAGTTGCCATAATTTGTTTATGTTGTGTATTTGTAAACAAATAGTTTGTTGGCTTTTACTTATATGGGATAGGTCTAGTCCTAAGGCTTTCTTTAATCGAGTAGGTAGCTTGTGACTACTGTGCTTCGTTTAATATTTTTTGAATTTAATCAAAATAGGTTTTACTGTAAGTGAAGTGCCGCATGTTTTATATTGAAAGGCTCCCTTTGTCTAAGTACTTATGAGTTAAGTGTGTAAGCTTATTCATAATCAGTTTAGCTGCACATATGGTGAGCAGGAGGTCGTAGAACTTCTAATTGATTACCTCATGTATGCTAGAGTGTGTGTTAGTGTCAATATTAACTGTTCGAGGATCGGTTTGCTTTCTTTAACTGTTGTGTTAAGAATATAGTTAATATCACCAAAAAATTAATTTGTACCTTTAACATAAGCAGGCCAGCCAGGAAGCATGTTAAAATAGGAACTAAGAATATGTAAATACTAACAGATTATTTCTGTGTTATTATTGGTTTTTCTACTTATTTTTAGGCTACCTGATGGCGGATCATATTGTTAAAAATTCTGATCATAGTTCAGAATCGCAAGGTGAAAATGATTTTGCTTCAAATTCAAATGACAAGGATAAAACTCCAATGTGTCTTGTAAATGAACTAGCAAGATATAATAAGGTATTATCTTCATTTATTTAATTGAGAAGGATATTATTTTTGATTTGATTTTAAAGTTTAACTATCTACATATTTTAATAGTTATTGTGTAAAATGTGATAATTTTAATAATAATTATTATTATTTGTTATTTATTTTATATATAGATTAAACATCAGTACAAACTGACAAATGAACAGGGTCCTCCTCACAAAAAAAAGTTTACTGTTACTCTTCAATTAGGAACTGAAGAGTATAATGCTGATGCAATGAGCATTAAAAAAGCCCAACATGCTGCTGCTGCTCTGGCTTTGTCAAAAACTAACTATAAACAGCCTCAAACCAAAATGAAGCTTAAATCTACTGGTCATTATAGTAATTATACTATTTATAAACTTAAAATAAATACCATAATTTAATGTTTGATTTATAATATAATTAAAAAATTTTTAATTAACATAACATATAATAATAAGATTTAAATTAAAAAAATTTTTTAATATTATTGAACTTTTTATTATTAAATTGTAATTGACATATTGAATTTAACATACCTAAGAATGGATTCAGGGATTATTCCCTCATCACTAGACCTTTAACAAAATAAGTAATCTATATTTCAGTCAATAATTATTTTGTTACATTTTTCTTAAAGAAGTTGGTGATGGAAAACTGAAAAACTGAGTTTTTTAAAGAAACAATATAATGAAAATTGTTTCAGTTTGTACCACTAAATATGTCAAATAAACCCAATTGTAATTAAATAATATTTATTAAAAAATCTCAGAACCTTAAGAAAAATAAAAACGTGAAGCTCACTTGCCAAAAGTTAAAAAAAGTTTCAACGCCCATTTTAAACAAATTTGTATAATTGTGCCAAGATTTAATACACAATATTATTAACTGGAAGAGGAGTTAAATAGGGGTCAATACCCACATGTGATACTGTATATAAATAATTTGAAAATTGCAACTTTCTCCACCTTCATAGTAGTTTTTTATTTAAATATGAAAATGGTATTACCTTTTTAGATAATATAACTCCAACAGTGGAATTAAATGCCCTAGCAATGAAACGTGGAGAGCAGACTACTTATACTGTTGTGGAGACACCACAATATGTAACTAACTCTTCTACAACTCCATTGTACAATGGATTTAAGCCAGATCTATACTCGCATGCAAGAAATGGACCATTTAATACTTTTACCAATATTGTGTATGTATTTTATTTAGTGTTAATTTTATGTGTTTTACCATGCTAGAAAAGTTTTTTTTCACAAATTCTTTAATTATGAAAGGTAATGAAACATTTCTATTAATTAATAGGCATTTAATGTAAGCTACAAAAAAAAAATAACTAACAATTTTCCTCAAAGTCTTGGATTTTTATACATTTTATATTTATTTATTGATAAATATTTTAAACTTTAATTTTACAAATTAAATAAATTAGGGGATGTTAATAAGTTGCCTATTTACATTAAATAAATGGCTACTAACATTATAAAGTATTAAAAAACACTTCACATAACTAGTTATGTGATTTTTATCACATACCTCATTAAAAGTTAAAATATCCTCTTTTTGGGTGCACTAAAGAGATAATGCACATTTACTATAACAGTCACTTAAAATTTTTGTATAAAGTACAATAGTCTATTCACTGTAAGTTGACCCACTTTGTGATTTACGGTGAATAGACTATAGGAAGACGTTATACCTCCTATTTATTAAAGAGTCTGGTGTAGGCATCTATAGGCAAATAGTATATGTCATTTTTCTAAGAAAACTTGTATTAAGCAAAATCATCAGGGTGGCTGCGTGAATCAAACACACGGCTCTCTGTCGCAATTTTCAAAATGCTCCCACTAATGTCTCGTTAAAAATCAACACGACGCCTACGACACTGAAGCCAGAAAAAAGGAATGATATCTCTAACAAATAATAATGAAGCATAAAACATCTTTATCAAATGTACTCACTTAGAAGTTACGTGGGTGATAGGAAGGAGATAACTCAGAAGAAAAGAAAAAAGTTTAGATCCCCTCCCAAAAAAGTCAGCCAGTCAAAGTAGTGGTATCTACATTGTAGCTAAGTCTATTTTATGCCTCATTCAGAAACTGGCCAAGTGTTAAGCAATACAAATAAAAGAGCTGTGTTGCTTATGAAAGTAGGAGTGAAGTGAGGTTAGGAACTAGAGAGAACTAGTAGACTTGGCCAATGTAGATATCACTACTTTGATAGGATGATTTTTTTGGGAGGGGGTCTTGAACTTGTCCCTTTTTCACTGCTAGGTTTTTGTTGGAGATAAAATTTAAAGATGACAAATGTTAGAAACAATCTTACACCCATTTTTTAATTGTTTATTATTCAGCTTGATGTTTAAAAAAAAGTATTTTTTTAAATGGTGAACTTTTTTTCTAAGAAATATTTTAATATCTAAAAACTTGGCTTAGAGTTTTGTGTGTTTTTGTTTGAATAAAAAAAAAAAGTTAATTTTGTTTTCACTTAAAATATTTCAGTATTGCAAGACTTTTATATCCAAATAACACGTACCTAAGTTAACTATGTATAATAAAATAATATTCGTTACAATATTTTTTTAGTTTTATTATTAATTTTGGCATATTATGAAATGTATTTTTGTAGATCTAGAGGACCTAGATGTATGCCATTTGTGCCAAATTTTTACAGTTCACGTTTTACAGTTCCTCAGGTATTATTCTCCGTAACTATACTTTAGTATTTTACAAGTAATTTATTTTTTTCATTTTTCTTTAGGCGTCCAATGCTTACATAAAAACTGAAGTCAAATCAGTTGGACTTTACAAAGTAAAACTACAAATTGGAAAACATGAATTTCTTGGCCAAGGTAATACAAACCAATTGGCTAGACATGATGCGGCTTTAAAAGCTCTAACACAAATTAAAAACGAAGAAAAGAATGAAAATATCAAAGAAGTACTTAAATGTAAGAACTTTTTTTTTTTTTTATATATTGTGTATATTTTATAAATCAAATTTCATTTTTCTTCTCTTTCACCTTCACCCCAACTTTTTGGGGTGAGCCTAAACCTTCAATCAAAACAATCTAACACATAATTTTCACTTGCACCCAACTACTTCTTTTTTGGTTATCCTTTTCCCAACTTTCCTTCTACATTTTTTGTCACCGTGCTTCCGATTTCTCTTCATAACATACCCAAACAAGCTCTGTCTATTACCCTACTTTTGTTTGCTATCAAAGCCACTTCTATGCTACCTCTTATGTATTTGTTTTATATCTTATATGCATTGTCACGCTACTCGTCCATCTAAGCATTCTCATTTCTGCTACACTCATTGTCTGTTCTATTTTCCTGTCTACCGCCCAAAACTTCAAAAAATATATTTTTTATAGTTTATATGTAATAAAATAATAATAATAACTTATAGGTAAGTTTTACATGAGTGTAGTAAGACCAACTACAGGGTTCGGCAAAAAAACCTCCCTCTTTTCGAAATGGCACTATATGAGTTGTGGTGGTGGTACAACAGTGGAGGGGGTATTGATCGATAGCTGTATACATGCCATTTTCTTCTGACCTTACCTAAACCAGTTTACTAGGAACCATGATAAGGGAGAAGTCTGGTTCCAACAAGACGGTGCCACAGGTTTTTTTAACTTTCGAGAATGGCCATAGCTCTTTGTGTCATTTCCGGTATAATGGCAGCCACTGCCTGTTTGATTGCCTTCTTAAGTCCCCAAACCACAAGGGGATAAATCAAGTGACCTTGGCGGTTAGGTGATGTCTCCTCGCAAAGAGAGAAGACGTCCAGGAAACACCTCTCTCAAGATTGCTAAGGAGCGCCGCGAAGTGTAATCTGTGGCACCGTCTTGTTGGAACCAGACTTCTCCCTCATCATGATTCCTAGCAATTAGTTTAGGTTAGGTCAGAAGAAAATGGCATGTATACAGCTATCGATCGATACCCCCTCCACCGTTGTACCACCACCACAACTCACACAGTGCCATTTCTAAATAAGGGAGGTTTTTTTGCCGGACCCTGTAGTTGGTCTTACTACACTCATGTAAAACTTACCTATAAGTTATTATCATTATTTTATTACATATAAACATAAGTGCTTAAGTTTTTTCTAGATTACCTAAAAGTTTCACTGGAATTCTCATGACATAAAACATCTGACATTTCTATCCACTTGATCCAACCATACTTAATTAAACCTATGTTTTAAACCCTCATCAAAGCCAACATTCTTTTGATCAAATGATCCTTAATACTTCTAACTCTCAACTACCTTATCGCACCACCACGTTTCTTGTTTTCTGGCGTACTATTCCTTCTTAACCCAAAAACTACTTTTAACACAATTGGCTGTTCTTTTCCACATGATTATTTCTTTCATCATCGTATTCTCAAATCCTTTCTTCCTTCGTTGTTTATACCTGTGTACTTTTTTCTCACTAAACTAAAACTCCATGACCATTCATTTATGCTGTGTTATTACACTCACCAGGGATAACTTTACAATCCTTAATCTGCTTTAAATTTCTCTCTTCCACATAAAAAAATCAATTAATGAACTATTCTAGAATAAACTTAAGCAACTTATGGTTCTATGTAATAAAATAATATTAAAAACCCTCAACCATAAAAATTATATACTCTCCGCTTATACTATGTATTTCGGCAACAATGTTGTCATCTTCAGCACTAATGACAGACTGAGTCAATATACGCAGAGAGTATATAATTTTTATGGTTGAGGGTTTTCAATATTATTTTATTAATGAACTATTTCCTCAATTCTTAAAAGTTATATAATACTCTTCTCTCTTGCTAAAATACACGTTAATAATAATTGCAAGGTCATATTCTAATGCAGAAACTAGAATTTTTTCTCCAGCCTCATTACTCTCCCCGAAACCATACCACTCTACTTCTCTCTTATATTCTGTCCTCTCACTACCGACATATCACCATTTATCACATTTCCGGGTATTTCTTGCATAACCTCATCCATTTTTCGTCAAAACTCTTAATTGTCTCTTTTTTTATATCCTACTTATGGAGTATACACACTTTCCTTTCCACTTAGTTTCATGAAAACAACATATATTGAGTTTCCATCTCTTTAACACTTTTACTAGTTGTCTACTTCTACCACTTAATGTTCAAACATTCTATGGGTCTATTCTCGCTTTGTAAATGTCCCTCAAATGAGCACAGTGATGATGTCCTAACACTTTTGACACTACAAGTGTTTGAGTAGACCTGCACACATTAAAACAATGAAACTCGCTTCATTTTCCAGGCCTCCTCACCTCTAACTATGTCATTTCCTCCACCTGTTGTCCCTCCACACATTCGAGATAGGGCCATCCGCCTAAGCCTTGTTTAAAACTCCTCATACTTTTTGACAAAATTATACATCGGCTGTCAACCTGACGCAACATTATATGCCGCCTCTTACAACAGATTGAGGTATCGTAGGAGTATTCTGATCCCCTTCTACTGGGGCCTTTTAAAAATATATATATCATGAATAAGTAAAACTAAATATGAACAAGATAAGATATGAAAAGACTATGATTTCTATTTATCACATCTATGGCATGTATGAGTGAAATATCTATGGGCTATTTAAAATATTATCATAGTAAAATGTATAATATAATAAGTAATTTTATAATTTTTCCGTTTAGCTGGTGATTCTAAATCAGTAATATCTCAAGTGTATGAAGTAGCCCTTAAGATGAAATTGCCGATTAAATTTGAAGTATTAAAAGAAGATGGTTTGCCTCATATGAAAACCTACATCACAAAATGTTCTGTTGGATTGTATAATGCTACTGGAGAAGGCAATGGAAAAAAAGTAAAATGTTTAATGCTGGGTTGCATAAAGAATGACTAAATTTAATGGACCAATCACAGTCCATCAAATTATAATTAAGGATCCTTTCGCCATATATTGGTTCATTAAATGTTTAGTGAACATTTATACAACCATGCATACTAATTTTAAATTAAAATAAACCCATTTATTCTTTGAGCATTTTTTTTAAGTATTTAGTTAAATTTTAAATGCTGTAAATAACATTTTTATTCATAGATTATTTGTTTTTCAATTATTGAACTTTTAAAACTATTTTGAAATAATTTTTAAAATAAAACTAAATATTTTCTTATGGTTTAAAAATATTGATTTTAATGTTTGTAGTTGTCCAAACGACGTGCGGCAGAGAAAATGCTTCAGACACTTAAAGAGGCAAATGAATCCATATTAGATGATAATAATAGTTCCCCAACTCTTCCATTGGCCCCTAAAAATCGTTTTAAAATGCCAAGAAGAAAAAACCGAAATTTAATAAAGGAAACAAAACAAAATACTGAAAATGTTGAACCTAGAGTGGATAATTCTGATAAGACAGAAGATAATGATCCAGTTGCCAAACTATATAAAATACAATCATCGAAAAAAGAAAAAGAGCCAATTTATGTGCTCAAAGATGATGTCATAAACTCAAATCGCAAAAAAGAGTTTGTTTTTGAGGTAATTTTACTTTAAATTTATCAATCTGTATTTTTTAGTGTTATTAATTTATTATTACATCGGTTTTAGGTGACAATTGGACAACATACTGCTTCTGGAATAGGTGCAAATAAAAAAATGGCTAAACGTCAAGCAGCTGAGAAATTATTGATTCAAATGGGATTTGAGAGCGATTTAAAACAGCGGCCTATTAAAAATAGTGAATCCCCATTGGTAAGTTCTTACTGTCTAAGTTTATTGTTAGTTACTTGTCTATAGAAATTAATTATTGTAGGTAAGTCATGAAAATAAGGCTAACATTGATAGTCCTCGGAAGAATGGACGACAAATAGCTCCAGGTGTTTTGCTTGTATCGCCCGAGACATCAGCTTCAAAATCGAATTCAGTTAATGGCGTTCCATTAGTAACTGTAGCTAGTAATATTGCTAATGATTTCTCAGTTACTAACTATCGACCTACAGAACAATTAGACTACTTTTCCAAAATGCTTGGATTTAAAGTCCAATATTCCGACTTCCCTAAGGTATATTAATAAATAGGAAAGTATTAATTATAAACTATTGGCTTATTATAAATACCATGAAATATTTTAGGGAAATCAAAAGGACTATTTAACATTAGTCTCACTATCAACAATGCCTCCTCAAATATGCCATGGATCTGGCATCACTCCAGAACATTCACAAGATGCCGTAAGTAACACTTTTTTTTTAATAGCCTGAGAGCATTTTTATTTAGGTGACCAACAATCCCTGCTATCATACATGATACAAAATATTTGGAGTTCTACTTACAAAGAAATTACCCTATTTTTTATATGACTAACTTAACACGTTGACTGCTAACCTAAGAGATAACTCTTAGTTTAAATGGTGGCAATCAATGTGTTAAGTCAAACGGCTTCAGTTGTTTGAGCTATCAGGTGTTTTGCGAGTTGTTGAGGAATAGTTTAGCAACTATGTTTGGTACAGCGGTTTTTACATGTTGGACGGTAAACTCAGTAAATTTACCTTGCACAGTTGTTATCTTGAAACTCAGAGAGTGATATTGTTCCTAACATACAATCGTACCAATTTGCTGCGACAATTGTACGACTAAGTTCTGGTAACGTCGTTATATGATATCAATATTGGACTTATTAGGGTAACCTCACAGCTGTATACCATAGCATAAGTCCAAAGTAGTTTAACAATCAATATATACTAAAGACGTTTGCTTGATAGTTCTAGCATGAAGCACAGTGGTCTGCAAATGAAATTTTGGCAAAAAAAATCTATTAAAAATATAAAAAAAAAAAAACAATTTTTTTTTCAAGATCTCGTTAGTATATGTTTACAAGTATGAATATAAAATTTGGACTTATTAACATTTTTTAAAGGGTGTTATAGCTCGAAGTATGAGCTAAGGTCAATTAATGTGTACTGACTTTCCATTATGCATTTTTATGTACCAACTTAATTCAAAGCTTGTGATTCAATCAAAACCAGTTCAATCAAAAAAATTGTTGGTTGTCATTTGTAAGATGTCAGTCAGAGTTTGTTGGTTGATGGTATTGACGTGTCATCAGCAAACAGCTATCATATTGTATTGTCATTTATTGCAATATCAGCTGTGTAGAGCTGACCACAGGAAGATAGGTCTTAAAAATTACCTTGTGGTACTCCACCTGATAAGTTTTCAAATGCGTTATTGTTTCCCTCGTCATACATAATTCGGAATTGGCGTTCAGTGAGTTAAAATTCTAGAAGTTTACACTAAGAATGTGACTGTTCATGCAACTTTAGAAGCAGTCCATTATGCCAGATTATGTCAAGCAAATATTGTTTATGACTTGAAAAACTTTGTCTATCATAGAGTATTAATTACAGAAACCAAATTTGTGGTCTCGAATTATTTGCTTTTGTTCTAATTATGGTTTAAGTCTCTTAAATATGAGTTTTATAAAAAGTTCTACCCAGAAGAAGCGATATTGGTCAACAAAAAGTCTTGGTGATTTTTCTAGTTTAAACAGCATGATCACTTTTCTCCAGGCCCTTTTTTCAGTGTGCTAAAATACTTTCTGTGTAAGATGGAGCAATACTTTTTGGCTGATTTTATTAAAACAATGTGCCTTCTTTGGATAAATATTATCTATATCTCGTGCAACTTCTAGGAGTGAGTAATAATTTACTTAAAACAATTTCGATGATGAATGTCTGGCATGCACCATATTATTTGAGCACATTATGCTATTTCATTCATCTAAAATACAATAAAATTTATTTTTAATTACCTTGTTATTTGATTGTGCACAATCGTATGGTTTCCGGCAAACTTGAAAGGGGATCTAAATTTTGAAAGTAAATTTTGTTTAACTTTAATTTGAGCTGACCTCTGGGGTAAAATCCTAAAATTGTCTCTCTGTATATTTAATATATGTTTTTCTTATATTGTATATTAAATTATATAAATTATTGTTTTAGGCAGCATTGAATGCGATAAGTTCTTTGATTAATCTTAATATACAAGGAACACAATCAATTGAAAATACTCAAAGGCCTGTTACTAGTTACTCAATTCAGCAAAACCATTTTAATAATAACCCTATTACGAGACTTAGTTAAATAATACTTTAAATATAAGGTATAGTACAATACATGTTTTTTTTTTTTTTTTTAGTAGCGACTACATTTTATATTAAATAATACGATAAAATTATGTGTCGATTTAATTACAATTCTAACTTCATTAATTAAGTTTACTCAGCATTTTTTTATTTTTATTTTATATTTAGTTATTAATTATTTTGTTATTAAGACTTGTTTTCAATTTTTTTTTTATTATTATTATTTGATAATTTTTTATTATTGTATTTTTTTTTTTTAATATTTAGTGGATCACATTGATTCAACATAAAATGAATGTACTTTTTGTGCCTTTTAGGTGTTTTGTTCCAAACAAGTTTTTTGAATACATTTTTTTGCCTATGTTGTAATAAATCATGCGTTTTCAAATTATTTTAGTATTGGGTTTTGTTTTTCTTTAGAGGACTTGAAGCAGTCCATTACTCAAAAGACCATTATTCAAAAGTTAAAATATGTATTTTTTCCACCTGTATTGATTTATCTAACATTGTGAGAAGTCACAACAGCACCTAACTTTAGTTTAAATGAAGCAACTACTACATGCTGTATAAAGGAGGGGGTGAGTTTTCAAAGGATGGACAGTGTTTGTTATTAAATTATAAATTGTCTTGTACTTTTATTTTCTAAAATGTATAAAAAAAGATCATTTTTTGATGTGTACACAATAACCTTATGTGCAATAAAGAGTATACATATAAATCAGGGTTGGCCACAACGAGGCTCTCAAGCCGCATGTGGCTCTTGAAAACAGCTTAGAGTAAAATTAATAAATTTTCATTTCTTTATTTTATAAAAATCGCTTAACAATGTGGCTTGCTTCTAATTAGCTTTATAAGTTTGCGGCTAATCGGTAAACGAGATCGCCGAGGTGTATTACAACCGCTTTCACTCAAAACTGGGCTCAAGCTCAAACCAACTTATTGTGCAGTTATCAGCTGAAAACCTCCCTGGAAATCCCCCCAGACGCCTCAAAAGAAGATGGTGGAAGTAGATGGTGCCGCGATTTAAGACACTAATTTATCTTTATATTCATTGAGGTGCCCCTAATGTGGGGTATCCTCCTCATGTTAATCATGTGTATAGTTTATTGTAAATAGTTTATAAAAATACTCGTTGTAAAATATAATTTACAGATTGCATGTTTTTCAATAAAAGTCAAAAGAAAAAAAAAAAAAGTTTGCGGCTCCCAAAATTAAGGCTAGTGGCCACCCCTGATATAAATACTAGTGAGATAGCGCAAACCATGTCTGCAAGGGCTAGTGATATTTTTCTGTTTATTCATTTTTTTCTGTTTTCTGTTCATAAACGAATGATTTTAAGGTATAAATCTAGTTTAGATACCGGACATCCTTTTTTTTCGATTTTCTCTTTTAAAATCGATAGTACTTTTATTGCTGATTACGAATACTATGCAAGAATTTTCTGTCAGACGAACTTAGTTTGGGAGTTATAGACATTTGAAATCAACATAGCCGATCGTCAGCGCTCACGGTACTAACCGCCATAACTAAAAACAGTATAAAGCGCTCTACAACGGCAACAATTTACGCGCAACAAAAAATACATTCCAGTGGGCTATCTATATTATTTATTACCAATGATATTACATATCTTTACACAAATATTTGTTGAAACGTCTTCAGATTCCCCAAATATAATAATAATAATAATCGTATGGCGTATTTGGCCGGGAGGGCTATAGCTAACTTATATTAACTGTTAAATTTTAAATTGTTAACTCCCTAATTATAAAAATATATAAGAGACGAAAACAAAATAATGTTGTACAATTCATTAAACAATAATTTATACTTCTCGCAGTGGTATCACTGCTACGACAAAAGTCGTGCTCCCCTCGCATCCCACGCCCGCGTCCTAGTTCCTACCTACCTGGATGCTCCGTGTCTGTTAATTATACATTACTGATAACTGATTGCACATCTTAAAATTCAAAATTATTAATAATATACAATTTGTTTTTTACGTTGAAATGACTAAAATGTATAATATAATAAAAACAAAGTATAACTGTAATCTCTATTCTGCACTGTTAAACTATTCGTAATGAATTTGCTGTGTTATTATAGTATTGTTATTATTTTTTAGATAAATTAATATTTGATATTGTGTGTGTGTGTGTAAAAGACTATAATATTTTGTTTTTCTAAGTATCCAAAATGAAAGTGGTAAATGATTAATAAATTTAAAATGAACAATTGAATTATAATTACAAAGAAATAATAATTTTTTGTTTAAATAGTACTGTTTAAGTGAAGATCCAAACAAACCCTGCTTTGTCATCAAACTAAAATCTGTAACAATAATGTTGGATTGTGGACTATCAGCACGTAGTGTTTTAAATTTTTTACCATTATTTCCTATTCCTGATTGGAAACCTACTAAAGCCACAGCTTGGATTCCAAAGAATTTCTCAGACCCTCTAATTGAAGGGGTATTGTATTATATATAATTTATTAATTATTATACTATTTTATTAATATTTAACAATATATCAACAAAATAGGAATTAAATGAATGCATGGCTAACCAAGTTCTTGTAAATTCAGCTCCAGAATTTATGACGCCACTTAATAAATTAGTAGATTTTGCAGACATTGATGTGGTTTTGGTATCCAATTATGTGACTATGTTGGCTTTACCATTTATCACAGAAAATACTGGTTTCAAAGGTATTGTGTACATGACTGAACCAACTTTACATATAGGAAAGTATGAACAAAAAATATATCCATTATACTATTACATAACTTATGCTTAAACTTAAGTTAAAGCCATTCAAAGATTAAATAAAAATAATTTAATGATTGGTGATTATATGATTGAACATTTTAAAATATCATTTTTACATTTGATCGGTCTATAATTTTTTGATTAAATTGATTAACCGAAAGTAATTAAAATTTAAACAATAATCAATAGTTAACTTAAAAATTAAATAATCGCCCAGCCCTTATTAAAATAAATAGTTGAAAATTTATAATCTTTTGTTTTTGATTTTTAGGTTATTTCTTGAAGAATTAGTTGATTTTGTTGAACAGTCACCTAAGCCAAATGTAGCTAAATATTGGAAGGAAATTTTACATTTATTACCACCACCACTCTGCAATAGTTTTAAACCTCATACTTGGAAGCAACTGTATAGTTTAGCACAAGTTCATTCTAGTTTAAAACGCGTGCAGAAGATTAGTTACGATCAAAAAATTGTAATTATTTAAAAAATAAAAATGTTATGGTGTTTAGGCGGAAAGGGATGTCCACCCATGGCCAAAGGTCAATATTGTTTAATGAATAATATAAAATTTTCTTTGGACCTAATCTATTTTTCATCTTTTTGAAACTTTTCATCTACTTTTAAGTCTATTTTCTTCATATTACGATTGATTGATAAAAATCGTAAAATAAGGGTCTTTTTTTTATTTTCACTAAAGATTTAGCTGCCAAAGTTTCATCAAATTTGTGACATTTTAATTTGAATAATCTATTCATTAATAATATAATGTGATTCTTAAAATTAAATTAATTACAATTACCTAATTATGTTTTGCCAAAATATAGAGAATATCTTTCTTAAAAACGTTTAACACAATCCCAAAATTGTATTTTTAACTTATCTCCTGCCTAAAGCCGGCCATACACGTTCTGGTCTACCGGAAAGGTCTGCCTGCAGTTTTTCTGGATCGGTATGTGTATGCACAGGTACACGGTACGGTGTCCCTCGAAAGAATTGATTTTCGATCTTGCACCGGACGCCGGGCAGGTTAAAAAAACTGCACAGGTCTATTACCACATACGCTCCGGCTTACCTGCGCAAGCATAACTGTGCAGATAGACCTCTCCGGTAGACCGTAGCGTGTATGGTCGGCTTAAATCTCGCAGTATTATCTAATTATTAGAATATATTTTTTTGTTTTTTATAGGAAATAACTGGTGCACTTACTGTTACTGCTGTAAGTTCAGGCTATTGTTTGGGTAGCAGTAATTGGGTAATATATTTGGAAAGTAAGAAGCTGGTCTATGTAAGCAATACATCAACACTAACTACACACCCCAGGTATTTTATAGTCACTTTTCATATTATACTAACTTGTTAATATAATAATATATTTTATTTTATTTTTAAACACAATACATTTGTAACATTTAATTTTTTTAGACCTATGGATCAGTTAAATTTGAAAAATGCAGATCTCATGTTACTAAGCAGTTTAACCCAAGCACCGGCAGCTAATCCAGATACTATGCTAGGTGAATTATGTTTATCGGTTGCAGTTACTCTTCGAAACAATGGTTCTGTCCTCATACCTTGTTACCCCTCGGGCGTTGTTTACGATTTATTTGAATGTCTTTCATCTCATTTGGATAGTACAGCTTTGGGTCAAATTCCAATGTATTTTATTTCACCAGTAGCTCATAGTTCGTTAGAATATTCCAATATTCTTGCTGAATGGTTTGTTTATTATAAATATTAATAAATTGTGTAGTTTATTGTAATAATTATTGCTATATTTAGGCTGTCACAGTCAAAACAAAATAAAGTGTACTTTCCAGAAGAGCCATTTCCTCATGCTCAGTTAGTGAAATCGGGACGTTTAAAACATTTTAAACACGTTTATACAGATGATTTGTGGAATGATTTAAGACAAGTATATCAAATTCATTTAAAAGTTTTTCATAATTTGAAATTACAGAAATTAAGTTACTTTTTTGTCTAAGTGTACCTATTTTAGTTTCCCCCTAAAACGTCATAAGAACAAAAATTTAAAATTAAACGTTTGATTTGTTTAAGAACTGACTTAATCAATTTTTTTCTGTAATTTTCATTGAAAATATAATTTATTTTTTTAATAATATGTAAAATAGTTCAATATTTTTTTACATATATATTATAATATACACATACAAACCATCAGCTCCTTTTATTTGGGCCGAGTGATAAACATGTTTCTTATTATATTAATTTGTTTAAGCCTTGTGTGGTATTTTGTGGCCACCCTAGTTTGCGGTTTGGAGATGTAGTTCATTTTGTGGAATATTGGGGTACCAACCCATTAAATACAATAATATTTACAGGTATATATTGTAATATATATTTATAATTAAAAATTCCATGCTTCTAAGTTTTAGGATTAAGTTATCATTTATGTTATTGCTAAAAGTAAATCTAATTTTAATTTATTTTATACTTTTGTAGAAATAAGTAATTAACTTAACACTAACCTAACCTTCTAGCGAGCACACTATTTGTGATAACAGAGTAGTCGCATAATTTACAACAGTATTAAAGGTAGTAAATACATTTATAACGTTATATTCGATTAATTTGTATCAAATATATTAAAAAAACAAACAAATATAACAATCTTAGGTAAAAAAATATATTAGTACAAAACTGTTGGAAGGTTAAAATGATCCTTTTATTTGATAAAAATGTTATGTACTATGCTAGTTAATTATGTAATAATGTCTTGCAGAACCTGAGTTTCCATATTTGGAAGCATTGGCTCCTTTTCAACCATTGTCCATGAAAGCTATGCACTGTCCAATTGATACAAGTATGAACTTCACTCAGGCCAATAAAATGATTAAAGATCTTAAACCTTCGGTTTTAATTCTTCCTGAATGCTATACTATTCCACCAACCAGTTATGGTCATAAAAACGAATTTGTCATCGATCAAGTAAGCTGTTTTTAAAATGATGAGAAAAAAATAATTACAGTAATATTTATAGCTATAAATGTTCTCAATAGACAATAATATGTATGTATTTTATCAAATGTTTGATAATTATAATCACTATAGTGTATTCTATTGACTGAATTATTGAGAGTTCCAATATATTGAGTTAATACTTGATTATAAATCCCTAATAGTACGTGTAGTTAGTGCATTAGTATTATAATATTATAAGTATAATAAATGTTTAGGTCGATCGAAAAGTTATTACTATAAAAAGAGGAGAAGTTATATCAGAAAAATTGGACATAAAATCTGTGAATATACCATTTAGTACAGAAATGGTTGTGAGTATCACACTAAATGAAATACATTCTGGATTTAAAGCATCAAAGTTTACAGCTGTGTTAGATACAAAAGACAACAAGTACAAATTAGATGTAAGACAGACATTGAGATAGTTATTTCTTTATATAACATTAAGACGAGCTTAATTATTTAGGTTTTAAAAGAAGAAGTATTGTCAAATAATTGCAACGATCCTTATTTGTTGGATGCATTGTTTAAAAAAACATATGAATGGGGTCATTTAGATGTTGACAAACTATTACGATCATTGTCTAATGAAGGGATCAATGACCCTAAAATTGAACACAATGCACATGGATATACTGTGCATATTGTAAGTACACAACACTAATATTATGTTTGTGTAATGTACAGTCTATTATTTCAAACTATTTTAAATACAGTTAATACAAACATAGTAAAACTATTGGTCGAAATAAAGTTTGTCTAAACAAATATAACACTAATACTTTTATATAAATACTACAAATTCAGATTTTTCTTTTATGTTTTATCAAGAAAATAATGTACTATAACAGCATAATAATACATAAAAGCTCAATAATTTGTTTTCTGATTTTTTAAGAAATCTGAGGATACGTTAATTCAAGTGGATGAAAAGTCAACTCACATATTTTGTGACAAGAAAGATAAGTTCTGGAGACTGAAACTTAGAAAAATTGTGATGGAATGTCTTAATTCGTTTTGATCCTGTAATCAAATATTTGTAATTGTTTTTATTGAATACTAAATTAATTTTGTACATAGGAACTAGTAGTATTAAATATATTTAGTTCCTAATTAGAAACAAGTTCAATTTGCTTATATTTTTTACGAAAATTTGATACTGGATCTTTGAAAAGAATTGGATCTAAGCGAACGCTCGATTGTAGTAATGGCATATAGCCAAAAAGAGCTACAAATGTATTCAAGCAAGTTTGCCGCTGCATAAAATGGTCTGCATCATTCCACGGAGATCTAAAAAAAAAAAAAAAAACAATTATTAAAGAATTTAAATTTATTGTGATTTCAATTTGAGGATAACATTCTTGTTTGATCTCAATATTTCCTTAATGCTCTTAAAAATTAAAACCTTAACCTTTTTTCCTCCCATTAAATTAACTATTTAGTTACTAATTTACCACTTCTAAAAAAGTGTTGAACCATAAAGGCCATTTTCTATATAAATAATAACTGAATAAATAAGTCAACAATAACACATCTTTATATTGATTATTTATAATTTAAAAAAAATTACTTTGACATCCCATTATTCCCTTGTTCTTTGTAGTATTTTCTTTGTGATACTTTTATTGGAGGTCGGCGGGTAACATGACTGACCAGAAAATTCATAAGTATGTCTTCACAATTATGAGACTGCTCAACAGTTTTGATTAATAATGGACTCAACCAATGTGTATAAAGTGTATTATAGTATTGATGGTAAAATGCAGCACCAGTGAGTATGATAGAGTAATCATTTGTCCATTTGGATGAATACAACCAAGAATCCTAAAATACAAATCTTTATATTAAAATTTAATGACTGTAATTGAAGGGGGGGTGTTTGAAAGTTGAGAGCCAATTAATTCTTTTCGAACCTTGCTACTATCCCAATAATGTGATCTGGCGGGAAAACCAACAATTCTATCAGGAAATGATTGCCATACATGAAATGCAAAATCTATTTCATCAGCAGTTAAAATAACATCATCATCTAAAGATAGCACAGCTTCAGTCTTTATGAATGGCATTGGCTCAAATCGCCTACAACCATTTCCGGAGGACACTAATATTCGTGTCCCTGCTATTGTTTGAAAACCACTTTTCCCTCTATTATCGCCACAAAAATTTACAATTATCTAAAAGAAAAATTGTTTAGAGTAATAATATTAAATATAAAATGACAGTATTATTCTGAAAACTTACTTGAGATAAATATTTGCTGGCAGATAAACTCCGAACCAATCGATTCAATTGTATTTTAAGGTTATTATGATGTGAAAAAATTATAACAGTAAAATTGGAGGTAGGTTTTTTACCAAGTAAGTGGTAATTAAATGGTAAATTAAAATGAAGATATTCTGTGTAAGAATGCTGCGATACTAGAGCTCCAGGAGATGTATTCCATATTATTCCGTCACGTGATTGTAGTTTTGGTAAACGCTCTTTAATTATCTTTAATAATATGTGTATTAATTATACCTAAAATTAAAATTAAATCAAACTTACTTCAAAAGTAGAAAACACTATTTTTTCAATTGTATTAAAATATTGCTCCCAAAGTATTTGTGTTTGTTGTCTCAGAGCAAACAGTTTACTTTCTGGTATGGAACGAATAATTTCCGGTACTTGAAATAGAAGTCTCTCGTCAGCCCAAATTACAGCTTTATTCCAGTCTATTACTTCATCAAATGGTAGAGCCCAATTATTGGATAATAAAACGGGTATACAACCAGCTTGCAATGCTTCCAAAAATCTATAAGATCCTAAGCGACGACCTCGGGGTACTAGACAAAATGTTGAGTTTTGTAATAATTCACTATAGTCATACCTAAAAAATGAAAACAACATTGCTTGTCACCTAATAATTTAATTTAAATTAAGCCTTTTTAATAATATAAATAGGATGAATGGGAAAAGCAGAACAAACCTACTTTACCAGGCACCCTTTTTTTTTTAAATCGATAGTACTTTTAATGCTGATTATGAATATGTAAAAATGTTACGCCGCTTGCACTTAGTTTGCAAGTTACAGATTTTTAAAATTCGCCAATATCGACATGCCCAGCACCGCACGTCTACTCACGCCTGCTGGGCACTTCATCCATCAATCGCCGCTCTTGACATAACGGCCACCCGTCATACTGAATACGCGCATTAAGTATATTTTGATGGTGCTCAGGAAAAACTGGCCAAGTCTAAATTTACTAAAATAAGTTAATGTCATACATAGATTCAAAAAAATTATATGGTGTTATGGGTAAAACGACCTAAGTCAAACATCAATTCTATCAGTCGTTATACATATATGTGAAAAATAAGACAAAATCTTATTTCTTATTTGCGTTTCAATTTTAATATTTGAATATTGAAAATTTCAAATTTTAGACTTATTCGGTTTTTCCGAGCACCATTGATTTAATCTTATCGCGTCTGGCAAAAAAAAGGACCACGACGGGAGGGAGGCAGGTTGACGAGGAATCCGATCATAATCGAGCAGTGATTGGCGAACGAAGTAGTGAGCGGGTAGACATGCGGTGCCGGGCACGCGTGTATGCCGATATCGGTAAACTTGAAAAGTCTGTAACTTCTAAACTAAGTGTGAGCGGTGCAAAATGTTTACATTTTCAAAATCAGCATTAAAAGTACTATCGATTAAAAAAAAAGGGTGTCTGGTAAATTAGATTTATACCCCTGAATACACCAATCACAACAACTAAGATAATAAAAGTAGAAAAATTGTGTGTAGATGATAAAAGTAGTTTGTATTATAACAATTTAATACCATGTGTTTATAAATCTGAAATCAAATTTAAAAACTTTTAAAAAAAAATGTATACTTCTTTAGAGTACAATTTTTTTCAACTTTACAGAGCTATTTTCAAATATTTAAATAATATAATAGTAAAACATTTCTTTACTTTTCATATAAATAGTTATCAACATCACATCTTTCATCTCTAGCATCTTTCCAATTTTTTCCATGTTTGCATGTTGTCACTACTATTGTATCATTTCCATTGTGCAAATGAAAAAGAGAATTGCGAGTTTCTGATCCAATTCCAAGAACATATCTCTTTCCTTTAAAAGCCAATTTATACCTTTTTGTTATTGGATATGTATTAGAACGAACAAAACCAGGTTCGCTACCTTTTTCTGGGTGTTTCTTAAAAAATTATTTTATATTACTTAAAAATGTCTAGTAAATCAATAAAAAAAAAATCATTTTACCTTGTGAAAAAGTGGAAAAGAAATATCAAAACCAGGTCTCATTTTTGTGACTGACATACTAGCTTTAGCTAGAATGGCATCACCAGTGTAGAATCCAAGATCATCTTGATTATAATCAGGCCATGAACCAGAATAAAGATTAAAAATAATGTGATTACGTCCACCATTCCAGTGCTTGAGTCTTTGCATTTTTACAGGAATATTACGTACATAATCTGGCGAAAGAGGATCACGGTCCAGAGTATCAATGGCAACCACAAAAACACAAGCTTTGGTGTAATCATCTGTATAATATCTTGATTCCAAAATAATATCAAGCATTTTTTGATATAAAATACTACGGCTTGAAGTCATTAGGCCATTATTATCAAGTTCTGATAAAGGATAGACAAAAACATGGAAATTTTTGTCGCAAGGTAATGAGTCGAAACAGGTTTCCATCCTACAAAAATAATAGTTTTCATGTACATTATATTATGATGGTTAAATCATTTTAATAAAAATAATTATTTATTAAAGTGTACCTGCAATTTTTATTCGTTTTTCTATATGATGAATGGTAAGGAATGTTATGATATCTAGCCTCATAGGTTTTTGCTGCTGGTGGACGACCAATTTCTGTTTTTTGTTCCCAATCATCTGTAAATGATGGTAACTCTTCCAGGTTGCTAGTTTTGTAACTATCATGATTTAGATTTTTGGGGATACAAGTTATTTTCAATAAACATAAGACTATTAAGAACAAAACAGCAATCCATAGTAAAACGTATCTCTGTTTAGCTTGCATAATGCTAAAATATATCTTGCTAACTAACTTGCTGATAATTTAGATATTTCATAATAACAACTTTAACGAACAATAACCACATTGTTTACTTTGGCGCATACCTAGAATTATTAAATATTGAATTAATTATACATCGAAAGTAGAGACCCAATAGTTTATTTTAATTAAGAAATATATTATTACAGATGATCGTGAAGATAGCACCACAAAAGCCAGCACCATACTATGAAATAAATTATTATAATGATAATCCACAATTATAATAACAAACGGGTTAAATTACACATATATCTAATTCTGTGACAGTAAGGCATTGATAATCCCGATTTCATATCTAGTGAGTGCAGGCGCGGGGCGGAGTGAGATAAGGGGGATTAAGGTAAGATGAGATTTTTTAATTTTAATACAATTAGTTTGGGTATTTGGGAGGGAGGTAGGTCATACCATTGGTTATAAATAATATTATTTATAATCAATGGTCATACGTAGGTCTATGAGGTAGGTACATGAAAATTTGTGGAAAATTGTAATCACATTATATGAAAAAAAAAGTCCAATTATTAGTTAAACCCAGTAAGATATTTAGTGGTCCATAGTGAAAAAAAAATCATTCTCTATACTCTGTTCGGAATAAGAACAGAGTATACATATTATGACAAATAATTCTATCAATTTTGTTTTTAAAATTTAGGTATCTAAAAAATGTAATATTATATAATTGAATAAATACAATTAGAATTAGTTTCTATAATGTTGAAATAACATTATATTAGCTTGATAGTTTCTACTATCGTCGTTAAATTTAATTATTAAATATTTTAAAATCAATATAGTCAAATGAGATGGACTATTACTATTTACTCCTTAATAATATGTGGTGCTGGCCGCACAACAAACACCATTCATAACCGTGTATTGTATGCAAAAATTGTCTAAGTTGGCGTGCCTAAGAGGAGGTTTTTTTGGACCTATAAAAAGAAGGTTCTTTATACAATTATACCTACCGCTTATGGCCCACTGGCGATTTGTTCCTTCGGGCGGAGCAACTGTCTGGGGGAAGAAATGGCCAGTTGCACCTTCCTATGGGGCAACTTGTTTGGTAGCGTTAGATCGCCAGCCAGCTATAATCCCAAAAATGTCAAATTTAAATGGTCTAAGCCCTGATCGGTGGGAATAATAGACGTTAAACGTAAGAGAGATTTGTATCTACAGTTATCAATTATCAAAATTTGGTTGCTTATATTTTATAGTATTTGTTTTCACCATCGATGGACCATTATAAGTACAAAACTAATTATCAAGTAGGACTTGGTGTTTTTGTTTCTATTTTGCTACCACAAATATTAGAAAAAAGATATCCCAGTAACAATTTCGTTTAGTGTATTAATGAATAAGTTAATGTATAGGTACCAACAAGTACCAATCTCGCTGCTTCTTCTTTTAACATGAACTTCAACCGATACATAACAACAAACTTTATTGGGCAACGCTCCTTCATATGGGTATTGCCAAGTTATTATTTATTAATATTTTGATTTTATTATACTTTTTTTTATTATAAAATTTAAATAAATATACCTAATTTATTAAATAACTTGGTTCTATAATCTAGCTTGAATTAAATTCTGTCATATTTTAATAGCGATTAAAGATTTCTATCCCGAAAAAAAAAGGATTAGCTTCATGGTATATTATATTATAATAATTAAATATTATACAGAATGATTAACTTATTAAAGTAAAAAATATAGACTGCCTAGTTGTTATTATTTTATAAATTTCAAATAAATAAGCCCAATAAGGCTGCATGATTCTACAATAATAATAAGTATTAGCAATAGTTTATCTTGAAATACATGTCTATTAATAGCAGATATATAGCGATGTGATGACTGCCTAGAATTTTCTATGTTGTCAAGACGATCACGAGCACCACTTAACGTGTGTCTTTGTTCTCCCAATTCTTGAACAATAGCTGTACCAATCTCTTCTGTTTCTAATGCAACCGATTTTATACCGATTAGACGATCATTAGTACGCATTAATACCTGTTGATTTTCTTCAAAGACATCCATTTTTCACTAGGCTGATTAAATACATTTTAAATTTCATACATCTATACAATAATTGGATTAATTGTTTAATTCATAATAAAATTACTTGATTTACTTTAAAATGTTATTTTCTTAAATTGTTGAGGATTAAACACATAATAGATACATCTCGATGAAGTTTTATTGGCACAGATAATTAAAACTACATAAATTATATTGAGATTCACAACAAGAATATTAATATTAATACATTTGTTTACTTTCAAAATAAAACAGTTTCTCAAAACTAAAAAAAAATTAAATTGCCATCTTAGCTGATGACATCATGATTCATGATATTATTTCTAATGAGTAATGAATAATGATATTAAAAAATATTAACACATTACTAACAAGGTATGCATAGACAAGTATATGAACTATGAAGATATGTCCTTAACTTATCACAAAAATACGAGTTTTGGTTACAGTTCGCGCTGGTGGTCACAGCTGTTTTCGTTATCAGTAAATAATAGCGGTAGCCATCATAGACCTATAAAGAAATCTTTATAGGTCTATGGTAGACATAGATGTTTATACCACAGATTATATTATTTTCATATAATCTGTGTTTATAGTATACTTTAATCTGTATTCTGTATGTACAGTACAATAGTACTAGGTCCTGCGTATAGGTACCTTCTTAAAGTGTCCAGAGTGTACATAGACCTATTTCCACAGAATGTTCTGTGCTATTTTTTTATAGGTCTATGCATTATTAAACTTATGGGTCCATGTATATACTTAACTTAGTGGCGTAACTAGAGCAAGACATTTTTTTTGCGCCCTATATTACATGTTAACGTGTCTAGTTTGTTAATTCGCATCCCCTCTCCATCGGTGGCGTCATTTATACCGGGTTAACAAATAAATTAATACTCAATAATTATATTATTGTGCAGTTTTAGAATCTGTGATCGTTGTGGGTAATCTGGCCATCAACAAACACTTTAGACTTTAATTACGTGGGAACCTATGACCGAGTGCCAAACATAAATGTCGAAATGTTTTGTTTTTGAAAACCCGAATAAAAGTAAACATTTAGTTAATTCAAAATATAAAACTCAAGTGTACGGTTTTGGCAATATTCCTTGAGTACACGACCAGCACGTACGAGTATTCAGGATAAATTTTCGAGAGGGGGGTTGAGCCCCTAAAACTCCCCCTGTATACGGGCTTAATACGCTAATTTTTTATGTATATTTAAATGTCCAAATGTTTTCCCTATTGCCATGCTTAGATTAGACGAGTTCTTGGCCTAGAAACTGTTTCTATTTACTAGGCCGAGTAATGTGCCTGTGTTGTTTAGGTGGTCAAGTACACGGCCGAGAACTCGTCTAATGTAAACAAGGAATAAGTCTTGGGAATGAAAGTCCATAATATAACATATCAATACATCATACTGCATTTAACAGTTAAGCTGACTATTGTACGACTTGGAATTAGTTATTTTTTTGTTCACCATCCTACACATAGTTGGCTAACTTCATATAACTTGATTGTTTTTTTTTAAATACATGACTTTTTATTGAGGACCTTACACTTGCTTTTAATAATAAGTTTGATAGTCATTTTCATAGAATATTTATTTAAACCTAAAACTATAGGGTTATTTTTATAGTTCAGTAATAATTGTTCTATACTCAATAAGGAATAAGAACAGGCCTAAAAACCACATGAGAAACCGGTTTTCATATAGCCGCCGAGGCCTGTTCTTATTCCAAATACTTTTAAAAGATTTTAATAGATCTTTTAACTTTAAAACACAGATATGCAAACATGGTTTATATAAAATATTTGTTAGTACGAATAAGATTATTATTAATCACATCATCAGTTTAGTCGAGTAGAAAGATAATAAGATTAATAATTAAAATATTATATAAAATAAATTACTAAGAATCAGAAACCAAATTGAAAGACACAAAAAACATCAGTATATTATTAAAAGTATTGTTTATTCGGCGATAATATTTGGAAAATGAATTAAATTAAACATTTTAAAAATTCATCAACAAAATAATTATTTACAATAATTTGAGTAATGCAACTCGAAGAAATACAAATTAAATTAAGTTTATTGACCAAACAAAGCAACCATTGAAACATTTTTCTGCGATTAGTTTGTTAATGTCAATCAATACTAATACACATGTATTATAAAATACGCTCATAAAACAATAAATAGGCCTGACAGTTTTGTACATCATTTGGTGTCACAGGTCGTACAGAACTATCACTGATGTAAAACCAACTACCACTTGGTGCTAATTGTGAAGCATCATCAACACTATCAATTATTTTAGGTGGCATGGTCTTGCTGCCTTCTAAAAATGTATTACGATAACTGTCTTTCTTAACTTGATCTCTTACCTAAAAAATAATAATAATACCGTTTAATACAAAAAAAAACGTATTTAATTAATAGGGTTCATACTTTTACATAAGCAACATAATGTCCACCGTGCAAGAAACCACTGTGTTCCACTACTCCGTAAAGTGAATATAATATTCGATTTTGGCCTGGACTTAGCTTATCCTGTAATAAAACCATGTTTTATAAAAGCAGTTTAAACACATATGATATAATATAATACAGAAAAAATATATATATGTAACTAATTACATCTCTTATAGACTTTTTTTCTATCATTTATCATCTATTATGGTTGGTAAAATTAATTAAGTGTTTTCTAATAACAAGTATAGTCGATGTATTGAATGTGTTTCAAAAACACCTTTGAATTATTCATTAACTAACAACCAAACAAAATTGTTTCACATACTTGACACTTAACAGAACAATATGGAGCAATATCTAACACCCATGGAAATGACACATCCCGTGCTAACTTTTTGGTTGTAGAATAGCACATTTGGAATCTCTTTAAATGTAATATTAAGATCGCAGGCGGTGAACTAATTAACATTTGTTTGGTACTTTGACGATAAATTGTTTTTTCTTCATTAGTTTCTGTAAAACAAAATGTATACAGTTATTATCAAGTAGGCTAGAACCAATACATTTTGTGACTAGCATTGATTAAAAAAAAATACAAATCAGCGGGGATATTCACAAAAATGGTGACCGATTCTAACCGTTAATAAGACATTCTATGTTATGCCTACCTGTAAACTAAGACGGCCAAACCTTCATATTATTTAAATCATTCTTCACTTAAATAAAAGCAAATAATAAATTTAATTTGATTTTTATTTGAAAAAATATCCAAATAATAATTTTAAATACATTTTTGTATTGTGTTAAGTTTTTTTCAAATAAATCAACTAATTAATAAAAGTAAAAATTATTTATGCAAAATTTGTAAATAAAAATGTATTAAAAATAACTAACAGGTTATTTGAAATAGTCAAACAAAAATTAACTTGATACTATAAATAAAAGTATATTTAAAAAAAAATTATTATTTTCAAATAATTATTTATTTAAATAAAAAGTCTAAGGATGAAGAAAGTACCCCTTCACAATAGGAATCCCGTGTAAAATTAGTTGCCATTTTTGTTTATTGCACCAGTTATCTGTATACTTTAAAATCAATGATAAAAATTAAAACTCACTTTTTTTGTATATTTCAGTGCATTTTTCACATGATACTTTATTATTACTAGTCATTATTTCAGATGCAGTGAATTGATTAAGACATGTCAAAACGGAACATTCACCTTCTTTACATTTAGGTCGTGGTTGCAAAGTTGCTTGTGGGCATTCTTGGGAGAATTCACCGTCTTCATTATTCTCATCTTCTTCACTTTTAGAATCATCAAATAGATCATCATCACTGTTATTGTCACTAACATTTGGCGTTGGATTGTTACGCTCCTAAAAATAGTAGTTAAAATGATTAAACGACTTGATAACTAATTTGTGCAATATTTATGAAAATGGAATTACTTGATTTTCATTAGCACTATCTGTTCCTACATCCATATAATCTGGACTGACGTTTGCTCGTATAGAATCAAGGGACGATCCATGAGGTGAACTTGGACTATTTGCTGGACTACCATGCAGAACAGAATCTAACTCCATTGGCTTTTCTAAATCCAAAGTTCGGTCAGCATTAATTTGGTGATCAGGGTCAGCCAGTGGAGTATTATTCATAAGTGTAGTAAGTTCAGATATACTAAGTGCAGGACTGGTGACAGTAGATGGCTGTTTTTCAGAACCATAACCGGATTCTGGATTTTCTTTTTTCCAGTTAATTTCAACATCATTAGTTTCAACTTCCATATTGTCTTCAACATCCGCATCATCATTAATAACTGTAATTATAAATGACAATTAAATAATGACTATAATGAAATATGAAATAATGATGTATTGTCTGTAGCTAAACTTAAAATACAAGGAAGATAAATAAGTAGGTCACTATTGTTTGTAACTCAGTTAATTAATAGTTAATTGTAATATTTGTTATTACAAGATTGGTTTAATATTTTTGTTAAAAAAATTATATGAATACTGTATGAACATTATTAAAAAAAAAATTGTACAAATAAATAAACTTAATTAATTTAAAATTAATATTTGTATTCTTCTGTAACCAAAATTCATGTGTGAATTGTAATTTGTTTAACCTATTCTGCTCTATCAAAATAAAATAATAAATATTTCCTGGTACAAAAAAAAAAAGCAAAAGAAGAAACATTAATAAATAATAAAAATGTATTTAAATCTCATACCTAAATTATCCTGAACTTTGTTATGGAACTGTTTATGTTCGTGTTTCTTTCTTCTTGCCTGCTTTATTGCAATTTTACGTTCCTTTTTTGTTTGGTATTTTGACTGATTATACATATCACCATCTTTCTTACGTTGAAAAGTTGGTGCTTGTGTCTATCAAGAAATTTAAGTTATAAATTCATAACTATAGTATAGCTAGGGAAATAAAAAATGTCTGGTAGGGAATTTTTTGTCTTAACCATTAATTAATCGCCTAAAACTATTTTAAAAATCTGGCTTATTGAAACTATTAAGATTTTCACTACCATTAAATTGTAAATTTCAAGCTACCTTATCAGCCGTGATTGGCAAGCTCAAGTCGAGAAAACTCTCAGTTACTTCAGACATATGACCACACGTTTGGCATTGTACAACACTAAGAAGTTGACCTTTAAATACATGATCTGGCCGTAAGAGGACGAGCTGTTGTAGCTTTTTGTTCATTTCTTTGAGCCTAGCAGCTTTTTTTTCATCAATTTCACTGGGGTCTTGCCTCATAGATAGTCCAGAGTGATGAATTATTGACCTTTGATAACGCTATGTTTAAAACAATAAAATAAGTTAAACTACACTTAAAATATACAGTACTTCAGTAACATGAATATATTATAACGTCAAATTTCTTTTTTTTTAAGCAGTCCTCCGTGAAGAGATTTTATGCTTTTTTACTAAGTTAACTTTTTAATTTGTATGTTATGATTTTAAAATTCACCTTAAGATCATCATCACGCACAGAATCTAAAAGATGACGTAATAATTCATGTGAATCGTGTTGACTATATCCTATAAACATTTTGCATTTTTTTCGTAATGAATCTAACAGAGCACTGGGATTAAATGTAGATTCTCGTTCATTGGTAATTTCTTCAAGAGTTGTAAATAAATTTTCTGTTAAACCACTCCATTTCTCTAGTTCGACAGTCTAATAAAGATAATTACAGATATTCAATTTCTGAATAACATAATATAGATTTTGTAAACTTACAATATCTTCATTATCTAACGTAATTGAAACTTTTTCACCGTGTTCACTAATTTCACGTAACACAGATTTCAAAAACGGAGTTTGTGCAAGGCATTGCAATACAGAATTATAAAAACAGGTGTTGCCTAAATTGTTTAAGCCCTATAACAAAAAATAAATAAAATTAGCATAAATCTAGGTACAACTAATTAGTGTAGTTATTTGTCATTCACAGATCCGTTTACCACAAATAAATAATTTTTTATACAGTTTAATAACAATTTATCAATGGTTTAAATAAGATTACAGGACCACGGAGCACATGATTGCAGCCGCGCAAATTGAATGGCAAAAATGTGTACAAGTAACCTAAATGTATATGTAGGCTGTTTACGCCTGGGTCATGGATCTGTGAATTGTAAGCGTTGCTACTTGACAGGCCATATTTTAAAAAATTCACATACTCTAGGTCTTTTAAAACGAATATTATTTATAATATTTCTAGATGGTTCACTTGATTTTTTTAAGGATAGTGGTTCGTCATCATCATCACCATCATCGTCTTCTTCATCTGACTTTGCAATGCCATTACACATTTTTGGAGGGCTAGCTAAAATAATATAAAAAATGTTATCATACTCCAACAGTACAGCTCAGAATTTCTTGCAGGAAATTAATAAATAAATGGTAATACAATTTTTTTTTTAACAGTGACTGCCACTGCTAAAAACATGAGACTAATATTGCTTTGTGGGATCTAATAATCCTACAACATACTTCTACTATTAGGTTTTACGGGGTCTTCATACTCTACATGTTAAATAATTAACTCTTAAGAGTAAAATATAGGGCCAATACATCCAACATAGCAGTCAACCTGTTAAATATTTTAATATAAAAATTTTAAATACCTGAAAAAGTGTTTTCAGGCTGAGCGTCTGCCTCAGTAAGACATCCCTGATTTTGAAGTTCATCCATTTTATGTTTACCTGCTTGTGCTTCTTTCATAGGCTTTATTAAATTTACAACTCCTTGGAGTTTTTTAGAACTAATTAATTGTAATTCTTTTTTACAATCGTTACATCTATAAAAAAAAATGTATACTGTACTTCACTTTATATTTTATAAATTGTACTAAATTTTTTCATTAATTAAAAAAAAATATTAATGTGATGCTTAAGGTTTAAACAAATGTCTCTGGTTTCATCAAATGTATCAAATGTGCTATATTAACATAAAATATACAGAAATATAAGCCAGATTAGTAAGTAACGTATTAAGTGTATATTTAGTAGCTACAAAATACTTTCAGCTCTCTTTAATCACTTAGGTTTTGATTTAAACAATAATATTATATTACCAATGTAATAAAATTCTAACTAAAAAATTTGCCATGTTGAGAAAACTAAGGTCAGGAACTTACATACAGGTACTAACACAGCTTGTGTGATAATAATTATTAGAATTACAACTTGACACACATTTTTTTTTTTTTTTAATTTAGGGTAAATATTAGTTTTTAAATATTCATATCATGTAGTATTTGAAAATTAATTTGCAAGGAATCGAAATCTTAGCATAAATTAAAAAATGTTCCTAAAAAATTAATTTTATAAAGTATTTTGTATTTTATTTATGTACTCACGAAATGACTAAACTATCAATATTAATAGCTATGGAATGCGAATCACTCCTTGGGGTATCTTGATGTCTACGTATATGATTGCTTTCTAAATTAGAACAACTCAATATTCCACACTGTGCACAAACGTAAAGTTCCTAAAACATAAAAAAATAAATAAAATTAATAAAGCCCAAAGAAACAGCAGTTATATTTGAGAGAAAAAATCACAACACGAAGACATTTTATTAACAAATATATAATTATAATTATATATAAAATAAATTACTGTTTTTACTTTCTATAATGTGATAGAGAGTAAATTTCTATCAGTGACAGAAATTTGCAATCACAACAAAATCATTTTTGTTTATAATAACACTATAGTTAACAAAAACAACCATATGTACTTGATATTGACAGATTCCAGAAACAATATACAGAGTGTTTCACAAATATAGGACAAATGAAATAACTTTTGTTCTAGTGCTATTTGCGCTGTAAGCATCACGGTTTTTATTGCTCTTAACTGTTTTACTTTTTATTTTTTTGATAATCATTTTATTAAGAATAATTTTCTAAAAATGTTGACTGATTGACAACCAATTTTGGATACATACTTTTAAAGTTATTTAAGTTTAAAGTTTAGAACAGGTAGTGGAGTGAGATAGAATAATGCACAGGGATAAAAATAACCTCCCATTTAAAATTCTTACCTTTAATAACTTAAAAAGTAATTATCCAAAAATGGTTATCGACCAGTCAAAATTCTCAGCAAATTATTTTTAATAAAATGGCTCTTTAAATAAAAAAATAATTTAAATAAGTAAAACAGTTAAGAACAATGAAAACCGTGGTGCTTATAACGCAAATGAGTATAAATTAATTAAAAATATTCACTAAAACAGCAGTTATTTCATTTGTCCTATCTTTGTGAAACACCCTGTACATATACATTGACAAGTATAGACAAGCATATAGAGACAGTATATACATAATTGGGTATGTTTTTTGGTTGTCCAATATTCCTGGATAGGATTGTAATATAACTTGTCGAACTGAAATTTCGGTCAAAGAAATTAAATCAATTTAAGTCAAATCAACATACATACAAATATGCGAAAATTACAAAACTAGGTACGGTAATATATAAAAATTGTCAAATATTTATTCTTAAAAAACTGTTTTTATAATCTTTACTACTCACTCTAATGGTATTAATTACAAGTACAGTTTATAATTCTTCTAACCCACAAGTGCAGGAAAGAAACAATGCCAAATGTTTGTAATAAGAGTACACGTATTTGGTATAATAGCTTATTTTTATTTTGAAAACATCAAGAAATTTATCTTAGGATAAGTTAGTTGTAGATAGAAAAGGTTCCTTGTTGTTTAGTTTAGCTTAGAATCCTTAACTGCAAACTTATCATCAGATATCAAATGTATATATTCTGTTTAATTAGGAAACTTGAATATTTTTTTAAGTATTACGTTTTGTAAAAAAAAACAAGATTAAACACTTATTTGATATAATTAATTACTTAGAAACTGTCACTCAAATAAACCATAAAACTTACTTGCAAATTGTTATTTTTACAATCGGCACATAATAGTACAGCTTTTTGTAATCGTTTTCGCAAAGTATTTAAATTTATAGCTTTATTGACATGAGTACAAGGGTGCTTGAGACCTAGAATAATACAAAGATCATTGAAAATTTAGTAAATTTGACAAGCAGACGACCAGTGGAGTTTGTTTTAGGGTGTGGACTCACTGTTTGTACTTTCTTTGAGATTTCTAATTTCACTCGAATCTGATGAATCATTGACACTAAGTGGGTCTGGAACAGGCACATTAGAACTTTGCCGGTTACGTTTCTTTTTGCCTTTTGCCATGACTTAGGAAAACGCAAAAGTTAGACCAAAAACTCAACACTGGGCGTCTATTTTTAAAACTTGTTTTGGGATAAAAACGTGATTAGGTGAAAATGTTGACTTATACATATAGATAAGACACATAGTTCAATGTGCAAACAGAATTGGTTTTACAAATGAATACAATACTATTACTTCACATCTTTCAATGAATAGTACATACCTTATTTGTTCTTAGAAATGGGTCTTCGAGATACTGACGTCACTTTCGTCTTAATATTATTCTACTTTACTCGTGTTAATTTTATATCATATCCCGCTTGAGCATAGACAAGTATGAGTATTGTCTTTGCGAACAAAAAGTAAGTAGTAAGAAATCGTTGATAGACCAGTGACGGTCATGCGACAGTGGTTTTGTTTTACTTTTTAAGAATAGGTATTTCATATGAAAATGGAATACCTACATAGTTAATAGTTAATACTGCCTTAGTATACAAACTAATAACTATAATTTGGTCAGCTGATAACTACTACACGGAAGTTGTAAGCGTGTTCAGTTTGCACTCGTGGCATATAAGTTGGTAAAACTGCTAATAGCGATAACGTTGACCACAGTTGCTTCAGCTGGGTACTATACCAAAATACCATATTTACGAGCACCACTTTTTTGGTTGGAGTGGCGTCACGTTATTTTCTCTATATCGTGAACCGGAGATATGATAACCGATTGGTGATTAGAGAAGTCAAATTCAAATCCTGTTTCCAAAACATAGAAAGTACAAACCACCAACCAGTAGCCACTAGCCACAACATTGAGCATTCTGCAATCTGCATTCGTATTTCGTTATATAGTATTCGGTAGTCTATCTGTCCATGAATTGCAGGCCAGGTAACTAAATCGGCGGTACGTTACATGTGAAAGTAGAATGAAGATGCCACAAAAATGTTGGGCTAATGTCAAGTTATTTGCTAGAAGTTTTCATGCTTCGAGTAACAGGTAACATAGAAAAAAATGGGAACAAATTTACTTTACCGGACACCCTTATTTTTTGTTGCGATTTTTGTTTTGCCTTACCATAGTGTTTTTACGCTGATTACGAATCTGAAGTCAGAAATTAGCGAACTCTAGTTAAAAAGTTACTGCTACTTGAACTTTGACGTTTATTTTGCAAAAAAGGTGTGTCTGATAAAGTAAATTTGTACCAAATATTAAATGAAAGATAATATTATACTACTACTGATACTATAAGGGAAAAAATGTTTCAATTATTTTTGAACTACATAATGTGTCCCCTAGATCCCTATAGTTTTACATAATACAATTTTAAAGGCTTGTACTAATTTTTGTGGTCCATGATTACTAATAGAGGTTACTACATGGGTATTAAAATACACAGCTATACCTACCCATCAGCGTTTAAAAATATTATATAGTGCCGTGTCAACTGTCATTAACACCCTAGGACAGTCATATTTTTCGCCCCTATTTACTATTTAATTAATATGTACTCATATTTTTTTGGCGCCCTAAGGCCCTGTACCCATATAAATAACAAACCCTAGTTTTGACCGATGTAATTTAAAATACCCAAGTATTTTTGACAAGCACCCTTATTTGATTACCTGGATACTCATATATTTTTATTACCTGTTCAAAACCGTTTGTTTATTTTCTCAAGAAAGCACAATATTTGAAATATGACTAAAGATTTTGTGGAGTACAATTTTAATTTCCTATATAGAAGTGGTTGTAATATTCAGAAAAAAAGTAATTACCCACAACGTATCCTTATGACTGTATACATTATAATTTTAGCTTAAAATTAGGATTTTACGAAAAACTGCTACTTTTTACTACTACTATAATTTTATTCCTAATAATTAGGTGGTATCCCTATAGTTTGCTTATTTAAATATTATAGAATATAATGTGCTTTTGGAAATAAAGACCAATAAGTTTATCAGATAATTTATTTTTTTATTTTTTTATTTCATGTACCAATATGTTAAACCATAATTAAATAATAATATTGGTATGTTCAGAATTTTATCAAAAGTTCAATAATCTTCACAAAATATCTGATTACATTTTGGTTAATAATAATTTAAATTTGTAGCCTTCTTTGTAGTTTTTTAGGACATTGATTTTTGTCTAAATCTACCTATCATTAAAGAAAATTCTGAGCAATGATTAAATATATTTTTTAATATGTTTGAAACATAAACATAAGTATAATTTTTGTTCCCTAAAAAAACGTGCATCATTGGCTAATGGTATATTGAAATGCTTTAAAAAATCCAAAATGCATAATTTAAAAACCCGTATTTTGTCTAGCTTATAAATGTGAAATGACAAAAATAAAGGTTTTGGAAGAAAGTTCTTTGAAAATGCACAAAAAAAAATGTATATATATATATAAATATGTTATGATTTATTCCAAGTATTTGTTTTATTTTAGACTTAAAGCAAAAATAATCGATGGCAAAAGTATTGCTAATACTATATTGGAAGAATTACGTTTAGAAACAAAAGAATGGGTATCCAAAGGTCATAGAGCTCCTTGTTTAGTAGCTGTTTTAGTGGGTGAAGATACAGCCAGTAAAATTTACGTGAACAACAAAATAAAGGCAGCAAAAGTTGTTGGTTATAAAAATATTTTTAACATCATATCATTTTACAGTATCAAACATTTAATTCATTTTTGTTATTTTTGACTAAAAAAATTATAACTATATAGGTATAAAAACTGAAACTATAGTGTTTAAAGCGTCTACCAGTCAAACTGAACTTCTTGGATGTATTGAGCGATATAATCATGATAAAAACGTGGATGGAATTTTAGTTCAAGTGAGATAATAAACATACAAATTTTAGTCATCTCATTATTAAAAAATATAATATTCTTACTAGAAATAGAAATAATAGATCTAAAAAATAGTATTAGAATTCCTCAACTTAATGAGAGAAAAAGATTATATCAAAATATTGTATAGAAACAAATTTATTTTTTAATTGGCAATTTCTTAGGTATATTATGCTTTCATAGTTAATGAATTCAATAACTCGATTTGAATTTTCAGTGACCCCTAGTTGAACCGAGATATTTAAATTACCTAATTAGGAATTGAAATAATTAAATTATGATGGTATTTTTTTGTTTTGTTCTTTTTTGTTTTTTATACTAATACTTGCTCAGAAACAAATAATTTTTTTTTACACAATTAGCACTTAACCCCATTTACGCAATTTTTGGACTTAACATCTTTTACATGAGCATCACGGAATTATTAAAATTTCAATGAAAAAATGAATTATGTGCTGCTATATAGCAAATAATAATGTTTAGGGTTGGGCCAGTTTAGCACTGGTAGGAAATACAATTCTCTAACATATTTTCAAATAAAACACAATTTGATTTTTTGTGGATTTAGGCCGATATGGTTCTAGACGCCTCATATAGATTATAGACTAGTTGTACTTTTAGCTGCTTATCTGTTAGCTGTATTTTTTTGTTTTTATTATAATCAATCTAATTAGAAACAAACTATATAATAAAAATACAGCCTTTATGATTTATCTATATCTCAAATAAGCTTTGCTTGTATTGTACGTAGAAAGTTATACAAATATAATAAAATTAATTTAAAATACAATCTATTGAGTTAATGAGTTGTATGAATTCAACTGATTTTTTATAAAGCCAATTGTAAAAATAAAATACTAATTTGGCACTAAGGAATGATTAAGAGATTCTTTTTATTTTATTTTATATTATACAGGGTGACCACGAAAAAACTTATTTTCAAAAAGACAAAATAATATTAGTATTTAAAAAAAAAAATTTGTTTAACTTATGTAACATGTTTGTATGTGTATGCCATTTATTTTCTGGAAATTTTCGAGAGAAAAAAAAATGTCTGTCTTCCATGAGGCAATTTTCAATTCTTTCAAAGAAGTTCTTCCACACTCGTTCTAATGTCTCCCTCGTGTTTAGTGTCACCTCTGTACGAATTTCCGCTTTCAAATAATCCAAAGAAAACTGCCGTAAAATAAATGGCTTACAGCCACAAACATAATATTACATAAAATCAAGTTAAATAATTTTTTTTTTCTTTCGAAAATTGCCGTAAAATAAATGGTATACACCCACAAATATGTTACATAAGTTAAAAACAATTTTTTTTGAAAAACTAATATTATTTTGCCTTTTTGAAAATGTAAAGTGTTTTTGTGGTCACCCTGTATATATGAGCCGATGCTATTTGACAGAATGAGAATGAAAACATTTCTTGCCATACTTGGAAAATAAAACGTAAATGCTCTATAACGTATAGGATGTACAATGAAGAAGGAACACGGAAAATAGGAGATTCAATGAGATAGTTGTTTTCTTAATAAAATAAGGATGTCTCTAAGAAATCCGTTAGGTTAGGTAGTTGCATTACCAGTAATCTTCTTCTTGTCGTGTCGGTCTTCATATTCCCTTCCCTTCCCAATAGCAGCAACTTGTATTGAAATGTCTTCTTCTTTGAAATTTCATGTGTCAAAAAGTCTTCCTATCTACACTTAATCGGTAGTAGTGGGCATGCAAACAGATGGTCGACATCCTGCTCCCCACCTCATTCGCATTTTCCATCCTCTTTTATTACCCATTTCTTCATATTACTCGCTGTCCTTCCAGTTTCGGTTCATAATCTATTTAGTGTCGACCATGGTAGATGACTTCCGGGTGGTAAGCTTTCCTTCGGGTCCTTCCATAGCTGTGAGTTATGCCCTTTCATTCCCTCCTTCCATAAGTCTATTCTTGTCACTTCAGGTGTTTGTGATATTGTCTTAAAAAAGTTTTTCCTCGATTTAAGTCGGCTCCCCGTGAGTTTACCTCCATATAAAGGATGTCTTATTTCTGATTCTTGTTTTGTTTTCTCTACTCTTGCTGCCACCTCTCGTCTTATGTTAAGGAGTGCTATCCCGCATAATAATTATACTTTCTGAACTGGGGTTGGTCTCAAGCACCCCGTAATTAGTCTATTAGTTACATTTAGGGCCACATCTACCTCCTTGGCATGTGCTGAGTTTTTCCATGCAGCACAAGCATATTCACCCGTCGAGTAACATAATGATAAGGCTGTCGTTCTTAAGACATGAGGGTCTGCGCCCCATTGAGAGCCAACCAGTTTCTGAAGTAAACAGTTTCTTGTTCCTATTTTATTTTTTGTGTTTTCACAATGACTTCTATATGTCAGGGCTCGATCAAGTTTAATGCCTAAGTATTTTGGTTCATCGCAGTGCTCTAATTCTGTGCCTTGCCAATTAATTCTCAATTTCCGCTTAGCATCTCTATTTCGTAAGTGGAAAGCGGTAATTTGTGTTTTTGTTGGATTAGGTTTGAGATAATTATCATTGTAGTATCCTTCATAGTATTAAGCGCGACGTTCAGATTCACTTCCACCTCCTCGAATGTTTTGCCCTGGGTTGTAACAGCGAGGGCATCAGCGTATATAAAGTGCTTCATTTGGTCCCCAATTGGTTGGTCATTAGTATATATATTAAATAAGATTGGTGCTAAAACACTTCCTTGAGGTAATCCATTATTTTGTCTTCTCCATCTGCTTTTTTTGTTCTGCAATGATACAAAAAACTGTCTATTCCTTAATAATAAACCAATAATTTTTGTAAATTTCGCGTCTTCAGTTAACTCATATATTTTCTTAAGCAGTAACCTATGATTGACCGGTATCGTATGCAGCGCTGAGGTCGATAAAAGCTGCACCTGTTATTACCTTATTCTCATAACCTTTCTCTATTTCTTCAACAAGGTTGAGTATTTTCCCCGTGCATGACTTACCAGCCCTAAAGCCAGCTTGTTGCTTAATAAGCTTCCCGTCTATCTTGTTGCTTATCCTATTCAGTACCATTCTCTCAAACATTTTATATGTATGACATAATAGTGACACGGGTCTAAAATTACTTGCATCTGTAGGGGCTTTCCCAGGCCCCCTACCAGTAATATTTTAATTGGTTATAAAATAATATTGTTGTATATTCATAACTTCTTAGACATATTATTTGTCAACTTCCTCCATGGATACAAATTATCTCATAAGCAATTTTTTTTTTTTTTTTATCGTAGCTGTAGTTTGGAACAATTTCCAGATTTTATTTATTTTTATTTAAAATATTATATGACATAAAAACAAATACTTTTATGGTATATTTAGTTACCACTTCCAGAGCATATAACAGAGCGAACATTGTGCAATGCTGTTGCGCCTCATAAGGATGTCGATGGTTTTAACATTGTCAATGTCGGTCGGTTTTGTCTAGACATGCAATGCTTGGGACCATGCACACCTCTAGGTGTTCATGAGTTAATTCGTCGAACTGGTAACATCAATATTACCATTATTTTCACAAATAGTCGTAGAGGAAAGTTGATAACTATTTAATTTGTAGGTATACCTACATTTGGTAGAAACGCAGTTGTGTGCGGCAGATCTAAAAATGTTGGTATGCCCATTGCAATGTTGCTACACGCTGATAATGCAGGTATACATTTTTGATAAACTCAAAAGATACACATTTAATGTGTGTGATATATTGTTTATTTAAATGTTTGTTGTTAGGTGAAACGTCAGCAATGGATGCAACAACGACTATTTGTCATAGGTATACACCTCCAGACCAATTAGCAGTATTTACAAAAAATGCAGACATCATAGTTTCTGCAGCTGGTATATTTTTTTTATTAATTCATAGAAATGGCTTACTGTGTAAATCACAAATAGTTAAACTAATTAATGAATGTAATTATTTTAGGCGTTCCTAATTTAATTCGTGCTGATATGATAAAGCCAGGAGCTGCCATAATAGATGTTGGAATAACAAGAATGATCGACGAGCAAACTTCAAAATCGTATCTTGTTGGCGATGTGGACTTCAAAAGTGTTAGTGAAATTGCTGGTTACATTACTCCCGTGCCAGGAGGTGTCGGTCCTATGACTGTTGCAATGTTAATGCGTAACACTATAGCTGCAGCTAAAAAATCAGTGATCTATAATATACTAGATCCCGGAGCTGTGATATATAAGCAGGCGTCTCAAATAAAACCTTGAGATGAACACTACATATTATATTATTTGTTATATTTATTTCATAAGTAGTTTTTATGTGCAATTAACATTTATTTAAATCTCAAAGTCATTGTAAATTGATGTATTTAAATATGTTTACTTGTTATAAATGGTCTTTATGAAAAATGTTCAATAAATGTTTGTTTTTATAAAATTTTAATATGTAATTTACACATCATACAATTATTATATCATATGTATAATTGGTTAAGCGAATGGATTTTTATTCATTGCAAGAGGAAAAATAGATTACAATAGGTACCTTTTTCTAGTATATTATATTGTTACTGTCATATAGCCAGACGATCATTTCATATCTCCTTCTTAAAAGCTTTTAGGAAAAAATATAAATAACAGTGTAGAAAAATGTATAGAAATATGAAAGGTTATCCGTTACTATACACAACAGCCCATAATTCTATAATACTCCCAAAAAGAAAAGAAAGGGAAAGAAAAGCGTGCGCCACAGGACTGGCTAATAATTTGGTACTATACATTATTTACAGATACTGAATAGTAATGACTAATGAGCAAACAAAGTTTATAATATTTTAATCCGTTGTAATAAATTATTATAACAAATAATATAATAAAAGGGACGGTCTATTTTACTGAACCGCTGAACTGTATGTTCGGGTGCCTATATCCAGGGGCATATGTACTGAATTACTGAAATGTGCCAATCTGCTGAACTGTACACTTCGTTGCCTATATTGAGGGGTATAAATAGTATTTGTTAAGTTATATTATTATATATATATATATATACATACTACTGAACTGTATAGAGAAACATAATTGTATTTTTGAGATGTATGGATATCATTTCTACTCAAAATTTAAGTCATGAATATAGACCAAAAATAATAGTCATGACTTACGTAATTGTAATTACTACATTATATTGTTAAAAAAATAAAGAGTTTTATGCCTTAAGTTATGTTATCTATAATAAGTAATAGTATATTTGGGAAGGATATTTTAATTTCTTTTGTATCCCCCTCTAAAGCGGTTTTTGCCGACAGGACGTAATTCCAACAGATTACATTTTACACATCAATGGTTACACGGCAAAAGAGCCTAAGCGTCATTCATCTAATAATGAACATGTGCAAAATGGGGTTATATAGTATAGTATAATAATATGTTATATTATAATACACACACACATATTATATAATATAAATTGAGATTTTGTTTTTTTATAAACAAATAATAGTAGAAAGCAAAAAAAATAGTGTAAGGCTTGACGTACATGGAATAGGGTAGATGTGTCAGTTTTAACCACTGTGCCAATAGACAATAGTAGCTCTTTTAATTTGTTTATTGGTCCAATATACAGTTCAGTAAAATAGCTCCTTCCTATAATAAAATACCTACGGTGGTGGTAGAGTGTAGACAAGAGTTGTGCAAATTCTTATTCGGATAATTATTTGAATAATTTCCTCGCACGTTAACTGAATAAAGAATAATAAATAATCACACTATTCTAACATAAATTATTATTAGTAAAATATAAAAATATATATTATTTATTTATTTAAGGCCCCTGGATACCGACCATTTTTAAGGAGTTTTGTATAGGCAATATTTAAGAAAAAGTGGTTTTATTAAATTTCGACTATGTTAATTAATTTACCGGTTAATTTATATGAGCTTCATGGTATTATTTTTAATTTCAATAATTTTGTCTATGAGTAGTAAAAGCCATTTTAGTTAATATAATAGAACATTTTTTGTCCATCGCACAGGCTCAACCAGTAATCCGATAAGTAATCTGAAAACAGATTTGAATTTGCCATGAAGTTTACTTGAGATCGGTCAGCGTACTTTTTTGATATCTTATTCCTACTACGCATAAAACACGTTTGAACATTTGATAAAATTTTAAATTTTAAAATCAAATTTGGAAAGGGTTAAAATTAAAAATTGAAAAAAGTGCTCTGACCGATCTCAAGTAATCTTCATGACGAATTCATATCTGTTTTTAGATTGCTTATGGGATTAATGGTTCACCCTGTGCGATGGACAAAAAATTATTGTTTTGGCTGAAAAAACGGTCGGTATCCAGGGGCCTTAACGGACAGAAAGTCCAATGTTCAATAGGTATAGTCTATAGATAACAGATACATTATACAATAAGATATTATATAGGTACATAAAAGTAAATAGTTAACATATTTGTTTAATTAACTTAAGTAAACAATATAAATTTTAAATAAGTATATAATATATTATAGTGACTAGTGTACAAAATAGTTGTTAAAAAATAAAAAAGTCTACAAAATTATTTGAATTCCCGAAAGATAACAAAATAATAATAACAGGTGTTTGTGCCGTATAGTTTTGGAAAGAAGACGGAATATAAAATAGCCTTATGCATGTAGGTACTATGATGTAGGTTGTATTTATATTTTATAAGAATATTTAAAACCACACTTAAAAATTATTTTAATTATACATATCTGAAAGTTATTCGAATTAAAAATAAGTTATATAGATAATTATTTAGTTAATGTTTCATTCGAATAATACCAAACTTTGCTGGTAGACGCAAGTACATGTTATATAATGTAACAATGTCCCATATAAAAATAATGTACATTAATTTGTAAGCAAATCGATTGTGTATCATTCATGTAAACATAAATTATCTATAAACATTAAGCATACTATAATAAAAAATCATACAGTATTTTCATCCAATTAGCTATCATTAACTACTCTTTTTATTTTGTAAACATATAGTTCGAGGACCGAGGATAGACGTGAGTTTTTTCTTGTAAAACTTCTGGTTAATCCTCATGTATTGATGTATGTCAACTTTGTCAATCTATTTGTAGTTTCTACCTCGAGTATCACGGAATGACGAACATAATTAAATTATGTAAGTCAGTATTAAACAATTTTTCGAGAAGTTGTTATGATATCGAAAAAATATCACTAAATTTAATTTTTAAATCATTACATATATTAAATAACATAATACAAGTGAAGAACATGGGGTGTAATATTCAAATAAATATCGTAGGTATTGGATACAAGTATTTTGGAAGTCTGGTAAGTAGATTTTTTTAATAATCTTTATTCAATGCATTACGGGACTCGAGTATCAGTTCTAAATCTAAATTAGTCATGGAGCGTCGAAAGCAAAAGTGGTATAAGTCACGAAACTTCAAAATTGAGAAACAAAATGTTAAAGTAGAAATGCTGTATACGTTTTTATGAGAACGTAAAAGTTCCTTTGCCATCTAGCGTACACAAACAGGCAAAGCAATACTCACACCACTTTCGCAGGTTAAATTTCTAAGGTATGATAACACCCTGTGGGTGTGTCATCAGATTGTGCGAAAACGTGACTTCCACCACTTTTTCTCACGATAGCTTATAATATGTTTCTAGAAAGAAAGAAACAATTTATATTAATTAGTACGACCTTTTTTTTTGGTATCGGTGGCGTTAAATTGTAATTTGTAAGTTATATTTAACTTTAATAAAAAAACACTAAGCTAGTACAGAGATAATAAGTAGTATAATGATAATAAATAAGTAATTAACAGTTATAATGTCTGGCGTCTGCTCATATCATTTGATTTTTGGGTATTTTAACTTTTTTTAGATAATTTGTAACCTAATCATGGGACATGTCATTTGTCTCTTTTATTAAATTTTCTTCTGAAATTGCTATCCTAAAAACAAAAACACTGGGATTAATAAGAGGGTTAATTTAAAATATCATTCATTTTTTAATAACATAGTACTGTTAACATTCACTTTTCTTTAATTAACCTAATGAACTCTAACCTTTTTTTTCTTTTCCAAGTGCATCCTTTGCGTTCCGGGGGAACTAGCCTTGTGGGCTATTGCTTCCCCCCAACGAACTCTAACCTATCCACTCGTAAATATTATAAACTGTAAATATTACCTTTAATAACTGTATTTTTCCGTTTAAAGATGATTTTGTTCCGATATGTTGAAAAAGAGATGGTTTAAAAGTTACCCATATTTCACCCTTACGTTTTTGACAATCTCTCTAATAATTTATACAAAACAAAAATATTTAATTTTATAATTATTAATATTAAATAAAGGGGTTTTAATAAATTTCGACCAAGTTATTTATTTTGCGGTTAGTTTGTATAAGCTTCAAGGTATTATTTTCAATTTATATAATTTTTTCTATGAGTAAAAGTAATTTTGGCTTATTTTAGACCAAAACTGTTAGACAAAATTTCGACTACTTAGGATGGTCCAATTTTTTATCTTTAAAGAGATTTGAGTTCTTTGGCTACTTTAATGTGTTATGTAGGAAGCCGATTTTCATTTAAAAATTGCAGTTTCTTGTAATTAAATTAATTAAATTTGCAATTTTTTCAATATCAAAACACATTTAACTGAACATTCCAACTTAATCAGATATAGCTTAAGTATATTGTGCACAATTAGTAAATTTACAAAAAGACAAATTTTAATTAAAAATTAGGTATGTACAAACCGAATCTTTTTCTCGATTGCAAGCTTTTGTTTGTACCAATTCGTCCAATAGCCAATCTCCTGGTTTGTCATTATAAAACATTACAATGAATTGAATAATCCAAGGTAAATCTGAACACTTAATCATTTTTCCTTTGCATATAATTAACGCTGAATTAATATTAATGCAAAAAAAATAATTTGCTTTAGACTATTACCAATAAACCCAAGGCGACAAAAATCTAATATAAGCCAATTTTCGGAATTTCTTATTTTCTCTAGTGCAGCATTTTTCATAACGGATTGAAATTGTGGTTTTGATACTACGTCATCTTCTAGTTGAACATAAAACAAACCTCTTGGCCGACAATACATCATTAGGAAAACATAGTCTAAATTTTGTTTGCTTCTCCAACGAACTCTCTCGAGAGAATCGCCTAGAGTTAAGCGTAATTTACTAAAATTTGGATAATAATCATAGTATGGAGCAATCACATCAATAAGACCAGTATGCATAACATTAGATAACCTGAAATTGTAAATAAATGTATTTAGTGTAAATATACATTTTTATAATTGCGTTTATTATTAATAAAATAAAATAAAACAATTTTATTCATCCCATTATAATGTATTATCAAATTAGGTTATTTGTAAATAAATAAGACCGATTAGCTACCGGTTTTTGTATTATACGATTTTAATATGTTGTATATTGTAATCTATATTATATTTCTCAGATCTCTATGGTAAAAAGTATTTAGTTTAAATTAGAAATTGTTTTTTGCGTTTATTAAAAATATGGTTTACACGTCTTGTCCGGTTTGTTTACTATAATCAACTAGGAAATATTTATAAAAAATTTGATTTTTTTTAGTTTGCCGCCCTTGGCGCTTGTCTATTTTGCATGGTAAATTTGTCAATAAATCGTACATCTTTAATGAAACTCACCGATTTTTTATTTCTTTAGTTACTTGTTGTACATATTCTGCATCAGTCTACAAAATACCAACAAGCAAAAAAGGTATTTTTTAAAAACCTATTCACTTGTAGGTACTGTTATTGAGATGTTTAAAATTACCTCACCAATCATGACAACTATTAACGAGTCTTTTTTTTCCTTTTCATTCATGTTATTGACAAGATTTATTAAAGTTGAGATTAAATATGTTTTTTGCTGACGTCCAACAGTTGGAATACCAAACACTATTGACACTGGAATTCAATTAAATAAAATAAAATAATTATAACAAAGCTTTTTTAACATTGTTTTATTTATATAAAATGAATATAAGAAAATTATTCTACCGTACAGAACACGATAATAATATCATAAGACAATGTTTTTTTACAACTTTGGATTTATTAAATAATCAGGTACGCAGGATAAAATCTTAGACCACATTTCTATTCAGTAAACATAATTACGAATACTTTAATAGCATATACTACTTAATATACCTAACACAAATGTTTAATAGTCTATGTGACTATTAAATGTAATTACTTATTGTAAGTTAATAAAAATAAGAAAATTGTAAATAGCAAATTAATACATACTAAATACCTAACGAATGTTTATTTGTTAGACAAAAATACTAAGTTATCATCATGATAATGATTTTAGACTGGGGGTCAACCAAGAAATTCAACAATTTAGGCGTAACTTAATAATAACATGATACAAAGTAATATTTATATAGCGTGAATTTCAAAATAATTTTTTATTGCATAACATCTGAGAGTGTTAAAGGCTAAAGCTTTTATTAACTAATGTGAAATTACCTGAATGTCTATCACCAGAATGTAATACCAACGGTCGTAAACCATTTCTAAGCGATTTAAGGTGTGGTAAAAATGTAGATAAATCAATAACTCCCATCTGTGTCTTAAATATTTCAACAGATTTGTCATAAGCTGATGTCACAGTTTCAAATGCGTTCAAAACAGTTAAGTTTAAAGAATTAGTTATACTTCTTAACGTAAGACTAAAGTGCTTCATCATTTCTTTTATTTCGGTGTCTTTCGAGTCGTATAGTGTAGTTAATTGATCTACCCGCATTTCCAGCTCAGTCAATTTATGCGCAACTAAATTTTTGTTATCTTTGTCCCTAAAATTGGTATCTGAAAAACAATACTGTTTTAGAATAATAATAGTATAATTATTATACTAGGTACTATACCTAAATGATATAATATTTCTTGATGTTTAATAAATGTTTAAATAACAGATTATTGAATTAAATATATATTTAATAACTTATATGCAAATTTAGCATTGAAGCCCTCGAAACGTGAAGTCTATACAAGTTTTATATATATATATATATATATATATGACAAAATGTAAAAATAAACAGATGGTGATGATATTAAGACGATGCTATCCACCAGTGAGTAACAGGGTTTCTGTGAATGAATACCATAAAGGATATGATAATACTAAATCTCTAAATTTTCATAGAAAAATATATAAGACTATAAATTATAATCTATGCTGAAATGTAGCAATTTTTTGATACGTTGAATTCATTTTTTTCTATACTTTGTTACGGTGCAATGCGGTGAGGACCACTCACGACTGGCCATCTTCTAGGACTAAATTATAGGACAAGCTGTGGGACAGGAAGTTACTTTGTAACTACTATAAAATATCAATAAAGTACAATTACTCATTTTCGCATTGAGACTAAAAAAAAAATAGTTTTTCATTAAAACATTTTTTTAAATTTTACAAAATATTTTAACAAACTAATTTCGTGTACTTTGCCCGGGTTATACAATTACAAACTTGCTTATGTATCAAAATGGCGGCAGGCTGTTCGCGGCCTGACAAGCTAACGCCACTACGGCAGACGTGTGTAACTACAGAACCTGTTAACTGTATTATATTTACAAACTCCCTCTAAAGTTTTTAAATCAATTTAATTATATGCGCTTTATACAGAAAGATAATGGTAAGATTAAAAATATACACTTGAGGGTTATCTATAAATTCTATATAAAAAAAAATATTAAAACCTCTTTAAATAGCATAATCAATGAAGTATTTGTCTAATAATTTTTATTCAATCTATATTAAAAATTATTATTTAATCATGACAATTTATTTGAAATGACAAATTTATTAAAAACACTTAAAACTGTATTGTTGTCTATTGAACATTTTTATTATTGTAACAAGAATATAAGTTCCAAAAAATTTTAACTTCCAAAACATAATGCATTTTGGTACTATTTATTAATTTTTTATAGTATTAAATTTAAAAGACTTAAATTGAATAATGCACCCCACTTTGCCAATAATTAAGAAAAATTTTAAATTTATAAAATTGGGCACGTTTAATCTTTCCGAATAATAACCAAAACAGATACTAGTAAGTTTGGGGTATTCCCTAGGTAAAATAATAAGTATACTACCTAACCTAACTAATCCTACCTAAACCTTACATAAAAGGGGTGGAACTTTTTCCTTTGTTTGACGAAGTTATTGCATTGAAACTTTGAAAATTACGATTTGTTCAATGGCTTAACATAAAAAAAATATGTAGTGATTTTATCAGTTATAACTATTTTTGAAGACCTGTAAACTCCCCGACTCTATTATGATCTATTCCCATCATGTCCCGACCCCAGCTTATCAATTTAAATATAACGGGAAGCTAAAAAATAATATTATCTATTGAGTATTTATGATGTATGCGCTAAATTACTGTTACATGTCTACAAAAACATAGAAATTTAATGAAAATATTTATAGTTAATTAATTTAACTTTACCTGATTTGGTCAAGAGCATGATAGTGATAATTGTAGAAAATGAAACGAAAAACAGGAACAGGTTTCGATCTCTGAATTGTAGTATCCACCCCATTAAAAAAACAATGGTTGTCTGTGGTATTTGATTTATAAAAGTAAAAAGTGTGTTGTTATGATACATATAAATTAAAAATTAAATTAAAATGTTATTCAATACTTTCAAGAAAATAAATTTACTTCTAACTTTAGGTTGAATGGTTGTATCTTTAATGTAATATATTTTCAGAATAACGATTATATTTTGAGCTTCACGTTTAATTTATTTTACTAAAACTAAAAATAATAAAAGCCGTTAAATTTGTGTATAATAACAGTACCTATCTACTTTATACTTCTCTCTGAGTAAACCAAAATATGGACGACGTGACGCACCTAGCGATCGTCGCAGAGTCTTCTAAAGTAGGACAACACTTATACAAATACATTTATACTTACATAATATTCAATGATAACACCACTAATATACCATAACTGCGGTGGCCGTGGTAGTCAAAGGATTATTTTCATAGTAGGCGTGAAATACACGTATACTATGATATCTCTAGCTCATTACAAATTTCACACTTTTTGCTACACATGAAAATATGTTATTTTTGTGTTTTTTGTTTTTAAACTACTCTAAAGTTTAAATATGGTCTAAAACTTCAATGTGGTAAAAATGGAATAGAATATATTCTCTAATATAGTTCCACTCTTGGGTACTTTATCGCATCTATTGCAATATATTTTTATTAAGTATAACATTAAAAGCAGGAAAGCATTACAGGTTAAACGTCAATCACAGACAAATTGCGTCATTGTTTAAAGTAAGATAATATACTTACACGTTTATCTTCATATCGTTCCGCTGTAGAATGTAGATTATACATACTTACATATAAAATGTTTTGATTGTTGTTGAGGAAAAGTCATAAATTCTATAGCGCTGTCTCTCCCCCCCCCCTCCACTTAATAAAAATAAAAATAGTGACCCCAATAATATGAGCCTTCTAACCCAATTCAAATGTCCGCCTGTAACGAGATGAAATTTTCCATCTAAAATACACGTAGCTTTTTCATTTTTTTGTAAACATTTTTAAATGGATTAAAAATTGATATTATTATATTGGTATTATTTGTATAAGAATTTAACAGTCAAAGAGTTCTACTTTCAAACTAAAAAATGTATAGGTCTTTTCACGTCACTTTAAACCCGTTATTTATACAATTTGATCCGATATTTGGGAAATAAATAGAATACCCGTTAGTATTCTGTCATCGTACACTAAATGGGGTACCCATAAAAGATAATATGGATTATTTCACGTGAGTTTTATAATTGTACCTTATGTGTATACCGTATTTACAATATATATAAGGGCGATTGATATTTAGATGAAGTTTTAATTTCTATAGCGCCGCTACCTATTCGGTTATAAATAAAGTTTTTCTTTGATGACCTTGGTTGGTCCCTATATATGTATATATACAATGTTTTCATGATAAGTAAATATAAGGGCGCACACCAGTTGCCTCCCAAAACAACAAATTGCCTTCCTTACTTTTATATATTTTACTATTATCGTAACTTTTAGGGTCAAAAACTACTAGTTGTCTCCCTTGCCAGGTACTTAATATTTTTTATCCGAGTTGCCTCCCAAAGATATCCGAATTCCCTCCGGCGACCTTTATTTCTTATCGTAACTTTTTGGGTCAAAAAGTTCTAGTTGCCTCTCGTGTCAGGTACTTAATATTTAAAAAAACTGTTTCCTTTGAAGCGTCAGTCGTCTGGCGTGTGCAGTCAGTGGTCATTGCTGTCTAGTAGACGTTTTAAAAATGTTTAAAACAAATTCAAGATGAGTCAACGTGACTTAGTATCATATCTACTTCTTGAAGAGATAGAGGAAGAAGAACTTTTGTAGTAGTTTGTAGAGTGAATTAGCCAAATTATATAGACAATCAAATTTGGCTACCATTTCTACAAGTTTTTCGTCCTCAGAAATAGAAAAGAGTACTTTAAACATTTTATATTTTATAGTTTATGTATAGGTAGTGAACGCACGTGCGGCTGCGTCTATACTGTTCACCGACCGGACGATCCGTGCGGCTCTAGCGGCTACCGGCCGCCGCAAAGTTGTTGATGCTTTTAAGGAAACATATCCATTTGTTATATGATGACCACGTCATCAATGTAGGTAAATTTATAAAAATAAATATGGACAGTGCTTCCGACGACTCGAGACTGATTACTAAACAATCAAATTAACTTAACGCTTAGTTGCAAAATGTAAAACAATATAGAAGACATTTAAATTCAATGATATGTCGTCAGTCGACTTTACCGTAAACACATGTCATCAGTCAAAGAGTACTCGGTTGTCGCTTGCCAAACCTTGTAGCAACCTGTTACAGGTTGCTACAAGGTTTAAGTTCGAGAGTTCGTTCATTTAACACCTTGTAGTCTCTCCTCTTTCCTCGTGCACTTGTCTTGCGATTCGTTCACACAGTGCACATTCCTTTCTTAAAGTACCCGTGTCTTGCGTTTCGTTCGCACCGTTTGTGCTTACATTTCCTTAGGTACTCGTGTCTTGCGATTCGTTCGCACCTTGTGCCTATCCTTTTTCAATCTCTAATTCTTTTTAATCCAGTGTAAACAACGGCTCTTCGACATCCGCTAAGAACCCGGTGTCTAAAAAGCGGTAATTGCGTGGTGTTTAATTTTAATTTTAATTTAATTTGTGTAAAATGGAAGTAACTAAAGAAATGACATTTCTTTCGTTGTAACTTGTACTGTGTACCTAGTTTAAGAGGGATCATTTGGAGGGAATCCGGATAACCTTGGGAGGCAACTCGGATGAAAAATATTGAGTACCTGGCACGGGAGGCAACTAGTAGTTTATGACCCAAAAGGTTACGATAAGAAATGAAGGTCACCGGAGGGAATTCAGATATTCTTGGAAGGCAACTAGTGTATAATTTTGACGACTACCTAAGGATGGGATGCAACTAGTGTGCGCTCAATATAAGCTTACTAATATTATAATGAAGCATGCACACGACACCAACCTACCTCTCAGTACTGAATACTTTAGTCGGATAATAAGTTGAATAGTATGAAAATAGTACAATAAATTAAAAAAATCCCGTTGTTAAAAATTTGTAAGTAATAGGAATTAAAAAACATAGTTTTAGGATAAAATATAAAAACTCAATATTCGCAGGTTAATATTACATTTTTTTAAATAATATATTAATCTAAACAAGTAATTACATGGTCATTAAAAAACAATAAATAGTTAACAATCATGATTAAAAAGTGATATTTCAAGATTATAACTTTAAGAGTTAAATTTATGTGTACACGTAACTACAAAGGATGTTTTAATTATAAATGTATTAACATAAAATATAAATATTGCTATAAAATGTTTTGTTTAGAAATAGGTACTTAATTATAAAGATTTAAGTAAGTTCTATCATTGATTATAAATTACTAGTAGTTTATTATTAGTCTATGTATAATTTTACATGAAATTTGCATAAAATTAGACAACTTATGACATTTTTTTTAAAACGTTTAAATTATAATCTAATAATCAAACTTATAGGTACCCATGTATAAAGGCACTCCATTGACATTAATTGTCTGTAAAAGTAACTAATAGTTACACAAGCACATAATTTGGTTTCCATTTAACGACCGAAGAACACATTCAGTAAACTTAGGAACTAATAGAAGCAAATAGTTTATATTATTATTATGTTTGGGTTTTTATAGTTTTTATTAATGTTTAATATTACTTACAGATATACTAATTAGAATATGTACTTTAGTTAAAATATTCGGCGATTCAGGATATTTCATTTAAATTTTGTTTTAAACAATAACGAAGATGTTTTTCTTAATTGCACAGCTCGTTTGTTATAGCTAAAAAATAATATTGCAGTATAAAATAAAATGTTCTTATTATTCGATAAATTATTATGCCGAATCTAAAGTAAAAATATATAATTATTAATTACACACCACTTCGGTCAAATTAAAAAATAAGTATCAGAAATATATTAATTGATAATACTTGATAATAAGTTGATATTGCTATGAATTTCGAATATTTTTTTGATAAACTATTTTTAATTTATCCTATTGTTATTTTAAAAGTAGCTAATAAAATATTAGTCCACAGCTATAAACTTTTATAAAATGCTACGAAAATAAATAACTTTTAAATGTATAAGAGTTAACATCACCGCAAAGTACAAGAAAAATAAATTAGAGTAGTAAAGTATTAGCGAATAATTTAAATAATTTTTTTTTTTTAACTTTTACTTCTAAATTTTAAATTTGTATTAATAAAAAATGTATAGGTAGTATAATTTTTGCTTTGTGTCCACCAATAAGTAAACTATAAACCAAATTACGTACATAATGTTAGATTTTTAAACAAAATTTAAGAACTCTAGATTAATTTTATAAAACTTACTTCATCAAAACATTCAACAAATTGTTGAGATTTATAAAGGAAAGTTATTTATTATTATTTACTAACACCCTTTTCAATAAATATCAAATTAATAAATGAAGAAAATTGTTTTATAAATGTATACTTTCTACTGTTCTATACCTACCAACATGAAAATGTTTATAAATAAGACATTTTTAAAAATTAAAAACATGGAAAATAAATGTCGAATCTACAATATTTAAAAAATTTAAACAACTTGTTATTGAATATGATTTATACGCAAAGATAATTTAAAAATTGTTTTTTATAAATATTGTTTAGTTTGAAAATTAAAATCCCTGCTATTGTATCATTATTATAAATGTATACAAATATTTGATACAATATTCAGTATGGTAATTTTATCGTGGTCGATTTATTCTGATTTTTGTATAGTACAATAAATTATAAAAACACTTGTACACGAAGGTACATATCAGTGCTACTACGTTGAATAATAATACTTTGACAGTTCATACATTTATAATAATACATGACTATTGACAAACCAATTTGAAAAATATTTAGGTACCTACATCAATAGGTCTTCAATTTATTCAAAATAAGGTTAAAGTGGTAAAGCTCTTAGGCGTTTGACTCTTTAAGATTGTGTAGTTTCGCTAATTGACCAGGCTCAAGCTCCGGTAGTGATGGTAAACCTTGGTCAGACGGTTCATCAGACTCGAGCATCTTGAGTTCGTCTTCAGATTCCTCCGGTATTGTAGCCGGAAAGTAGTCGCTGTCGACACTCATATGATGCTCTTCTTCCGGTTCGGATTCCGATTCTGGTTGAGTTTCCGTCGTAGTAGATTCTTGTCCAAATGGCTTTTCGGGTTCTTCAACCACAGGTGTTGCAGCTGTAATGACAATTTGAGCGACGCCTAACGCGTCTGCAGTGGGTGCTGGCGGTGGAGGTGCATCTGGGGGTTCAGAAGAGTTATTCTGGAATATGAATATCTCCATTATATTATACTGCATACAATACATTTTGTAATATGGTAGTTAACTGACACTTCATATAGATTAGACATGCAAAATATTATTGCAAAATGTATTTCAAACAACACTACAAAATGATTTATTAAGAATAAGACACTCAATATCTCAATAAAAGTGTTGCTATTTTTAAGTGTTTCTTTTTGGAAACATTTTTGTTTATGTTATTTTACAATTTTATCAAATTACTAAATATTTCCCCTTTTAAGTATTTTCCAGAGCTCTATCAACTTTTAAAACTTAAATGGTAACGTATAGATTTAATTAACTTTTTAATTTGCTGAACATTTTGACTGTTCAATAATCATTTTTGGATAATAATTACTTTTAAAGTTATTAAGGTTTAAAATGTATGGGAGTGGGCAAGGTAATATAGTATTATTTTTATTTGCTCGCATTACTCTACCGCACTTACCCTCCATTCCTAAATTTTAAACTTCAATGACACAAAATTATTATCCAAAACTGGTTATCGAACCGTCGAAATTAATCAATATTAAGAAAGTTATTATATACACTTTACCCTTTAAACTTTGTAAATTGATAGAGCTCTGGAAGAAAATATAATATAAATATCTAGCTACCCGTGAAATAAATTCCTATTCCGGCCCTCTCTATCTATATTTTTTAAAGCATTTACGTTAACTAAATTATAACTTACATCATCTTCATTTTCTATACATAGTTGAGGAACCGCAGGTACTGTATGTTTAACAAATTAAGTAAGATTAATTAATGTTTATTATTGGTTTAATATATATATACATAGGGCTTTCCGAGTCAAACCACGTGGTCATCGACCTGACCTCATCATTATTTTTAATTTAAAAAAATAAAAAACTGAAATTATACATTTTTTCAGATTTTGAAAAAAAATGTCTTTATTAAAAAATAATATAGAAATAAATCTTGTTCCATTCCCGTTATTAGATCAAAAGATTTGATCAGTCTTTAATTTTATGATAGAAATTTCAGAATTTTTAAGCAGGTCGAAATCGATTTTTCGGGAAAAATAAAATATATAACCTCTATTTTTGGGGTAAATATAAGTGATAAAAAATTCAAAAAAAATGAAGAGGTCGGGCCGATGACCGCGTGGTTTTACTCGGAATGCCCCATATATATTCTACACGCATACATTGAAATCAATATTTAGATAAAGACTTACCATTAACCAGTGTATTTTCTTCCAAATCTCCGAAAAACTGAGTATGATATTGTTCTTGTTGGTTTTGAGTCAATTCCATAGAAAAATCATTGGCTTTCATTGAAATTTCGGCTAAAACAAAATGTAATGCAGTTAATATTATAGTAATTATAACTAGTTCAACAATTTAATGATTCAGAATTTATATTTTTGATAGACTGTAATCAGGTTTTTTTAATTATCGAACACATTCAAATACTAAAGTATAGTGCTTTGATTTCTATTAGTATCATAACATAATACAATATTTAAGACTTAAAAATAAAACTGAACTCTACAGAAATGTTTAATCCGTTCATTTTTACATAACAAACTTAGTAGCAGAATGATCAATCAAAGACCTTCTTGCGTTTATTATTACTTGGATATTAGGATTTTTGTCTCACCCCTAATCAGAAGTATAAGCTATAAAGCCATAATGGCGACAAGATCTTAAAATATATTGATAAAAAAAAATGTATCGTTAATACTATAAGATAGAATATAGAACTAAGAGCCCTCACATCGAAGATCTGAATTTGTAAATTTGCAGATATACAATTTGTTTACCTTCTGGATTAAATCCTTGTGGTCCATGTTCACCACTAGGTGTGGGCTGAGTAACAATTACTTGAGTAGGAAACAAAGACGAGGAAAGTAATTCGGGTGGTGTAAATGCAGTTGGCGGTGGGGGTGGCGGGGGAGCATTTGTAACGAATTCTGGATGGTCATCGTTCGAAAAATCACTATCGCCATTTTCGGATGTTGGTGTAGGTATATGTTCTCCGTTTTCATAACACTCTTTCACCAAACATGACGGGAAGTGTCCCATTTTACTACCCAATTCCCCGACCCACCATCCATCATCTACGTGAGTAGTCTTGTCCACTACTTTAATAATTTCTCCTTCCTTCATGCCCAATTCTTCAGGATCATTAGCGTCATAGTCAAATAGTGCAACACAATACGATGGTATTTCTATAATTCCTGTAATTAAAAAAGAACCCAATTACCATTATAATATGTTTTTAAACAAATCATACAAGTTTAAAAAAAATAATGGTTTTAAAATGTTCTCTTATTTTATTATTTTTTTTAGTAAATTTAAGTATGAACTTACAACATATTATATTACACTCATGCAGGGGTCGAATGAAACAGTTAACTTTTATTAATAAAAGTAAAAGTTTAACTTTTACTTATACATGTTGATGTATAAACATTTTTTTTTTAACTTTTACTTTTTTCAATAAAAGTTATTTTTATAACTTTTATTTTCTAACTGGATTTATAAAAGTTTTTGTTGAACAGTTATTATAAACCATTTACATGAATAAGTTTAATGAAAAAAGTATTATGCTTTTACGTTTTTATTAATAGGAAATGTAACATACAACTTAATAATAATTTTACTATACTATATGCATTTAACATAAAAATGTTTTTAAATATTTTGAAAATTAAAATTTTAAATGATGATATTATATCAACTTAATACAAGTATAATCAAAATTTTATAGTGTAAGCGACGTTTTAAATGCTATCATCATGATGAGATGAGTTCTGGACAAATTAGCTATCGTTTACGAAGCTTACTAACAAAAAAATTTACGAACAAACAAATTTAAGTTAAATTTACTAACAAAAGAGTTTAATATAATCTTACTAACAAAAAAAATTAATTTAATTTAGCTAACAAAATATTTTCAAGGGTTTCATTGTCAAGGTTGTATCTATGATAATTTAAAACATATTTTAAAGATAAAAATGCCCTTTCTACAGATACTTGAAATGCAAGGGAATAATGTACAACCAAAGCTTATTTATACAACGTTGGTTTTTTAAATTTTTGAATTTTCCCAGCAAGATAGTAAGATGAGAGTAGAATAGTTTTTTTATTGCTGAGCAGTCAAACAATAACGATCTTACATTATCATTGATTTTTTTTGTACATTTAATTTTTTTTTTAGAGGGGAAAAGTAAAAGTTTAACTTTAACTTTTTTTGGCTAGAACTTTTATTTAACCTTTTTAAAAAAAACTTTTTTAAGCTAGAATTTTTATTTAAAAGTTTTAAAATAACGGTTTTGATTAAACTTTTATAAATAAAAGTTTTTTTCAAACAGTTATAGTTGAACTCATTTGTAAAAAAAAATAACTGTTTCGATCCCTGTACTCATGTTTGAATAAACAGTAAATTATTCACCGGTATATTACATCACGGCTTCCGAAAAACAGCGGCCTAAGCGAATTTTTTTGAAAATGAGGATTTCGCGGTTTTGGAATCAAGAACAATGAATTTATAAAGTCGATCAATATTATTCATTTGGCATAACATTGTCATATTTTTTTTGTAGATATTTTATAATTATTAAAAAAGTATTTTTTCAATTCACTCTCATGTAATATTCGACTAATTGCATTTAGGTTATTGTTCTTCGGAATTCGCAATGTGTACATTCAATTTTTATCTGACATCTTATAAATAAATTGTTTTAATTAAATTGTACCTCCTTCTTTTTTCTCCCATACAGTTGTGATACTTTTCTCTGAAGACTGTTCTTCAGCTTCGTTTTCTTCGTCGGACTGACTCTGTAAGGGTTGACTTGTAGTTGCATCGTTTACCATATAGTCCACAGATGAAAAACTTATTTGTGATCTAAGCTGGTAAGTGGTAGGAGTATCGCGAGTTTCTGGATCACAAGTTTCTTGTTCAATATCCAAATAATTAGATGGTACATATCCTACTTCTCCTTTATAATTTCTTGCTTTAGACCAACCAGAATTGTCACTGTCTACACTAAACACTTCAAGTTGCTCGTTTTCTACTATTGTCAGTTCATCTGGATGTTGAGCCTAATATAAATGATAATGTATTCACAAAAATAATAATATCGTTTATACTTGTTGTTGTTTATATATAAATTGTAAATTATATACATATATATGTGTGTGTATACTTACCGTGTAGCTATACAAAGCAGTACTTTTGTAAACGGGTCCTTCTGGTTCTTGAGTATGCTGAGGATAAGTAGCCTTGTCTTCAGAATCACCAGTTTCTTCCCAGTTCACCTGTGTTGGATCATCCCAACCCGCAGTTAACTGTTCAATACGTTGACGTTCTCGTTCTACGAGAGCTAAAATATTGTTACTTAATGATAATAACTTGTATCTTTTAAATATTCGTATTCTAATAATTTTGCTTTAATCCAAAATAACTGCAGAATTTCTTTTTAGGAGCAAAGAGAAAAAAACATAACATGGTGGAAGTACATACCCCAATCTTTATCCATTTCCGCAGAATCCGGTCTCTCTTCCTCATCCTGAGACAAAGACTGTGGTTGGTCCATCGGTACTGGGCTATCAGAAGGACCATCTCCATAATCTTCACTGTCATAATCAGACGTCATAGCATTAGTAGCGCTTCCTTCTGCCGGCAAGGAAGATGTACTATTCGACCGCTGAAGTTCAGCACTTATATCACCTATATCTGCCAGCCATTCTTCCACATTAACTAAAATCATCAAATAAATAAAATTAGAAGGTAAGTTAGTAATTGCACTACAATATTATATGTTCCATACCATTTCCATCGCCATTCTTTAAACATTCTATGCGAGCTTCCGCTTTTACTTTAGCTATCTATAAAATAAATAATTTGTTTACAGTCATATTAAATGCTTTGGGTAAATCTTAACTGTGTTAAACTCTACTTACTTCAGATCTACGGATACTATTTTTTAACGATTCAATTTTTGTTTCTAAGTCAGATCCATTAGGATCATTAGGATCATTCTGAAAATGCGAAAGTCAATTTATTGTTATTAGTTTTACCTTCGATATGGAGCTAAAAAGGTTTTGTTTTTACAATTATGACGTATTTATATTTATTTTGTTTCTTGGCCTACGACATTTCCTAAGCCGCTAATCCGATTTCTTCATGTAACATGTCTATAGGTCAAAAATCGTATCTGGAAAGTATTTTATTGATCCAAAAATGTGTCCCCTTCCCCTTAATTATCGAAAAATCACTAAAAAAATGTACTTAAATTACGGGGCACTACATTTTTTTTTAATAAAACAGTCGAAATAAAAATTACTTCAAAATGTATATGGAATATTCTTTTTATATTGTACTATCGATATACTACGACAAACCAAAAAAATATTAAAATCCCTATCTCCTAGAAAGAGTGAAAACTTTTTTTTCATTTTTCTAGTGTATTTTTGGGATATAAGGTCTGAAATTTATTATTATTTATTAGGGAAAAACCAAAAAGGGGTAAAATTACACTTTTACCGTATTAAATTTCCAGGTTTCAATTTGTGAAAATTTGGTTTCAAGAGTCAATAGGTATCATAAAAAGTAAGGGCAACACGTTTGTATTTACAGACGATCAACCCTAATCGTATCCGCCCTTATTATAAAAATACTGAAGGTACAAAAATGTTGCTCTGATTTTGGATATGAGTAAAAACCAAACTAAACATGATAAAGAATTAAACCTTTTATTTTTAAAAAGTAATTATCATGATATTTTAAGATGTTATGTTTTGAAAATTATACCACTTAAATTACTGCCATTGCGTTGTAATCAATGCAGTCTTAGCATCTTTCTCGAATGTTTGCCGTTACCCTGCGGACAACGTCCTGTATAAAGTTATGGCTGCCTTTAGGTCTTTAAGTTTTTATGGTCGATATGGATGAACTTGTGCCTTTAAGTGACACTCCCCCCCCAAAAAAAAAAATCGGTGTTGCCAGAAGAAAAATCTGAATTGGAAATTGAGCAAAAAATAGGTACGTAATAAATTAAAACACGTTCTAAGACGCGGACTTGGCTGCTAACCCTTACGCCACCCAGCTACGCCTCCGAAAACAAAAAGTGATTCTTTCTGTCGCACATAACAGCCACCATTAATGTGATGTGTATTTTGAAGTATAAAATATCAAAATTGCATGGTATTTATATAAAAAGTTTATTTCTTTATCTTGTTTGGTTTGGTTCTTATTTACATCTAAAATCGGTGCAACCATTTTGTCATATTCTGTACAACAATTGAATAGGCAGTCAGTGTTTGATACTTGACAGAGGAATGAGAAAAATAATTGACTGGATTATTAAATACCTTTTGACCAGATTCTCTGAGTGCCTGGAAGACCTGTAATTTTCTAGTGTTTTCTTTAATATTGTTTGTTTCTCTTAAAATTCGTGTAGCCCATCTTATGGCTTCTTGGCTAAGAATTGTTACAACTCCTCCATGGTCCGCGGTTATATGATCTATTGTATCGCCATCACATGCTTCAAATTGATATTGTACATGTTGTTTTAAAACCGGATAAAAAAGGTATACACATTGCATATTATATTCTCGACTTAACTAAAAAAAATACATAAATACACATAACATTATATAGTATTTACATTACAATTATACATAACCATATATAGTCGCACTAACTTGTTGTGCTTGGTCTCTAACTTTCTTGAAAGAGTTATGAACAACTGTACACGTTAGTAGCTCAATTTTACTAAGCAATGCTAAATATTCTTGCACCTTTTCATACACATTATTTTCCATAGTCTATATTAAGAACAATAATTGTTATAGCGATTATTATAACTGTTAGTAAATAGTAGTACATTTGACGTTTTAAAAAAAAAAATATTGGTCTACGTCGCGTCGATTGGAACAAATTGTGTAATCGGTAATAACGATTAATTTCTAATTTAAGTGTTGATTAAACCTAATATATTAATAGCATTATACTTTACGGTAAAGTCACGCTTTAAGTCTTTATGTAATAAGTATAACTTATAAGTAAGTTATACTTAGTAAAATTTAAAATTATATTATAATACATTTGCAATAAATAAATAATAAATAACGGACACTTATGTCACAATACATAAATAATTATTAAAATAAATCCTATTGAAAAAATGTAACGTTTTTTATTATTATTATTTTGTTTTTTAATTTAGATTTAATGAATAATCATATTTTACTTAATTGACAAAATGTATCCACAGTGGCGCCGAAGCCCATACTAAGGTCATGACTTGGCCCGACCACTTTTTCAAAAATTGTGCATTATAATTTATATATTAACGTTCATGCTGAGGCCGCTAAGTTTTGGAATTGCCCAACCACATTTTTAAGACTTCGACGCCAGTGTCTATCCAATAAGTGCTTACATTCATAACATTTTGAAGATCAACCAAGAAATAACGTGTTTGATGAGCGTTAGCTGCAGCCAAACTAAGTAAGTAATCGTTCCTTGCACCCGACGATTTTTCTTCCAATACTTCTCTTCTCGAAGACACCTAAATTTATTTTCATTTATCTATTAATACAACCAACTATTGTATACATACAACGATAGTTAAGTATATTCATATTATTTATTTATTTTTATATACGAAAACATCTGTTCTTACTTTGGCACTATTTTTTTGCAAGGACGTAATTGATTGGAAAAATGAACCTTTTTTTTTTTTTAATCTGTAAAATGATTGTTTAAAATAATGAACTTAAAATAAAATCTTATTAAGTTTTAAAATATGTTGAATTAAGATTATTTTGACAGGTTTTATTATATTACTAAAACAACATTTGCAGTTTACACTAACGTCTAAAATTAATTAGATGATATTTTTAAATAATTACTTTTCTTCAATATCTTTAGCTTTATCTCTCACTTCATGAGCACTTTGTTCTTCGTCGAAGTAGAATTTTTTTGTCTTGTCAACTTCTTGGACAGAAGAATGAAGCTCTTTTTGAACTTGAGTTAAATGGTCTGTACACTGAAATAATAAACTTTAAAATAATGTTTCATATACGGGGCATTCCAGCCCAAGTGTTCCCCACCTAAAAATTCGAAAGTTAAACTTTTTCATGTCCGCACGTTTTCTTTTCATTTTTATACAAATAAAAAGTGGTCGATTAGAATTGACGAACAACGAGTTCCTTAGAATTTTTTTCGTACTTTACGATGAAAATATTTGCCTTTACGTCAAACCATTTTTTACCTCAAAAAAGGATCAATCTGAAAATATGTTTGCAATTTTTGGCTCTTGCGACCATTTTGATATTTTTGAAAAGTGGATGGATGGAAAGTTAGAATTTTTTACAATAAAATGTCAATTTTAGTGTGGGGTGGGAATTATAACTGAGTGAAAAGATGATTGAGGACTGAGGGAACCTCCTGAAGCGGTCTGTCCTTGATTAGCGGGGGTTTCCGACGTTCGTCAAGCCATCTATTCACTCAATTATAATTCCTAACCAACTCTAAAAATTACATATTTTATAGCAAAAAATCGAGCTATCTATCCTCTTTTCACTTTTTTTGGGGTAAAAAATAACGTTTGACGTAATTAAAAATAGTTTTTACCGTAAAGTACGAAAAGAAGGTTTAGTAACTCTTATTCGTTAATCCTAAGCGACCACTTTTTATTTGTGTAAAAATTAAAAGAAAACGGGCGGACATGAAATAAGTTCACTTGGTGTGATATGCCCCCATACATTAAAAAAAATATATACACATTTTATTACCTTTTTAGCTATTTGCAGTTTGTGCGCTCGCAAAGTTTTTGCTTCGTCGTTTATTTGATTTTGTAGTAGTTCGATAGCTTCTAAACGTGCTTTTGCAGCTGTTTCGTTTTCTTCTAGCACTGTACGCCACACATTCCACATATTCCTAAGAAAATTGTTTTAAATGTAATTTACTGTATAATACCCTGTTTTGTAGTCACATAGCAAAATCTAGCAAAATCTCAATTTCGATTATTTTGGGGATAATTTCTTTTGGTATAACTTTATTCAGTAATTCTATTACAATACGAAATTATTTATAAAACCAAATGTGTTTCTTAGTTCTTTTTAAGTAAAAGTTTTATTATGAAACTTCAATAAAGAACTTAAGTGCAATAATTATTTTAGGATCAAGTATAACGTATGTCTTTTGGCTAAGCTATAACTAATATAGCTTATTTGTAATGGCTTCATCTTGTTGCAAAAACAGTGTAAACTGTAATTATTTATCACACTTTTTATATTTCCTGAAAATATCACATATTAAAACGAATTTATTACTTAGCGATGTCTTAATAATTTAAAATTTCATAAATTTTTATTCTCCTAATATTTAGGCTTAAGACCAATACCTATTTGGACTTTCTATAATTATACCTACGAAACAATAGGAAACAATATGTTAGTTGATTGTTGACTCGTATTGTTAATTATGATGCAACGAACGTGCGCGTGCGGGTCACGTTAATCGATTTGTTGAATTTTTGAGTATATAACCGGCCAATGTCACGTTATATTGGATACTGCATTAAATATGTTACATATTATAACTGTCTTAATTATTATACTACTCTAATTTTTATATTTATCATAAAGGTAAATTGTCAAAAAAAGAAATATATTCCACTGCAGGCAAAAATTTAACATTATAGTATACCGAAACAAATTATGTAATTACAATGACAAAGTAAAAGTAGTTATGGTTCTGTCCCACTAAATACTACTGCTGCCTACCCATATTAAAAGAATACTCATTTTTTAAAATTTTGTAATTTGATCAACTAATGAACAATTTTAACAATAGAACACTGAAAAGTTATACAATTCAATCTATTAATACTCATTTTTACTTGTAATCAAATATTATTTTTAGGGGGTAGAGCCTTAGAGAGAAGAAGGAATGTCTAGAACTTTTCAAAGTAATTTTCAACCCTCCTACCTTTGCTCTATTTGTGTAAGTATTAAATAGTAATTAATACGAATTAATAAATAATACACTTACCATTTTTCTTCACTGCCTTCAGTCTTTATATCAGGTATATTAGCGATTTTTTTATTCAAAAAAGCTACAGATATTTTGAGCAGGGCCTGTAAATAAATATATAATAATTCAATATTATATAAGTATGTACAGTAAGAAAATTAAAATTATACTCACATCGGAATACGATTTTTCTATTGCAGATTTTTTTATTAAAAAGCTCCTAAAAATTAAAAAAATGTACAGTCAATTATGGAAAATTAAATTATTTATTTAAATAAAAAATAAATTATAATTTATTTAAAAGGTATTATGAACTATCTAACTTTAATCATCGAGGAACAATGTATACCCAGTATAATGTGTTGATAAAGACAAATAAATTCGGTAAAAAACACAGTACACGATTTTTTTAAATATTATACAGTGTTATAATTAATTACTTTAAAATAAATGTTTACCTTATATCTTCAAGCAAATCACATTCATTTTGATTTTTCAAATGTAATTTCGCTATTTGTTCCGAATGCAAGTTTTTTAGAAACTTCACATAATTTCCCTGAAGAGATACACCAATATATTTATTATTTATAACAGTACTAGCATTTTTAAGCAATGTTCTAAATTCTTGAAGGTAAATAACATATTATTTAATAGAATAAATATTTATTAGGGGAAAGGTAAAGCAGCCACCTTACGGGAATATATCGACTTTATTGTATCAACAAATATGTGTTGTCTAATAAAAAAAAAATATCAAAGTAGTTGAGTAGCTAAAATAATTAATAACATTTTTTAAACGTAACTGTTACCTTACATTAGCACCTTACATTTATGTATATATTTGTCATTAATATGTCATTTTTTCATTAAAAGATAAATCTTTGTGTTGGGATCCATTAAACAAGTCTGTATCAAATAATTATTATAATTTATAATCAAACGACCATAGGATGATCAAATAAATTGGTTAAGGTCATCAATTAAACAGTGATTGTGTCCTCTAACACAAAAAATCTGACATAGTAATAAATATTTTATACAAAACTTAAATGCATAATATAATAAACAAAAATAACAAATCAATCTTTTAGTAATTATTAGTATGATAGTTTTTATAAATGTTTAACTTTTGTAAGATGACTTTTCAATGTTCATTACATTGAAAAGTCATCTTACATGTTTAATTACAATTATAAATTCTGAATTAATAAATTCAATTTATGGGATATATTATGTATATTGTATTAAAATACTCGTAAGTACATTTGCGTATATGTAATACTATTTTAACATTTTCAAACCACATAAAAATGTCTCTCAAGTCGTATCAAATTATAATATTTGTCATCTTAAAATGTAATTGTAATACACGATTTGATTTTACAACTTATTTTTTAAAAAATAGTCTAAACAATACAACAGAATAGTCATCCCAAAATAATTTTTTTTTTTCGTTTTTGCTTTTGAGCTAACTGGGTCAAGATATTATTATGAACAATTGTGATTTTCAAAAACCAAATTTAAGAAAAATACCGTGAAGTATTTATACCGTTGTTGAGTTACTTAGTTATAACTGTCATTGAATTTAGATTACAATCTAGAAAATAATTGACGACGTCGGACTCGGAGTACAAATGGTGAATTACACAATTTTACGTACACAAGCAATAATAGGAGCGTTATCTCATAAAGGTGAATTTATATTCTAGTGTAGGTCAACTATTGTAAATACCGAATGAGTATTTGAGATCACCGATTTTAAGTTTAATCAGTATTATTATTGGGTTTACGAATTAGCTGATACTGTTGTACTTACTTTCCTAGGTGGAGGTTGCATTTCGCTCGAGAAAGTAACAGCGACGAGACACTCACGCGTTTACACAAAATGTTCAGCTGCCACCACCCGATCGAACACGGCGTGCAACGCCACCCCAACGACGACTGCCCCCTTACCTCTGCTCCGTCTTCTCGATTTACCATTTTCATTTCAACGCGCTTTCGCACAACTTGCCTATGCAAGTTTTACAGTGCTACCAATCCAAAGTTTCTAATACTTTACCCTTAACCCCACGCGCTGTGTATTTTGTACACCAAACTTTTATTTAACTTATACTTTTTTTATTAAATAAATAGGTGTAATTAAATAAACAAACAAAAATCAAGTTCTTTTATAATTGAATTAATAATTATTAATAAATAAAGCTAACTGTGTACGATACCACATTGTTTTTTGTGTTAATAACCGCATGAAGTTATTAAAAAAATAGCGTGTGGAGTTAAGGGTTAACGAGCTTATTTGTTTTGATGGCCATCTTATTTTCACGCAAATTACGGTAATTTATAAATCAGTGTGATCTTCAGACCGCAATAGTTAATGCATATTGTCATATACACAGGTACACCGAATCAAAAGATTAATATCGATTAGTCCCAAACAGTAAATATGTACGTTAAAGCTATGGGGTTCACTTGGGTAACACACTTAAATCACTTATTTAAGAAGTACAACTATTTCGATGTTAAGACAGAATAAAGTAGTTTCTTAAAAATGTTAAAAATACAAGGAATTTAAAAAAATAAATATTTATTTTAATTAAATTGTTTAGTCCTTAAGGTATACTTATGTTTCTACGTTTGTTTTTTCATTCCTATAATTTTGATACTGTCATCGTTGTAAATTTTATTAATAAAATAATATAGACTAATTGACCTACTTTAATTATAATAGAACCTCATTGTATTAATCGGATTATAAATATGGTACCCGCGTTAAGAGGACGCTATCCACCTATTTATTAAAGTGTAAATTATAGGCAACTTTTTGCTTAATCTTAATTCTAGAATAAATCTAGAGCTTAAACTATAGTATACTCTTATTAATACAGTACTGAGACTATATTTATTGTTATCTTTTTGTTAAACTATCACAGTAATTTCTATATAGACAAAATTACAATTATTTCCCATCAAAATAGATTTTACATACATATTCACAGATAGCTACTTACTGAATACACAATTTCTTAAGATTAGTTGTTTATCACTCCATATATCTTGGAATCACCTTGGATTGAACTCTCACTATCAAGGAGCAAATAGGCAAAGTTCAGAAAACAATGATCGAGATCCAATTATAAAGAATCTGCTCCGGAAACTAACAGGCAGCCAGCGATAACTTATAATTTTTTATTCTCAACTGTTCGCATAACTGAGCTGACGCTATGTTTTACTGCAAGCCAGTATGCATGCCAATTGTGGACCCGGTCAGGACACATTAAACACGTTGACGCGGTACTTAGCGAAACATGTAGAGTTGATGTTGGATACCTTAGGCCAACGCTGATACAAAAAATGTAGCCATTAGCAGGAATTTTCCCACCGGAAGTTTGAAGTGATGTAGCCGCTTGTGTAGAATAAACAAACTACAGACCAAAGACATTCTATGTAAAGTTGTTATATTACTCAGGAGTTTAATAAAGACTTAAATCACGAAGACGTTTTTTTGGAAAGCATTAATATGATTCAAGATCCAATGCCCAGTTTTCACCTACCACAGTGGAAAGAGGAGCTACATGCCAAAGAAATTTGTTTTGCCTACTGAGTGCCACCTGACGGGACTGCCCATTGCTGTTGTGTAGGGCAATTAACAGATTAAGAGCCAGAGTGGCCAAAACAAAGACGAATATGATTAAATACAGAATTCTATTGTGAACAATGAACAACGCGTCAAAGCTTACTAAAGTATCTCCCAGCAGCTATCTCCATTCCCAGCTGGACCATTTTTGTCTTTAGGTATTATACCCAAAAAAAGGGTTGAAACCTTTATGAACGATTCGGTTTTCCCGATATTATATTGTAGAAATGCGCTATCTACGGCAATCCTTCTTTATAGAAGGACTCTTCCTCCCATCTGCCTTCTTCGATTTTTAATCCAGTGTTTCCCGTCCGTAAGTAAATGATAACTAACTTGTGATACAGCTATCCTCAAGGTTCATCGCTGATGGCATAGTGGTTAGTTAAATATTAAAATACAACACAGCTCAACATAGAAGGTAGCCGAAAAAAATGATAGGTACCTATTTTATCCAATTGTCTGTACTCTGTTGTATTCAGGAAACTTTTTTTCAAGACAAAAATTGTGGCCAAAGAGAAACAATACAAGTACGTCTGGTATAAAAATAATAGAATTTTTGTTAAAAAAGACGATAGTACTAAGGCTAAAATTATTTGGTAGCGTTTTAGGCACAATTTTATTTAGTCTATGTATAAATGAGTTATGTAATATAAAATTAGACGGATTAGTAGTTTCTTAAGCAGACGATACCTGCCTGATTTTCTCTAATAACTCATGGGAAACTGTTAGAAACAAACCTGAAATAGGTGTAACAGAATATTTAAAAAGTTAAATAGTAGAAAGTTATTTTTAAATATAAGTAAAACGGTTTTATCACTTTTTCCATTACAAAGTTATCTATTTTTTCAAAAAGTGGAATAAAATTCCCGCATATAGCAATGATATTTCGAGGTGTTGTAACTATCAGAAAATGTTAAGGGTAACAAGAGTAAAATACTTAAGTCTAATCATAAATAGTAACTTACGCTGGAGTGCTCATATTGATAGACTTGTAATACGTTTAAGATCAATTATCTATAAATTTCACAAATTAAATAAACTATTTCCAACGGATACATACAATCAGTGCCGCAACTACCGGGGGGCGGACAGGGCGACGCCCTGCTAAAAGGGCACTATAAGATGAATTTTGGGGCACAATGTCTAACTTAGATACCCTCAGTCTAGGTCCTGATTTAAGAACAAAAGCATTTATAAAAATAAAAGATTTATCTATTTGTCAAACAATTCTTATCGATTTTATAATAGTAGATATTTATAGTAGTTCTCTGAAAATCGATATGCAGCCTAATAACACTGTTATTAGTGATTGCTCTGTAGTTTAATAACCATGGTTACAGTATTTAAAACTGTTAAGATTAACTGATAAAGTTATAATAGCAGAAGTATGAAGTCATTCTATCACGAAATTTGTTTGTTTTTCCGTTAACGAATTTCGAGGAACTAAATTCTGACTATTCTTATAAATTATTATTATAAAAATTAAAAACATGTCAACTAAACCTAAACAGCTCTATGGCCACCAAAAACAAAAAATTAAAAAAATTAAAAAATAACCTTGAATTTAAAAAATCGAAAGGATCGTTGGATGCATTTGTAAAAAAAAATAATTTAGATAATATCGGTATGTACTATATAGTATATTACTATATTCATAACTTGAATAAAAATGTAGTCTTTTCAATTTGTGTTAATGCTTTGTTTATGGGAGAGTATTACGACCATTGCATGGGATGTCAACATTTTTACAACAACATAATATGGATCTTCATAATGCACGCGATAGATTAGCTGAATCATTTTCATCAATACAAAATCTTAGAAATGACTATATTAATATTGTGAAATATTTAAAAAATGTATGTGCAAAATGGGGCATACCATTAAATAGTTTACAAACTAGACAACGACTTTCAAAAAAATGTTTTGATGAAGTGGATGGTGACCGTAATATCACAGAAAATAATTTTAAAATAAAAATATTTTTTCCCCTTATTGATACTGTATTGGTGCAGCTTAAATCACGATTTGAAAGTTTTCGAGATGTCTGTGATACATTCGAATTTTTAAGGCCAGAATCAATTATTAAATCTGAAGAAACTGTTTAATCAAAATGAGTTATGATTTTGTTCAAAATTACAAGTCAGATGTTGGTTCCGAGTTAACATGTCAAATTCTATCTCTTAAAGAAATAGTAAAAAATAAAAAATTGTGGTCTATTCGTGATTTTTTTTATTTTAGAAAATGATTTGTCTTGTAGCTATTCTGAAGTTTTAGGAGCTTGTATTATTTTTTTGACTTTGCCAGTCACAGTTGCTACTGCCGAGAGATCTCTCTCTAAACTAAAAATAATTACAAATTATTTAAGAAACTCAATGGGCCAGGACCGACTATTAAATATTGCAGTTTTAAACATCGAACAACAACGTACAAAAGAATTATCCTTAGATAAAATTATAATAGACTTTTCAAATTTAAAGGCAAAGAGGATGAAGTTTTAATGTAAATATAAATAATATGTAATTAATAATTATACTGTTAATAGTTATGTTTTATTTTAAATTAATTTACTTATTTGTTTTTTATTATCATACTAGGTAAGTAATTGGTAAGAGCTAATACAATTTATTTCTAATGACACATTTTGTGTATTTTATGTTTTTTTTGTACTATTTAATAAACACTGATGTAAAAAAATATGAGAAATCATTCTAAGAAACATCACGGTTAAAGTATAATAACTGTGATAGGGTTGAAAGCAATTTATTACAGGAAGGAGGATAATATGATGTATGAACAATTGGGGCACAAAAACTTCTGCTGCCCTGGGGCCCAAAATACTTAGTTGCGGCACTGCATACAATGCGTACTAATCAATATATAACTACGTACTAATCCTATATAAATATATAAAAATTAATTTATGTGTGTGTGTATCCTTTATGTATTATTACACCATTCATCCGATCGCCATGAAACTTTGGGAAGTTGTTGAATACACTCCCGCGAAGGTAACTGGCATAGTACTTTTCGAAAATGCTACCCCTAAGGATGACCTCAACCACGAATTTTCTACTTTAAATATGAAATCATTTTCTTTGCTAACCCAAAATAAACACTTTGTGTGCAACCATGGTAACCACGGTACTCGAGCGAATGGTAGGTGATGATTAAAGGAACGGGCCGATTCTAGGGACGCTATTAAACATTGGAACTGGATCTAGGACTGAGACCCTGAGTAAGAGGAGGACATAATCAATATAATGTAAAGTACATATGTAGATACCCCGTCTCGGCTTTTTTTTTTAAGTACATATGTAGATAAAAAAAAAGCCGAGACGGGGTATGCTATAGCTTTACAATGTACAGCCTGGAGTACTGACTTTTTTAAAATCTCATTTGTAATTATTTTACTCAGCCCTGGCTGCTGGCAAACTAAATTCCGGGTAATGCCGGGTCGGGACAGCTTGTTATCTATAAATTTCACAAATTAAATAAATTATTTCCAACAGATACATACAATGCGTACTAGTTACCAAGCATTGTATAAGTCTGTTTTATAATATGGGTTAATAGTTGGGGGAGAAGGGGCGGTTGTGCAGCGAATGCAATAAGACCACTAGAAGTACAACAAAATTTAATTGTGTGAATAAGTTTAAACAAAAAAGTACTTCAAGGTTCCACAGTACAAAACTACAACGATTTCAAGGTAAAAACTCTTTATAAACAATGTACCATTCTGTTTTTGTCAAATAATATAAAAAAGAAACTTAACGAGATATTAGAGCTTTAGAACTTGGTAAACATTTTGTTGATTATCTAGGTCCAACTATTTTCAATTCTTTATCTTTAATTAATATAAAAAAATCACAACCCTGCTTAAAAAATGACACAACTGAAAAAACATGATGTTCGAGGTTATTATAGCATATTGTAAATAAATATCATATTTTTATTGGGTCTATTATTATTTTTGACCGATAGATGGCGCAAACGTAACTTTTTGTATTACAATATTTTACTAATACAATATTATCAAATATTATTATTAAAAATAGAGAATCTGAGAATGTCGACAGTTTATAGAGAGAGGAGCATACATAAAGAGTATAGTGAAAAAACAGATAAATTGATCAATCAATGAAGTTACAAAAAAATTAACAAAATGTTGTACTTTTTTAAATGACTATTGGAAAATTTCATTTTTCCAGTTGTGTCACTTTTTTAACGGGGGGGCGAAATGTATTTTTAATAATTTAAGTAGAAATCATGGTTATCTATATAATAGTACAAATTATTATTAAAATTATTTTTGCGTATTTATTAGAAAGTTTATAGTGTACTCTATTGTTAAATTTTTTTTTTTTATATATTATAGTTTTAAGTCAGAATTATCTAAATTGTTATATTTACTAAATTTCTCTTTATATCTAATTTTTTTTTTTTTAATTGTTATGTTGTAACTCATTTACCCCGCTATAAGCATGCTTAATGGGGTTAATTAATCAAAATATTAAATATTATAATTTTATATTGTAATGTATATTAATGATTTATATTAATAATAAAAAATGTATTACAGCATATAAGAGCACATTCAAAAATTAAAGTTTTTATTATACATTTTTGTAAGATATATTCAGATATAAAACGAAATATATCTAGTGAGATAAGATATTTGTATCTAGAGCGAGGTTTCGCTAATGTAGCGTATTTTTTTTTCATAACACTTCAGACTTCTTTTTAATGTAATTTAAAAATATTATCAAATTAAGAAAACTTGGTCTGTATGAAACTTCGTATTCGATTAAATTCAAATCTGAAATCTTTGTGATATTTTTATCACTTACAAATATATGTGCAAATGGGTACAAATAACAAACATGTTTATTTTTTGTTTAATACATTACACAAATTTGAAGTATACCTGATGGATCTACAAACATTCAATATTTTTATGAAATTAGAGTAAATACATTGGATACTAATGAATAAACTTGTAAAAACATTATTACTTAAAATAATTTAATACTCTAAATATGTTTAACTCACATGTACAGTTTAATTTAATATTTACAACATTAATATTACTTAACTATAGTATAATATATTATAGTGTTAACATAAAAATAAAAGTATAATTCGACTTGTTTAGTATAAAAGTAATAATAATTTAAGGGTTAAATATTCATAATGAAACATGATCAAATCAAGTAATTAAATAACTATAATTGATTACACGTAGTTCTAGTAACTGTAGAAGATCCATCGACAAATTTTGTTCTAAATAAAACATTAGCGTTACTAAACATACCATCCTTAAGTGATACAACTATAAATTGGGACTGTTTAAAGTGTTGCTTTAACATTTTACCAATATTTTGTGTGTGTGAAAGATCCAATGCAGCATCTACTTCATCCAAAATATACAACGGCACTGGATTAAATAACAGCATAGCAAGCAATAATGATAATGCAACTAATGATCGTTGACCTCCGCTAAGTTCTTCTAAACTATCTTTCCACAATCCATTAAAAGCTACACGAATTTCTAAACCAGCTGTTATGTCATTTGGGTTAACTTGTTTTAAACAAGCTTGAGCACCTGGCAATACACTACTAAATATTTTACCAAACTCTAGATTTACACGTTCAGAAGCTCGCTCTAAAGTTTGTCGTTTTTTAACTTCGAGTTCTTCAATTATTTCATTTATTTTATTTTTGTCCTTAAGAATTAAGTCAAGTTTAGCAAGCAACCTGTTGTATTCTTGAATATGTTTGTGAAAATTATTTAATTTTCCAGGATCAACAACTTTTGATAGTTGATCAAATTTTACTTGAAGTTCGTCAACTAACTGCTTACATTCACCTATAAACAAATTTATAAAAATAATTAGTTTTAAACACTAAAAAATTATATTTTATAATCGACGTTTTATATGCATAAATGATTGTAAATAAATGATTTTTTTTTTTTAAAGAATATTTACTATTTTTGCTACAAGGCATAATAAGCAAATAGTTACATTAATATATATATACAGAAAAATAAAACGGTGATATAATATGAGGAAGAAGGGTATCCAGTGATATAACTCAACGTTATTTTTTCCTAATTACTTTTAATTAGATTAATTTGTTAATTGTTAGACATTGACACCAATGTTTTGTTTGATTGAATAGAATACTACATCGCGGCAGGGATTAAAACAATTTTACTAAATTATGTCGGTTATAATACAATAAAACAGATTTTTAGTACACTGTCATTTTTTACTGTAAATAATTTTGGCAAAATCGCTAATATGAAAACCTACCTGAATTAAAATTTGTATAATCCATTCGTTTGGCTATCAATTTTTGATCATCAGGCATTCTATTTTCAAGATTTTCAAACTTTTTTTTCAACTCATCCATAATTTGCAACATTTTTTTTTTTTCTCCTTCTAGTTCCAACAAATGAATTTTGTAAGTTTCGACATCTGCAATTAGTTGCTTATGCTTATTAGTTGCCTGTTCGATTTCATTTGATCTACGTAGAACTATATCTTTTTGAGCTTCATATTTTTCACACACTTCTTTGTAGTTTTTTTCTGCTGTTTCTAAATCTGTTATAAAACATTCAAGGTCCTTTTCAATTTTTTCTTTTTCGTTATTTAATTCAGACAACTGATTTTCATCTTCTTGCATCTGACACATTAAATCTTTAATTTCAAGCTCCAATTTATTATAATTATTTTTCTTTTTATCATATTCAGCTTTGGCATTTTTTATTTTTGTTAAAATGCTTTTCCGAGATTTTTCAGCATCATTGAGCTGTTGTTTTAAAATATTTTGAGCATTTTTCATTTTAATTTCCAAATCTTTTATTTTAGCTTGCAAATGTTTTTCATTTGTTTTACCTTCAGCAAGTTTTTTTTCGAGTTCTGCTATTTGTTGTTTTATATCCTTTACTTCAGTAACTTGCTGGTGAGGCTGTCCTAAGTGTACATCTGATCTAATTTTTTCCAATTCTTCTTGGACTGTGATTTGCTTGTCTCTCAAATCCGCTACTTTAGCTGGTAAATTAGCTATTTCAGTTAGTCTATTATCCATTTGTGCAAACTCAGACTTCTTAGTTTGAAGTTGTAATGTAATTTCATCTTGAGAAGCTAATAATTGTAACACAAGCTTTTGTGTATTTGCTCCTCCAGTAAGACTACCAGAAGGATTGAAATGATCGCCCTCAAGAGTAAAACAATGTCTATTTACTCGACTATCAAAACATACTTTTTCAGCGATTTCCTTGGAAGTACAAATGAATGCCTGACCAAATACCCACTGAATGGCTTTTAAATGTCTTTTCTCATACTTAATAAGGGACATCGCAGGAAAAACATTATCAGCTCCTCCTATTTGTTGAGCTATACGAATTACATTAGGAGGTAAACTATCAGACTTAATTTTGCTTAAAGGTATAAAATTCATACGATTAGAAAACTTATTGGTTTCTAAAATATCTTTACCAACGCTATCATCTTCCACTACAATAAAATATAATTTTCCTCCTGCTAATGTTGTAAGTGCTAACTCAAATTTAAAATCAATTGGTTTGAATAAACGACATACAAGACCATGTACTTTATGTCGGTCAAAATTAGGCCGCGGATCATTATATCTAAAAAACAAAAAAGGATTATTTGACTCAAATGATTCGTTTCTTGAATTAAGATCACATATTTCTCTAAGTATACTATCACGACTTATTCTCAAAGTATTGTGATGACTTAATTCTTCTTCTGCTTTCAAATATTCATTTTTCACTTTTTCATATTCTTTTTCCTTAGCCGCCAATTGAGTCATTTGCTTATCATAAAGTTTTTGCGCTTCCTTCATACCTTTTAACTGTTCATTCAATTTTTTATTCAAACCATCAATTTTTATTATATATTGTTGGTTTTCTGTTGTCTGATTTTGTAATTCTAAATTGAACTTATTGATATTTTCTTGAACTGATCCGTTGTCGTCTTCAGCAAAAATATTTCCTGAATTTAATGATCTTATTTTTTGATCTATTTCGTCCAAAGCATTAGTGTTTTTTTTATTTTCTTCATCTAAACCTGCATTAATTTCATTAAATTCTTCCATTTCCTTCTTCTTTGCTTCAAATTCTTTTCTACTACTATTTATTTGTTTTTCCATATCTTTAATTTTTTTTTGTTCTGTTTTAATATTGTTTTTACATCCATTTACTTTTAGTTGTATATTATTTTTTTCTTGTTCAATTGTATCAACTTCTTTTTTTAACTGTGATAGTTTACTGTCACATTCTTTTTCCATTGCTTCTTCACTTTGCTTTAACTGATTTTTTATGAATTTGATTTGTTTCTCTGATGATTCAATGCAATCTTTCTTTTCTTTTTCTCTTTGTTTAAGGGCTTCTAATTCTTGAGATTTAGTCTTAACAATAACTTCTAACTGAACATATGACCAATTATCGAGTTTTTCCTTTTGTACTCTTAACTGGCCTTGTACCATGTTTAGTTCTTCTAACATCTGTTTTTCTTTATCAACAGATATCATAGTTGGAAGAATTTCTTCATCTGCAACATCACGCATTTCACGTAATTTGTTATCCTTTTTACCGACTGTTATTTCAAGACTTCTTTTTTTAGATTCATACATATTAGTACCCGCTGCTTCTTCAACCATTGATAAAATTTCTACTGGTTTCATATTTAATACTTTTGTTATCCTACCTTGCATGATAATGAAATGAGGATTATTTACATTCATCTGTAGAGAGTTGAAAAAATCCATGACCTTTTTAGCTGGTACTGTGACACCATTTATTTTGTATAAATTTTTTGAGCCAGCCATACCAACTTCTCGTGAAATAATAATTTCATCATTATGTTCATAACGAGGAGCAGATCTTGATTTATCACGATTATCAAATTTTATACTAACAGTAGCAGTCTGAATTCCTGCTTGGCCACTTTTATATATTACATCTTGAATTGATGCAGCACGTATGGTATTCATTGTTGATATGCCCAAAGTAAAACATATTGCATCTAAAATATTAGATTTCCCAGAGCCATTCAATCCTGTTATAGCGTTAAATTCGGGATCAAAATTCTTCAGCTCTACTCGTTTTCCATATGATTTAAAACCATCAATAATTACTGATTTAATATGCATCTTAAACCTAAAAAACAAATTTAATTATTAAAAACAATAATATAACAAATACTTAATTACTATTATTTTATATTTAACAAACCTTAGTTTTAAAACTAAGTAGGTATAGTAAATTTTTAAAAAGACATTATTTGAATCAATAACACGGAGATGCTTAATATTCCAGTTTTGAAATTCAGTTATCAATTAAATTACTAATGGTCGGCCTAAATAAGCATTAGCTTGTGCTAAGGTAGGTGAAGACCAATGTTATTTTGTGCTGTATAAAAATTAAACCTACTACCAGTTTTCCAATGTTAGTTAAATTAATTCCAGATACATTCATGCTTCATTTAATCACTAATCAAATAGGCATTGTTTAATTTTGCAGACAAGTATTTAGCTGAGATTAATAACTGCGTCAAAATTAACATTCATATTATTTGTAAATTCCGAGATTTATAAACAGTCATCCATACATTTGAATAATTACATTTCTTTACTTACCTACTTGAAATAAATCCAGAAGTCTGACTCACCAGTCACTGCTTAATAATTAAATATATTATATTCTTTGCAAACACTTCTCGGGTCCCGACTTCCGACTTCCGAGTGATCAGTTTCGTAATTCGTTATTCTGTCCAGTGTGAAGTGTCCTCAAATTCCTTCCATAACTCAGTTATCTTCTTAGTTTTAACCGCCAATTTCTCTATCAGCCATTTATGACAACAATTATTATCAGCTATAGTAATGCGAGTGACCTGTTCACGGTTACATACGCACTTACTACCTATGTAACCGTGAATTAAGTGATGTACATGAACAAACGCGTTGAAAAAATCTTTGCGTTGGTCCCACTGATTTATCATTTAATTTGTGGTCATCAAGGAGTTGGGGGTAGTTCTTCCAAAAAATGATAACGCGTGATAAGAAATAAATGTTACATAACCTATAAAATGTGTAATACTACAGATAGTACCAACATCGATTTTACCAAAAACCCGCCAAGAGAAATGTCGTATTTTAATATCAAAAACATTGCCTTTAGTTAGGTTCTTATCTTTATTGCAAATTGTAGTTAGATATTTATCAATTCTCTAATTAATCGTATGCACAATGTTCCATAATGTTCCAAATTCTTTAATTAGCGTTTTCCATGAAACCAAAACTCAAAAAAAAAAATGTTTAATTTTTTTAAGTAGTATTAAGTACATTTATGGCATATGGTTAAAAAAAAAATTCATGCAGTGAAGGGTTAAACTTACTAAGGCTAATTTATTATTTATTTGTAGAATCTATAATTATTAACTGTATTATACTCTGTATATAAATAAAGTTAACGATGTCTGGACTTTATAACACAATTTATATCGAACACATTATTGTATACTCAAACAAAGAGAGTATTCAATATGTTAAACATCCTTCATTTGAACGCATTATATAAAATCACTTAATACAGTACACACATACAAATTACTCGCTATAGAGAGTAAACGTGTCTATGAGAACAGTTTTAGAAAAAATACATTTGGTTTACTTTTACTTTATTGTGTCAAAAACTACATCTAAAAACAAATGCATTTCTATATAATAAAATTATAAAAAAATATATACAATATACTAAATAAGCTTTGAATCTTTTATCATAATTAAATATTATTTAATATAAAATTATCAAAAAAGTAAGTGGTTAATAAAACATGTTTGCAGTTGTAAAATAACACAAACAAAAATGTTTTGAAAAATAATTTTACCTTATTGAAATTATTATGAGAGAAAATTAGTGAATCACATTGTATAATTAAGCTAACCAAGAAAAAACAACTTTTATTTCTAAAAAACAATATAGACTTCCTGTCTAACAGGCTACCTATATAAAAAAACAGTATACATTTCAGACCAATTTTATAATCTATAAATTTTGATAAGTCATTTTAAATAAATAATAAATAGTAATAATAGAAATAATAAATGTAATATGTTTAAGACACATAAAATAATCTGGTAAATAGTATAAAATATATAGAAGTATTCAATTGTTTAATACATAACAAATTAATCAGTGAATTGACATTGATTAAAATAAAACAATTTTTTATGATACTGAAGTAAAGATATTTTTTAATTAAAAAAAATATATTTTATAAACTAAACATCAAAATTTACAAACGTATAATTACTTGTTTTAGCAAAAAAAAATCTAGGTATTCAAAATTTTGACTACACATTTTTTCCTAACAACATCGACATAATTTCACAACAGTTTACAAATTTTCAATATTTCAGTTAGGTCAAGATATTTTTACAATAAATTAATATTTTAATGTTATTAAGGTAAGTAAATATTAATAAATAAGCAAATACAGAAACTACATTTATAATTTGTTTGGTAGGCTAATAATTATGTTTGTCAAAATTGTAATAGTAATATACTGTTAGTATCTTTAAACTTATACAGTTTTAAATCTAGAATATTATAAGATACTTGTATTGACACTCAAAGTGTAAAAATATTCAAACAATAATACAAGTATTCAAAAAAAAAATTTTAACAATCTTAATTTTGTTTTAATGTAGTTGAAAATTAAAAATATTTAGCCAAATGAGATATCAGTGTAGTGGTCATAAATACAGTACAGTTTATATGGACATTGAAGACAGGATAATAAGTTATTCAATAAATAATCAACTAAATTACACTTGATTAATAATAAATTATAATAAGACTTTTTTAAATAAAATTTAACAATATATAAAGAGATTGGGGATGATACTACGATGTCTAACAGCAGGTAAACAGAATTACTGGGTGGCGTTTATACTGTTAGTCTGATACAGAATATCCTTCCAGGGGTTTTACACAAAATCCAATTAACGTCGACAACAAATATTCAAATATAGTGTCAAAAGTCAGTCTATGGATTACTATAGTGTCCATGGAGAAATATATGATATGTCCATTTAATCTTCCTCTGGTCACATTCTAGCTGAAAAAACAACAAATGGTTAAATAATAATAATTATAATATAAAACCAATTTTAAATGATTTACTAATGTTATCGTTTGTTAATTGTGAAGTTAGAATTAAATATAATGAAAATTGATAATGACATTTTTTTATACCATTTAACTTCCAACTTTTTATACCATTCAACTTAAATTATCTATCAATAACATATAGAAGAGTGATTTCATGAATAGACTATATTTGTGACCGGTATACATCAAGTGGACCTAGTTTGTTATCTCGTACCAATGAAGTGTAAGATCTACAAGTAAATGCAATTTTTCTTGTACAAACCTAACAATGTTAGAAAGTTGTAAATTAAATGATTAAAAAGAATGATAATTTACATTTGATTTCTTTTTTTTTAAATACCCTATATTAGGGTATTTTAGATTGATATTAAACTACTATTGTATCAATATTTTTATTAATACTACATGGAAGATGTAGCATGCATGTGATTCCAGCCGCCGCGCCAGCGAGCCAAAGTGATAGCGCAGTCTGTTTTGACTTAGTGATCTTTGCACATGCGCACTCGAATCCTAAGTTATGTTACTACTTGTATTTTCTATATAATATTATAATAATTTATATAAGAGAGAAAACACCAAACCGAGTTCTTTATTGGGCTCAATTTTTTTTTCATGACTATTTTGTGGCATTACACGTTAATAAAACAATTTATGTTATGTATTTTTTTTGTAAAAAGTCAACTTTCCCAAAAAACGTAATCAAAATTAATAGACCTACATAAACTGGTGAAAATCGAATTTCAAGTATAAATGTTCTTTTCGGCCAATGTATCATTTTTTAAATATTTTTTTCGAAATGCTGTGAAAATTGTACCTATATAAATTATTACCTACCATAGACACGTGAATCACAATGTAAAGAAAATGCGCCGTGCATAGACCGGATAAGATAATTATCTCACCCGGTCGGAGGCCGAATGCTCTATTAGTAAAGGTCAATAGTAATCATAATTCATAAATCAATACACAAAAACTTGATTATTTAAGTTTTATAATTTAAAAAATAATATTACTGTTAAATAAAATTATAGTGTAAATGATCTAATAGAATTATAAAGATTTAACACATCTGCAAAAATGGTTTTGCTATAAAATAATTTTCATAAAAAATATAATAAAATTTTTTTAAAAATCCTTAAATTCATACTTTTTAATTTTTGTCAACAAATGAACATTAACTTAGTGATATGTAAATAAACAATTTTATTTTTTAATTTTTTTTTAATCGATAGAACTTTTAATGATTATTAGGAATCTGCAAGAATTTTTTGCCGGACGAACTTAGTTTGGGAGTTATAAACATTTGACTATCGCCGATATCGACATACGCGGGCACCCGCCGGTGCACATCTACACTATGATTTAAATATAATAGGTTATTGCATTTCTACTGCTTCTTCATCGAAATTTTCGACGATAAAAATAAAATGGCAGCGTAAGGGTTAGCCAATCAAATTTATTTATTTTATAAAGGTATTATTTATATATTTATCAAAAAAACAATGTGGTACCCTTACGCTACCGTTTTATGAATTGATAATATAATAAAGTGGGGATATGCAATAACGTTGTATATTGAAGCCATGATCTACACTTTATTTTTCGATTTTAATTTTTATTTAATCGTTATCAGACAAAGGTATACAGACAAGCTAAACAGACGGCTAAAAAAAGGACCACGACAGGCCGGGGAAAGTAGACCCGTCGGCAGCTCAGGTAAACGTTCACTACCGGGCGCCCGAGTATGTCGATTGCGGCGACCTTCAAATGTCTATAACTCCTAAACTAAGTTTGCCGGCAAAAAATTCTCGTTGATTCGTAATCAGCATTAAAAGTACTACCAAAAAAAAAAATGGTGTCCGGTTAACTAGATCAATACCTAAATCTGTAATCTAGGACCTACTCTGTCCGCTACATGACAAAAAAAAAATATTATTATGGATCTCTATTTCAAAACATTTTGCCGTCCGATATTGTACATGTTGTACCCCCTTAAATATGGCCCTGTCACTTCTGCCTACTATTACCCGATAGATTATTCAATTATTTTTATAGGACTTTTATGTAGCTAATAGTAACATCATTTTTTTTGTAAGTGGCTTAAATACTTAAGCAGAATAAATTATAAATTACTATTTTCAAGGTCGGCCTGGCACCAAGGGGCCTCGGATTCTAAATCTCTAATAGGACTCCAAAAAATGTTTATTTCTACATTTTTTATATTTTACAGATGGTATCACTAGTAAATATTGTGTTGAATGCTGGGGATCCAACACGAACACACCTTAGGGTTCGTAACCCTGGCCAGTCTGACCCTAGTTACTTTGTGTTATATTTAATGTATCTATAGACAGTTATTACGATAAATTATAAAGCATACCTATTACAGAACATAAATGGTACAAGCCAACCAAAATAGATGGCCAATAACCAATTGTCTCTGTGCATTTTGCTATTAGATATATGCAGTAGAACTGTCATTCTACAAAGTTTCGTTTGGTTTAGAATATTTTAGTGCTAGGCTAGCCAGCATTCATTTGTAAGCAAATTACAAACACATAAAAGATAATGAAAATGGAAACATTATCATTAGCCATTACCTTATCTAGTTATAAAACTTTAACAATATTAATTATATACGGAACGGGTTCGTGAGTTTAAATATAATTTTATTTCATATCAAATATCGACATTATTACTTATAGGTAAATCATTAAGAAAGATAAGAACATATATTTCTAGGTCCATTTGTAGGTACTATTAAACGTACGAACCTAACTTATTAACCAGATTCATCGAAAAATACTTTTAAAAATATTTTTTAATTAAAAAAAGGATTCGTGTGGTGTATTTCAAATAATTTATGTTTTTGGTCTATGTAGTGCAAAAAGTAATCGAGGAATAATATATATTTTTTACAATACGGTGTATTATAGTACCTATATTACTAAATTAGGTAGGTAGTAGGTAATAAGTAGCCAAAATGGTTTTTTCATTGAAGAAACGACGTAAATATATTTTTACTTAAGTTAAAACTCTTGAATAGGAAAACCCGAATTAAGGTCTATTTTCACATTTTTGTGGCGAGTCCGAGAAACGTCTAAAATACATTTTTATTTTTATTTATTAACATTGATTTTATAATATCGAGTATAGAACGTTTCTAAAATCAATATTATTAGTTATATATTAGTTTCAATATGATACTTGATGTTAGGTTTTGTAGGATTTATTTTCTTTTTACTCACTTCTAACATGTTAAAATATTATGACAAACATTAAAAATCTAATCGTTACAGGGTACTGCACTACTACTCCGTGGAGAAGAAGACAAACTATGTAGGTATCTAAAATTGCAACAGAAATGAGTGAAATGACACTAGCCAAGAAACAAAAACGTTATTGGGTACATGAAGTTTGGAAATAGTGAAAAACTGAGAGGAGTTTAATACTTTATAGAAGGAACTCGTAAACCCGTCCGGGAACTCAGAGAGCGAATTCTCTTGAACAATATTTGATCGACCCGGATTCGACATGGGCCTGGCCCGGACTTGTGTTCTGTGTGAATGGTCACATTTAAAATTAATACGAAAATTATTTTTTCTTATCCGGCCGGATCCGTCACGGATATGTGTGGAAGTAGACCTTTGGTCAGAGTTCCGGACAAAAGTCACATTTTACTCAATAACTAAAATATAATTTTTTTCCCCCAAAATTAAAAATATTTTTGAGAATAATTGGACAATAATTTATTTTACACATTTAAAAACAAAGTTTAAAACATTTTTATTTTTTATTTTAGTTATTCTCTTCGGAACAAAAAAATGTATTGGTTCCCTATGGTGTTAATAATCAAAAATTTTCCAATAATATTAGTTCCTATCGTTTATCTTAGAATTAAAGTTTCAGAAATCTATACTCAATGACGGAAGTAAATATATTTTCATTCTAGCTTTGATTAAATATAATCTTTGCATATTATTCAATTAAATATTATTAATTACATAACAATCAAAATCATTGCAATTATCGAAAGTCATCAGAGTGTACCTACTACCTATGGTAATTATTGTTGTACTAATATGTATTTACTGCTCTACGTTTAGGGGTAGTTCACAGTTCGTTATGATACCACTGCATCAGTATAATGATATTGCACAGTGAACTGCATAGACGGATAAGCCATTGATCGTATCATTTTAGAATTTATATAATAATTAAATAACGTTTTACTTGAACAATTTATAGCAGCGTATAGGTTGGACTTCTCAAAGTGGAGTTAATTTTATATAATAGGTCTGTGTCTAATTTACAGACGTCAGGACCATATAATTATTTATATTTCACGCTTGAAAGGTAGAGTGCGCACGTGAATTGTGGCTCGTATTACAATAATATTATAGTGTGATGTACTCGAATCTTGTTGCTTTCACTTGCCAGTTGCCAGTTGCCACGCTCTCGGTGGCTATCGCATGTTTGTCCGTCGGCTTATTCTGGAATCTGAATTGTTAAAATTTCAAATTCATCTAGGCAGTAGGCATGTTGATCGAGTATGAATGCATAAGTTGTCAAAAGTGAACTTACGTTAAAATTCTAACAACATTTTGTTGTTATTACATATTTTATTTCGTTTTAGTCACGAATCAAGATTTCTAATTATTATTCGTGGCACTAGTTCAACAATACAAATTGGCTCTCTTAAAACATTTTTTTGAATTGTACGTTTTTATTTCAATAGCTCAAACGTTCAATTTTTTTATGATATTATATTTTTAAAATGTTTAGAATTTTGATTTTACCCTCTACATACTCAAAACCCGAAGTTAAATGAATAATATTAAGTTAGCTCTTACTAAAGCTATCAGCCGTAGAAGCATATTATATCACTGTGATCAGATTTACTACAAAAATGCATCAAAGGGATGTCAATTTGGGTAATTATGAATTAAAGTATAATCTCGAAAAAAAAAAACAATTTAAAGTTATACTAAAAATAAGTTTCTATTCAACTAAGTTATAGTAGTTTGGTACGTCCTCCAAAAGTACCACCGGCTATTGTTGGTACAGCAGTAAGTAAAGATGACTCCAGAGAATTTATGGCCGTTTTCCCAGATGTTGTCAGAGATCTTACTGATACTGGACGTCATTTGGATATACCCGATGTTACTAAATGGTTAGCGAAGGTATGAAAAGTTGCATGAATAAATTTATTTTAATATTTAGTTATATTCTTTGTAATATTTTAGGTGCTACAATATAATGTGCCTGGTGGTAAGAAAAACCGTGGAATGGCATTAATACTTTCTTACAGGATGTTAAGTGACCAGGCTGAATTAACTAATGAGAATATTAGATTGTCATTTATTTTAGGCTGGTGTATTGAAATAGTGAGTGATCATTTTAATTTTGTTGTTAAAAATCTTATTTTCATGAAAATATTGAAAATTAATTTTAATAAGTCAACAGTTTTTTTTACAATTCTTCAATTGGATTTTGTCTATTTGGCCTTTTATAAAAAAAAGTGACACGTGTACGGTTACAAAAGAGGCGGATAATATAATATATTCGCTGGTTATAGATTTTTTGATGGGCAAAGAGAAAGCTTAAATTAAAGTTGCGCCGTGGTCAACAAAATGTCTAAATATAAAATATATGGTACCTATTTTAAGTATAAGTAAATATTTTAAATAAATTAAACATAAGATTTATCATAAAAGTTTTACCATTTAAATAGTAGGAAATACAACAATGATTTGTAAATTAACATATATTATTAGCATTTTCACAAAGATAAAAATAAGTCAACAATTGTTTACTTCATTTTTTCTACGAAATAGAGCATTATGTTAAGTTTAAGAATAACACTATTGATCTTATATGCTAATTTGGGTAGTTTACAATATGTTTTGTAGTATACAAGATGTTAGAGTAAGATAATTAAAAAAAATAATCAGATCTTAACAGATACGAAATATTTATGTATACATAGATACATAAAATATATAGAATGGTCTTAAGATAATTATTGCACATAATATTAGATAAGTATCAAGGGTGGGTTTATGTGTGGTAGTATAGGCAGTTCCCAAGGGGTAAACTTTACTTACAATCACACAATATCAAAAAAATTTTAGCGTAGGGGCGAATAATTTTTAATATTGATAAACATAATTTTGAATCTATTAATTTATAGTGTAGTACATAATATCCTCAATATATCTTATAAGAACTAGAGTTTAGCCGATTAAAGAATAAGAATGTATAAGTCGTAAACAAAATTTTTGTCATTTTTCAGGGAGTTGGCTTAATTGATATAGAATCGTGGCATTTACTCAAATATATTAAAAAACTCATTTTCAACAAAAATCTAGTAAACAAGTATTCGTATTTTTTGTAGACTCTTTTCACTCTCAATGTAAGCCACCCCCCCTCTTTCGATGTCGACCACTAAGAACTCACTTATATTAGTTAATATTTATAATATAATTAAAAATAAAAATTTTTACTCACAATATTTTATTATAATATATTTTTTGTATTCTATTTTTTTTAATTTTTATATAAAAACTAAACTAAATTAAACTAAAATCAAGAAGTAATTTTTTTTATTCAGTTCTTGAAGTACTTTGTCGATCTCTACGATTACGGTTTCCGTAATCGCCGTAATTGGTGCCGTCTGCCGAGGCCAATTATAATTTAAATAAATATATTTGTGAATGTTTTAATGCAAAGTTATATAAACCTATAGAATGCCTTTGTCTTTGTATTGTTATATAAGTGGTTTCATCATAAGAAAAAATGTATCAACTTGTCGTATATTTAATACAAATTTGTCATGTGTAATATATTTTTTTTTAGCCAGAGGGGTGTCCAAATACCATGGACACCCCCCTCCCCCCAAACTACGCCACTGTTAAAACATATTTGACAATGAGAAATATTTCAATCCATAGAATATCAAATAGAAAGTATAACTTGTCGAAAGAGTTAAGATATTCCTCATCTCACATCATATAAAAATGTTCTACAATAATAAGCTTTTAGCAATAATATTAAAACTATTATTTTTTCTTATCAACATATTTAATATTGAAAGGAATATATTTGAAATAAATTTATTTCATTTTTGAATTGTATTTACCATTAAAAATCAAATTATTTTACAGTTGCAGGCTTTTCTACTAGTCATGGATGATATTATGGATAATGCTATTACGAGGCGTGGACGTCCTTGTTGGTATAGGCATAATGATATTGGTCTTGTTGCTATAAATGATGGAATCCTTCTCGAACAAGGACTTTATCAAATCATTAAGAAGTATTTTCGCGACAAGCCATATTATTGTTACATCTTAGAATTATTTCATGATGTACAGTATTTGATCATAACAATAGTTCATTAAATTAGGTATTGCAGGTTTTGATTATTATGTCGTGTCAAGTAGGTAACTTTGAAAACATCATTGGGACAATCTCTTGACATGTTGACTGCGAATAACTTTAAAACTAATAAGTTAGAAAAATTTACCATGGAAAATTACACAGCTATTGTAAAATATAAGACTGCATATTATTCTTTTTATCTACCCGTGTGCCTGGCAATGCATATGGTAAAACATACTTAATTGATAAAATAATATTCAAGTAATTTGTTGAAACTCCAATTTCAGGCAAATATAAATGATCCAGAAGTTTTTAGGCAAGCCAAGACCATATTACTAGAAATGGGTCATTTTTTCCAAGTTCAAGTAAACAAAATCAAAATTATTTTATATTAATTGTGTAGATAATTACTAATAACAGAAGAACTTATAAAATAAATATTTTATGTAGGATGATTTTTTGGATTGTTACGGTGATCCTGAAGTTATGGGCAAAATTGGTACAGATATTGAAGATGGGAAATGTTCATGGCTTGTTGTAGTGGCTTTGCAAAAAAGTAATGCTCAACAAAAACAAATTTTAGAGGTATGAAATATTTTCTACTTTTTTTACTGTCATTCCTTTCATATAAATGTAACAATTTATCTCACAGGGAATTTCATTGTTTTGCTGTTTTATACGTATTATTTTTAGAATTGCCCATAATTTAATTCTCTTAGTACTCATCATTTGCTTTTTTTAAGTTATTAAAAAAAATTGTCTAAAATACTGACATGATGTATGTGCGTTTTTTGGATTTGTAGATAATTCTTAACTTTTCAGCAAATCAAAATTGTCGCTTCAATAATCACAGCAAAACGTATTCACATACATATCTGGGGTATTAGCCCTGGTTCTAGCCTAACTAGGTTTTTTTTCATTTCACTTCCTGCTTTTCTCAATTATATAGTTATGCCTATTTTAATAAATAAAGAAGTGTTTGCTTATACTAGAAAAAACTTAAGCACTTATGGTTATATGTAATAAAATAATAATTAAAACCCTTAACCATTAAAATTATATACTCTCCACGTATTTAGTTTGGTTATAATTTGTTTCTTTATAAATCATTCTAATTGTTTCTATAATCATCTATTTGGCTATTATTTTCACTAAATTTTATCTATTCAGTTGAGTTTAATTAGTTAACCTCTTCTTTTTTAATGTTTGCTTGTCACTAACAAATTTGTTTATTTTTTTTTCGATTTCATTAACAAACTTTGAAATTAAAATTATTTAGAATCTGAAAAAACAGGTTAATATTATTGTATTTTTCTAAAATTTGAATTTTGAACAATATTTGCACTATTTAAACTAGTAAATACTCTTTGATATTTAATTTAAGTGTATACTTTTCAATATTATATTCTTTATTTAATGTGTTGCCTCTGTTTAGGAAAACTATGGAATCAACGATCCTGCTAAGATAGCAATTATCAAAAACTTGTATGATGAATTAAAATTACCCAAAACATTCCAGCTATATGAAGATGAAAGTTATAATATGATATGTACTCATATACAACAAGTTTCTCGTGGTTTATCTCAAGATTTATTTTTTAAACTTTTGGAGAAAATATATAAAAGAGTACTTTGAGGAAATTCAGTTTGTCATTAAAGTTGTATTTGCACTTTTTCGATATTTTTGAAAATTTTCTACTTGGGACCATTATTAGCATTTCAAAATGGTCAATAATTGTAGTACCTTGTAAACAATTATATATGACATATATATATTTTTGTCCACTTGATTATTATTTTTAAGCAAATTTATTTATAAATCACTAAACATTGTTTAATTATATGTATACAGCATAATTTATTAATAAATACTTTTAGCCATATTTTTGTAATGTATTTTTTAAAAAATAAAATAAAGTTACATTAAATAAAATTCAATTCAGTTTCTAGCTGACAAAACTACATCAAAATAAATTATATTGTAAATTACACAATATTATTGTTTATAAGCAATAACAGAACTTTAAACCACTTTTACAATTAAAATGCTATACTTTGTTGATACATACTGCGTTAACTCATGCAGTTGTTAATTGGTATTATGCTAATACAAATTAAAAAAATCCAAGGTTGTTGTGCATATAAAGTATATACTAGTTTTTATGCATATTTTCTAATACAAATCAAAAATTTAGTTAAATTTTTAAATTAATTTATATATTACTCTGAAAATAAAAAATGCAAATAAACATAAAAACTATCCCGCAGCAAGTTTAGGACTGCATGTTAACATAATAACAGATTATATTGCTTATTAATGATTCATATTATTTTTATATAGTTTAAACAATAATGACGTATCTCTACATGTAGTTTTCATACAAATGAAAATGTAAACAATTTTGGTAGTTTCTTAAGATTCTATAAATAGCCATACACTGCACTTATTTTAACATTTTTTCTAGGCCAAAAGATAAATAAAAAAGACTGGGGGTAAATTTAGCAATCATTTAAGTTTTTTAGTTTCTCTGTTCTCCTTATACAAAAATAAAAGGTTTCATACGCAATAATTATAGGAAACTAATTTAAAAATTAGGGGCTATTAAAGACACCTACGCTTTTCCAAATTGTGTTTCTTATAAATGGATAAATCCATTAATGCAGCGTAGGATAAGGAACGGTACATTATAATTGTATACTGGTGTAAATAAAAAAAGGTATTCAGTTGTGACAGGTATTTTTTATTATTGTATTTTGTGCTTAGTGTATTTAATTTTTTTTAAGTAAAAAGTGAAATAAACTTGATTATACTGGATCTTATATAAACTAAAATAACCTCTAACTTATCCCTTTCAAACAAAAATTAACAAAACATTTAAAATTATATATACATAAAAAGAATTACAAACTCATTGCATTACGGTTATTCATGTAAAACTGATGTCCAGAAAACACTAGTGTAAATATATAGAGGCAAGCAGCAATCCAGCAGTTGTAAGCATTCTGAAAAAAAAATTATATTACTAACACAATATACTACAAATAACCAATTTTAAAATTAAGATGGAGAAAAGAAGATATTGGGTTTTTTTAAAAGAAATGTGTTTGTAACCACGATAACTTACTACGCAACCAGTCCTTACGTAGCAAGTCTACAATAAGGAATTGTACATAAAAGGTTCTTTAAAAGATCCAAGTTAAAAATGTCCACTCCTTATACTTCAAAATCAAATAGAAAAACCTCAAATATTACCACTTATAACTTTTTGAAAAATAATCTCATTATATGACTAGCTAAAGTCTAAACTCATGAAAAATGAATTCTAGAAATATCTCATTTTTAGTTGTCATATTAGCAAACACCGTAGCAACTTGGTGGGTGAATATTTAATAATTATGTGCATATATACAAAAACCTGCTGATGCCAATCTGTCATCAATAATTTATCGTGGCTGTTAAAATATGTCATTACTTCCATTTGAGTTATAGCCAAATAACCTATGATAATTATTGTTTTGCCAACACACAGCTCGAACAATCTACTGTGGTGGACCAGGGCAACCCGGAAGTTTATCAAAAAGTTAAATTATAAAAATTAAAAAACAAATAAATTATTAGTTGTCTTCTTCTCTGGTTAGGATAGGCTTGGACTAAATAGGCCTTTGGCCGCTAACAGAACAATATAAGGTTAGCATTTTATTAAGCTGTTTTTTTTTCTTTAGGGGTTTGGGCATGTGAACCTTAAACACTCAAAAAAATTCCTGCAGAGTTGTAAGTCGACCCCTGCAGCCGATAGGCCAAACACTTGGCAACAAAAATTCGTATAGGTTTTTTGTCTTCAACTCAAATACTATGTATGAACAGAAATTTCTGAAATACAGCGTTAAGTACACAGTTCAAAGAAAAAAAATCTAAACAACCTCGGATTTGTATAGTAAAATATACCCTACTTTAGCTTTGATGCAAAGCTCACTCTTATAAATTATACTTACTAATGAATACATTTTGTCGGCTGTGCTATAGAATTCTTCAGCTGATTTAACTAATTCACCCTCTTCCATTTTCAAGTCTTCAATGAGAGCCACACTTCTTATATAGTAGAAAAATCCCATCAAGACCTAAAAAATTAAAAACTAGTTTAAGTTACTAGATTTGAAAGATAACCAAAATGTGTCCTACCAGTTGAATTATTCCCCAGATGCTGATTATAATCCCGCAAAGGGATAATTTCGGGCCGCAAACTTTCATTTTTCTATAAGATAATATTAATAGAATTCACTTTTTGCAAAAAAAAAGTTGTCGAATAATGAATCAAAGAAAAATTATAATTATCTATGGTGTATCCGCCCAAAACTCAAAACGAATATCAGTTGATAAACAGCTCAAGGAAATGATTTGGAATCTGAATGCATTGCTATAATGCTATATTATGATAACTGATGATTGATAAAACTCATAATTATTGTATAATAGCCACAATTGGTAACACTGCTTAAATGCCCTTTACATCAGTGACACCAAAAGAAAAAGTGTGTAATGATAAAATCACCAAGGTCGTTTTGTCAACTGATAAAAAATATGTTCTACTGCTTAGTGCTTACTAGTTACTGATAAACCTTTTTATTTTTGGTTATTCAGTAATTATAAAAAATTGAAAATTTGTTTTTTTTAATGTTATAATAAGTAGTTGGTTTCTACGTTATTTTCATATATACTTAGTAATTGTTTGTGATGTCGTCTGATACGGATACTAAGCCAAGTACTATTTTTGGATATGAAAAGAAAGTGCATACTGGCCGAAATGAATTTGAGAACTTTTTTGAAACATTGAAAGGCATAATTGTAGGTCCAGTTATTTGGTTTAAAGGTAATGCATTATGTTATAACACCAAGTTATGAAATTTTACCTAAAGGAATAGAATAATTTTGAATTTTCTATTTTAGAAACTATTGTAACGCCAAATCAAAAAGAATATTATTACTACCATGAGAAATTCAGGAGAGTGCCAACTGTCGATCAGTGTTATGATGATGATAGAGTATGCAAATGGGAAGCAAATCATCAATTAATTAAAGATAAGTATGTGTAATATGATAAATTAAAGTTATAAGGCCAGAGTGTTCCATGTCTGCCAGTGTGCACTAGTGATAACGCATTTATAGTATTAGAAATATCCAATCTTATGTATGTATATTTCCAAAAGACACGATAATTGTTTGTTTAAAATCAGTTTAATCTACCCTGAAATAGTTATTGATCATTTACTATAAAAATATTAATAGAGCCCAAATGTAAATTGAATCGCAATAAAAAAGTCATCTAATCCAAGTCGAGGCAGCATTATATTATCATCAAATCATTTTCTATTATCATGGTTCTAACATGTGTATTATGTTTATATTTTTCTAAAATAATGTATCTAAAATTTTAATGCTACATGTATATTTCCTAAGATAGTATAAAATACTTGGAAGAATAATTGAAAACAATTTTTTTTCTTGAACAAGAATCTACCATTTCTAATTTTTTTATTTAACTACAATCATTGATATTTTTTTTTTATCTTCCTCATCCTTATAGGAAAGTTGATAGCGACATTCTGTCCATTTTAAGGCAGCGTTATGAAGATTGTAGAATTTATGAAGGACCAGATGGAATGAGAAAATGCAAACCATTATTTGATATGTATGAAGAAGCAGAAGAAAATTATTCTATTAAATGTTCGTAAATTTGTATGAATTTGAACTTAATTATTTCAATGTTATTAAGTTTAATGGCATTTTGGTTTCCTAGATGGCGATTTAGGTGCAGCTGTTACAGCCGAACGGTGCTATGCCAAACAATTAAATCGCATGATATGGGAAAGACGCCATGGTCCTGTAGGTTCAGGCATGAAGAAAGATAATTTTTCGTAACTTTACTAGACATATAGTAGTCTTTTAATACTAATGTGTGATTATAGAATTGATGAACCAGTAATATAAATGTATCTAAAAAAAATATTGCTTTGTAAGTGTTATCACAAGAAAACAAAATTATATTACAAAATAAATTTATATACAGAATCTTGTTATTATTTCACATTAAGAGAATGTTTCAAATACATAAGTTGTGCTGTATTTTCCAATTTTGTTAAATGATCTATTGAAGATAATAATTGATCATAGTGATTTTTGTAAGTAGGTCCATCATTAGCTTTTTTTTGGCCGTATATGACTTTTCCATCAAATTCATTCATTGGTATATCAATTTCTAGACCTATTTGCTGAATCGTTATATTTAAATGGTCCTCGATTTCAGCTAAATACTGAGGTTCATTGTACCAAATACAACATCCTTTAATATTAGTTAGGTCTGTGTTTGAACATCGCTGACCTCTTGATGGACACCAATCTCCATGATACCATACTTTTTCTGGTAATGATGCAACAAACGACACAGCTAAACCCATACGGTCTGCTCGCCCAACCCGACCAATTCTGTGTACATAGTTTGTTTTATCATCTGGTAATGTCATGTTAATCATAAAAGGTAACTGATTAACATCAATACCACGAGCAGCAACATCGGTACATATCAAGAACTTAATTTCACCTCTTTTAAATTTTTCTAAATTGGCTTTACGATCATTTACATTCTTAGAACCATGAAGGGTACAACAAGAATAAAAAGAACCTAATTTGCAAAAATATTTTTCTAAATTGTCACAGTCGAGTTTGGTTCGACAAAATATTATGGCCTTATTCATTTTGTGCTTGTTAATAGCTCTGATACAATATTCACCTTTAAGAATTTTCACTCCTTGTGATAAGGCTTCAGATGTGTTGGTTGCTCTTATATTGTCTCCATTATGTACACCATCGGTTGGCATATGTTCTTTTAAATTAGTCCAAGAAATGTCTTTTTGGGGATCAACAGTAACTACCACATGGTGTACTGTTTCAGGAATAGCATCTTCACCTTTAAGATCTACCCAAGTGGGAAAATGCATAAGACGAGAAGCCATTTTCTTAACTTCAAAATCGTGTAAAGTAGCAGAACAGACAATCATCTGAAGTCGTTTTCCATCATGTGTAATTTTTGGCATTTGTCTATGCATATTATCTATTAATTGTGTATATCGTTGCTTCAGTAAACCATCAGCTTCATCCAAAATGAAAAATCTACAGTATGTCAATGATAAATGGCCACCAGAAATCATATCTTCTAATCGGCCTGGGGTAGCAACTACAATATCAATACCTGATGATAAAGATGCTATTTGCTCTTTAATACTAATACCACCAACAACAAGGAGATCTTTAATTTCTGGACCTGTTATATATTTTTTAAATTTTTTAATTTGATTACATGTTTGTTCAGCAAGTTCTCGGGAAGGCTCAATAATTATAGCAAATGGAGCATTATTTGGCTTTTTTGCCTGTTCGCCTTCTTTTGATACATTACATTGAGAAATTTCCACAACATCTGTTGAGGCTTTACATATAGGATTGAAGTCCTTGGGAATATCGAATTTAAATTTGGAGAGTCCAAAGTTAAATGATACTTCAGCATTTTTTAAAACAACTGCGGGATAAAATGCAACATTTTTCAAATTTGAAGGTATTTTAAATGCATCTCCAAGATAAGTACCATTTTTACTGAATCCAATTGTTAAACTATCTAAATCTAACCAACAACCAATAGTATCATGCAATCCAAAACTGTCGCCATACACATCAAATTGTTTGTTATTGGATTTTCTTCCTGTGCCACCAAAACCGAAACCAAATTTATCTGTGCCTAAATCTAGTACACCTTGTAAAGTTGACCAACCAACTCGGCATAAACCTTCATCGGTTACAGTGACTTCATAGTAATATTTACCAGAATTTTTCACACCTTTTGTAGCTCGACAGCCATGCCATTCTTTCTGTTCTCTAGATTGACATCTTAAGCCATCAGGTGTTATAGCCATGGCTGAAGAGCGATCCCACAAGTTTAATTTCCAGGGATCGGATTGAGTAGAAGTTTTTACAGAAGAAATTTGTACACCTAATTTGAACTGTTTCAAAGTCTCCCAGACAATTTGAATGACTGGCAAACAAAATGCTCCTGTTTTACCACTGCCAGTTTCTGCAGCCATTAAAACATCACCACCTCCTAATATTAACGGTATAGCCTCTGCTTGCACATCCGTGGGTAATAACCAATCCATCTCTTCGACAGCTTTCCCGATTTCGGGTAGTACGCCCATTTCTTCAAATGCCGCCATTATCGAAAGCTGAAAAACAAGTAATTAGATCAAACTTACAATCAAACAAAATTTTCCAGTGATTATAGGTACCGAAACAATTATTTTTTTAATACGTCATTCACTCGTTAATTTGTTAAATGGTATTACCTTCTATTATGAATAAATATAACACAGGGTTCTGTTTACAACTTTCAGCGAACGTATTAACTGTTCACACAATTAGTATGAATCGCTAAAAATTGTTTGTAAACCTCATACAAAATCTTAAAACATTACAATATACTTCCTTTTTCCTTCAAAATATTTATTATTTGTATATCATTGAAATTTGAATATTGATTGTAACTCATAAACATGATCATAACATGACGAGTATGAAGTTAGTAATTAAACGAACCAAATCCAAAAATATTTGATAAGAGAAAGTCCGTTACTTAAATATACCAAGTTATTGCATTGCTACCCTCTCTTTATAAACATTTTCTGTGATCTAACAAATTTCACGACTAAATAAAATACTTAGTCATGACAAATTCAATTTTATTTTATAATTCTAGGCGATGATATTTTATGAATATACCTACTTATTGAAAACGACTTATAACCCATAGAGTAATTACTGTGATATGCGCTTACGCCATTTTGTGAATTGATAATAATATGCAATAACCTGGTGTATTTAAGCCATGAGGAACCCAAGAAACATCAAACGGGAAGTCTGTTTCTGAATTCTGGGTATAAGTATGTTTTGCTGCCAGTGCCGTATTGTTCAAAATTCAACCATAATTATTTAGCAGAACTAAACCACCATATATTTTTATCTCTGGTGATTTTTTTTGGGGGGGGGTCGCTTACTAATCTTAATCCTCATGGCTCACATTAGCCACCTGCATTGGGATTAGAGAAAATTGGAGTAGAGCTGAATTAGCTTAAGGGGTCTTTGTTAAAGATATTTATTTTGGAAAGAGCACCTACACGAAAATCCCGCTAACCATTTATGCTAAACTCCAAAGTTTTTCTGTTAAAGCTGTATAGGTAGTGAAATTCAAAAATAGCTTTAGAAATAAAGAAACATTTAATTGCATAAACCTATAATCTGTTTATCTAACACAATGATAATAGTATAAATATTATTAATTCCGAGAGTCTACAGAGTACAGACATCTTAGCAGTTAGCAACAAATGCCACAGTCCATATATCGCGTGCCGCTAATATTTATGGTTTATCGACTGGGGCTCAGTTATCATTGTCCGTCTTTTAATGGAATTAAAGGACAAATTTAGAGCGGGACCTGATGAATGTTAATTAAGAATTGAGATGTCTAAGAGGATTTAATTGGTCCGTTAATATAATATATATACACTAAATTATACTATAAAGTATAACATGATGATAATAACAATATTATATAATATTAAAATATATTGTAACTTTTTAAATCTAATTTAGTTAAATAGCTACTATATTATTTCACAAAAATAAAATGTATTATTATATATCATTTTTTTAATGTAATTTATGTCACTGTACTATATTTTTTGTTTAAATAGAATTGCAATTTATCAAGATTTCTGTAATATTTGTATCTCACATTGATAGACATAATAAGTAATAACCACACATTAGTACAAAAAAAAAATAGACAATTATTTTGTTACAGTATGGAGTAAAAGAAAAATACACTGCACAGTGCACATAATAAATTGATAACTAACTTTTTCGAGCAATATTACTCATAATAAAATATACCTATATGTTCTTCATATAAATATATATAGAATATAGATTATAGTCTAACACATAGCATAAAACTGTACATCCCCTTAAGAAATAGCAGTGATAACAACATGCTTATTGCTATACAGTATTTAAAAATCGAACCCAATACTTCTTTAGATCAACTTTAAAGCCTTATATAATATCATGTATTATAAATAATAGTCTATAACTAATGCTTATGTATGATATTGGATACTTAAATAATCGTTCCGGATAACGAATTAGTCATTGCTTAAATAAGCAACAACTATGATAACCTAGCCCCCTCATAATTTCTGACACATACCTATGTAGACTTCACAGATAACTTTTTTCTTGTTTACACGTGTAAGAAACATTTTGAGTCGCTAATGCAAAATCATTAATGTCATAAATAAACAGTATTGCACATTATACATTTTACTTTAAAATAAAGATAAATAATAAATTAACTAAGAACCAAGTACAATAATGAATTGAAATTGACTTGTGTAATTGTAGGCATTAATGTAAAACATGTAATTTTTTTTTTATAGCCTTTATTTAATAAAATATTTAGCTCAACAATTAAATTCAAATATATAATTTTACTTAAAAAATATACCTTTTAAACCACATCCTCTGAAAAATATTTTATTTTCATCTATTACATATTAGGATTTATGTATTGGGTCACAAATAGTTTTATTTGTCATTAAATTTAATCAAAAAGCAGTAAAAAAGAAACAAAAATAGAGAAATTGGATTAATATTAATTATGGCTGCTATAGTACAATAGTTTTCACTTGTCCAAAACAAGCATTAAATTAACTAGAAAAAAATGTGTTATACATTTTTTAACAAAATTATTTGCACCAATCCTTACTGTAAATTATTATTAATTTAAGAAATAGTGTTAGCTGTAATTCAAAATTACTATTAATGTACAATTTCACACTTAGTATAATATAAAGAGATAGATTTATTAAATTTATCTAATAGTTATTTAGATTGGTTGTTGCATTTAGTGTAATAACTTGCTTAAAATTAGCCGAGGCAACTAAGCAAGTTCAGACAAAAAATGTACACCTAAAAATATAAATGTTCCTCTAACTTACATCTTATTGTGGACAAATAAGTCATATAAAATTGATAAACATATTTATTAACATATTAATAACAAATAAAAATGAAATTTTTTTTCTTCAAATTTGCACGACTACAATTAACATAGCGAAACATCTTTTAACCAACAAAAAATCCAATTCCTGTTCTCAATTGATGCTTGACAGGACAAAACACTGCACTTAAAGCGAGTGTGAATGGCATTGGATTTAATCGTTTTTCCAATGTAGTACTAATGTTCCACTTTCTGTCTATACTACCTAAAAAAATAAAAGTGTCATTAATATTTAAACATATTAAAACAATAAAAACAATTTGTGGTTTAAACAATAATTAATTATTATAATATATTTAATTTAAAGCAAATAATTCTAATTGTTAGAACAAAAATTAAAAAGGATTTTAAGTTAAAATATAATTATAAATATTTAAATATTATTTACACTTAGATAATCTAAGCATAGGAAAAAATAATGCATATGTAGCCGTGTTAGTTTTACTATTATTTGAACAATATTTATACACATTGTCCAAGTAAGTATTTAAAAATATTTATTAGTTTTTTACTCTATACTCTTTTTAACATTATATTTGTTTGTTCAATATCTAATGCTTAAGTAATGCATACCTTTAATGTTAATATCAGATTTTGGAATTTGAGCTTGATATGCAATAGTTGCATTAATATCTCGTTGTAAAAGGCTGCCTTCAATATCTACCCCAAACTGTAGTTGCTCACTGGCTTTGTAATGGTAACAACACTGCAAGCCCGATAAACCTAGTGACGCAGTGATTGTAGTAGCATCATCATCTAAAAATCAAACAAAATTTAATGTTATATTAAACACACGTCAGACAAAATATAGACATTGTTGGAAGTTTTTATACATTTTTATTGTTAACCTATTTGAACATTAATTTAAATTGAACCGACATATATTTTTTCTCAAAAATATATTATTTATGAATAGGGATAACAACTCTTGGAATGATCAGATTTAAAAACTGTGCAGAAACTAAAAACTTACTCTCGTATGTACATATGCAATCAAGTACAATTAATTTTGGTTTCTATGTTCTGGACTTTACAAGATTGATTGTGATAATTTTTTTTTTGTCATTTGAAAGAGGAAGACTTCTTACAGGGCAGATTAGTCTCCATTTTTTTAAAAAAATGTTATCATTTAATGAAAATACCAATGTTTAAGGTAGCTGTCGTCATACACCCACTAATCCCTATTCGTGCATATGTTTTTGAGCAGAATATGTGCTGCTTCTGGTGGTCATAAGAGGTTAAAATAATTATTAACATTTGCATTTTTAAGTAGGTAAGCAAAACAATTTTTTTTTCAATACGTATGATGAAACTAGTAAAAGAAAAAGAAAATTTAAACTTAAAAAATTAATTGATTTCAATGCATATATGATAGCATAGTTATTATTGTGTATTGTCAAACCTCTTCACAAGTAGTGAATATAGTTAATTTTAAGAAAAATAACTCATTGACTTGGCTACATAAACGATGATGTATTGATTTTTGTTTAGTAAATTTGCCACTTTTTAAACAGTGTCGATTATATACTGTAGTACATAGGCATATACAGTGATGTAGTACCCTATAAATACATCACTGGGCATATGCATATATACAAAAACAAAAATAACTTTAAATTGATCTTACACAAATATCTTCCTAAAATATTACAAAGCGTAATTTGTCCAGCTGGAATTTGAGGGCCACGCTGGTGAACTATTTCACAACCCACAGAAGTAGTATTGTTCAATGCATATAAGAAATGTGACATATACACTCCAGTATAATTTAATAGATCGGGATTGACTAGGCATAGAGATGCTGTATATCTGTCTGCCCTGTATTCGGCTGATGTTTGAATTCCACTCGTTTTGAACTCTTGGAACTGAACAAATAATAACATATAATAATACTTAGTAACTTGAACATGTATAATTATTGTATTTTATCAAAACAATTTTTAACCTACTTGAGTATGAAGTTTCAATTTAACTCTATTCCATGGCTGTATGTTTATGTTGGTAGATAAATTACCTCGAGGGTCAATATCTCCCATCAATAAAGGACTGTAATCCCCAGGGCTGATTTGATTAGTACCGACAAATGTTGAACCAAATTTATAGCCTGAATTTTGGCTTGTTGGTCCAATCAGTAAACTGTGGCTGACAAAAAAGTGATTGCTAAGTCCTTTGTTGATTACGAGACGAATACCTTCAAACGTCAAAGGAAATATTTCTAAAAAATAAAAAAAATAGTTATTATTAACATAACATAAACTGAAAATAACAGGCAAATGAAACTAGAATATTAATAAGGGTACATATAAATTTGACTAAATATTTAAAGTTAATGACATATAATTGTACTATATTCTTAACATTAAATTTTTGAATTTCGTAATATATATATACATATATTTGACCTCGATTAGAATTTTTTTATACCGGCTGTACTTACCTTTGCATTTCTTGTGTAGTTCTTCGACAGAACCGGGATTTTCAATGCGCTGTTCAGGCAGTTTTTTTTGTGGTTCTCCTGGAGGAGGTACCGGCGTCATATTTGGAGGCATTGGTGGTAAATTAGAAGATGCTTGTACGTTGCCCATAATGATAGTTTTAATGAATTATTTGAAAATAAGAGCTTAATATTAATATTAATATTAGGATGTTTTGTATAGCTATAGCCAGCAGCCACGCTGTTTTAAGTTTTCACTACTTAAAATTTGCCGATAATGATAACGAACTGAAAACTGAAATCGATAATAATTGGGTACTTTCAAGTTTACTGATAATAGACCATTCATGGAAGAAAAATTACTATGATAACCCACAAAATATATATAAACATATTAGATGCGGACATATATGTATATAATAAACTAGATTACTAACTGGGTAAGCGGTCATAGGTTCCCAGAGTCATGGTTCCCAAGCCATCCTATACATAGACCTATAAAGATATGGACTGCGCCTCTCACACACCCCGCCTATGCTGCCGCGTTATGAACAACGTTAGAAAGAGATAGATGGTTGTTAGGTTGACCATGGAATAAAAATTGAAAAGACATGGAATAATAATAACTTAAATATATAGATGACAATACACCAAATGGAAATTTATAATAATTAAATCTTATTTAATTATTATTTATTATTGTGTTATGCGAAGTTGTGAAACATTTAAGGATATGTATTTCATTATTTTGTCGGGTATCCAATGCTTTCGTATGATGTATTGTTTTAAATAGATATGTATATAGTATATCGTTAATAAATACTTAAAAACCATTACAATTTCATTCAAATTTTATCAATGAACATTCTGTTTTACTTTTTATAAAACGTGTATGTTTTGAAAAATAGTTTTTCTTTACAAACTCAATAGACAATTTATTGTATCACAGATCTGCATCTAAGTTTAAACAAATTCACTAGGTATTGTAAAATCACTACTTATTTGTTTCTTTTTCAAGTTACGACCAATATAATATAATTATATGCAGCTGGCAAATAAAAATGTAATGTCAGAGCAAAAGTACGTAACTCAGGAGAGTATGCACCAGACTCGTGATGAATTTGTTGCATAATTAAAGCAGTTTCTACATTAGGTAGACTCCTTTAAAAAAAAACATATATATATATATATATATATATATATATGTATAAATTCTTTAGGGTATAATTTTACAAATAAACAAAAGTAAGAACTATACTGTAACTAAAAAAATTAATAGACATAACACAACAATTTTATTATTTTTATCACCAATAGTATATTTTTTATTTAAAAAATATAAACACAAAGCCCCAACATTATTTTGATTTCACTAAAAAATTCAAAGAAATTATGCTATTCATACATTATTAAAACGAGTAAATAAATATTATATTTAGAAAAATGTTCTTCATCGCTAAATAAAATTGTATTACGAGTGAAACTGTTAACAATACATAACGGTCCATTTTGTTTTGTTCCTCAATGAAACTGTTCATAGATATTTAAATATATCTATAAAAGCCATGGATATGACATCACATTTTACTGAAAAATAACAAATTAATACACACAGTCATTCCAATAATGATAAAAATGTTTGAGATAGAATCAGTTTTAATATCAATGGTTCTTATTAGAAATATTTTAGGTGGATAAAAATTGACAATTAAGACGTACAATGAAATTTTTAAAAATTATTTTGTGAAGAACATATAAAATATATAGTAGTTAACCATGTAGTGTAAAAAGATAAAGGAGGAGAATATTTTTTGTGATGAGCCATTAATATTACAGTAAAAGGATACGGATCAACGATACTTAAATTCATGATTGGATGTCAGGATTGCATAAAATCCGAGCCCTGTCTTTGGTAACAAATCCATAGAACATTGAACACTGAACGTAACCTTATCAACCAAGCCATTTAACACATACAGCAATAACTATAAAAATTAAATCAAATTAATTTTTTATACAAAAAATACGTTTTTTTAACATATATTTGACATTATTATAATATATTTACCTTGAGTAATGAAAAACAATTTTCATTAACTTTCTTTTCATCTTTCAGGTGATCAGATGTCAAATTTTTTAATAACTTCTTCATCCACTAAAATAAAAAAAACACATTAGAAGTTGCTTTATTTTGATATTTATAAAAAATTAAAAACACAATATTTTCTAAATTACTTGGCATTTATAGTAAATTTCTTCCTTCTTCATCATCAAAGACTTCGACCATTTCAACATTGAATAATTTCTTACATGCTTCTATAATATATTCTTTGAAATTAAATAATAAGTAAATAAGATAAGATAAGAAAAGTAAAATTTAATTAACAAATTACTCTAAAAAAAATTACTTTCATATAGGTACCTACTATATAGGTAAAACTAAAAAAAATACATAAATTTGGTAACAATTACAAGTATAAGGAAGAACATACCCAGTTTAAATACACTTGGCACAGCTTCTTTTTTTAACATTTTTTTACCAGTAAACCTCAAGTTATAGTCAGATTATATAAAATGACTACTGCATATTTTTGTATGCGTCGTCGGAGTAAAGTCTGGTTGAAACATACGTATCGCATTTGCCCATTTTAAAAGCATTTCATGATTTCTAGGCCAGCTTTGAAACAAATTATAATATTATTAAAATCATTGAATATATATTATTAGTATATTACTATTAGTAATATACCAATGATCAATATTCAAATGTATAAAAATATAATATAAGTAAATAATGTCTCAACTTACCGATGCATGATGCAATCTTTATTTGATTTTGTTTTGCACGAACGAATGACACATTGAAAAACCATTATAAGAAATTAAACGAAATTCAATATTTTAATTACTAACAAGAATAATTAAAATATTTTAATATAAAAAATTCGTTATCGGGTATTATCATATTACTATTTCTTCCATGACCAACCTAACAACTCTCTGTCTCTTTTTAACGATGTCGATATTCGGACCTCTCTCTCTACTATCAGTCCATTTCTTTATAGGTCTATGGTGATGACACACCTTTAAGATAGTCGTCCGCTATCTATATAGTATGTTTATCTTTATATATCTGAGGGATTACCTATGTGGTTTATCCATAGACCCCATAATAATATTATGCCTTACAGACGAAGCATGTATGTAGTTAGCCCATGATGATACATTTTATCAGTAATTTACTTGATAACCAAAGACCACCTGATATTTTATTGGCTCTCGCTTCTCGCCTGACGCCTCTTGGCAATGTGCTGTGTGCAGTAAATATTTAATCCTCGTACCTACTGGCTACTGCCTACCTATTCGTGTTTTTGTTTCCATCCGGTTAACAAATTTATTTTTAAAAATAAAAATTCCGTTTCAAATGCTTTGTACAGTGTACTCATTATACATTTACGAATATACATTTTTTCTCATCTGAAAAGGTAAAGTATATGAATTTGTTTTTCTAATCTAGAATTGTAAAACCTATTTGTTTTAGACTATTACCCTCATGATGTCCTTGTTAAACATTAACAACAATAGTTTAGTTGAAAATATCCCCAATTGTTTAAATTTTGTTCATAACTTGATTAACTCATTATTTTCTTACAATATTATATAAACACGTAATTAGGAATAGTGTTATGATAAGAAATATAAAATATACTGTTACAAAGTAACATTTTATTACATATACAATTTTTAATGTTTTTAATTCATACTCGGTGATGGTGTTAGATTAGAAATTAGTTATGTATGTTTACAAAAAAAAAAACTATTGTGCTTATTTTAAGACTTGGTCTAAACATTAGGTCAGACAATATGTAATTCAATATAGTTAGCTGAAAGACAACTACACACATTTTTCTGTTTTTCCTTATTTTTCTGAATATAATAAGTGCTATTATATATTAATATTATACAAATCATCTGATAATTTATAGTTTTTCCACATAAAACAATGAAAATATGTACATTTTATTAAAATTTAATAACTTAACTGAAAAATTCTAAGGTAACTTGTTCAGCCTGGATTATTATATTACTCACTACTGGTTTTGGGCTTTGATATGTTTTGACTAACAATCTACATACGTAATTGATACAACTATAATTTATATTGTTTTTATATTTTTCATACCGAGCATAAATAAATAATAAAACATACTATTCTACTGATGGAACTCTGTAGTACCTAAAAAAAACATTTAATTTAGTTCGTAAATTGTTTTACATATAAACAACAGAAAAATGCCTTAGCTTATAATACTAATACTATAATAATAGTATAATTTAAATTATATTGAGTTATAATGATAATTCATATGTTTTAGGTCGTGTACTAGATTTTTATTTACAGTGACATGGCGACCATGACTTAAAAAGTAGACGCATGACCTATTTAGGAGTGAATGTTAACTCGTATATGAAACTAATGTATAATATAATACAGGGTGGTTCACGGAAATTATTGGTCTATTAATTTTAGTTTGTGCTTTTATAACTAAAATTCATATAATATTAAAGTTATAAAAAAACAGATTAGTGTTTAGTATTGATAGTACTGCATAGATTAGTAAGTAGTATTACAATAAATCTATATAATAAATAGGCTGAATATCTTTGGTAGATGACCTGATAAATCCATTTTTAGTAAAAAATTTGTTTCAAGTGTTTTGAATTAAGACAAATTAAATCTGATCTTAAACAGTTAAAATTCATTTTTGCTGAAATTGGACTTCATTATTATTCATAACTATACAGGGAAAATGAATTATGTATGAAAGTCTGTTAAGCAGTTTTAGATGTAACGAGTGGAAAAAATTAGAAAAAAGGAAAACTCATTATGTTAGACCAATTTGTTGAGTAGTGTGTTGTAAATATATGTATGGTAGTAGCTGCCTGTGTACCTTGGCTTTCGGGGGTTAAAATATACAATTGCAAACTTTTCTATGTATCAAAACGGCACTATGGCAGATGCATACAGAGCTTGTAAAGTGTATTATATTTACAACTGGTAAATTTCTTTTAAACTTTTGAAATAAATTAATTTGGACTATTGATATTATACTACTTCTATGACACTACACTCCTTTGGCGTTCAGTGTGAGTTTTTAAAGGTGTAAGGTAAAAGTACCATAGTAAAATATATAACAGAAGGTTTCAATAATATGGTTCATATAATGAGAATGGTACCCAGTACTGTACAGATTACAATCAAGAAAAAGACGTCGAACCAATAGCACCACCTGTATTTATAAGGTGTGCATAATAGTCCGGATGTTGATTAGGATTTCTCCACCGTACTGGTTCTGCTGAGCAGTAATGGCCGCGGTTGACAATTCTGTGGTTTTACCCTGCATATTCTCCGCTGCGGCAATTATTTGTATCTATTGATACGTCATGGAGCAGCACCATTTAGTGTCAGACTGTTAGTTTCATAAATAAATTAATAAAATTAATCAATTAATATTAGGAATCAATAAAATTAACCGCTTAAGTGTTTCTCTGAAAAATGAAAATAACTGCATGTAAATTTAGCTAGCAGTTTCCAGAATTATCTTAGACAAAGAAAAGGTACTTTGTTTTATAAATGTATGTATATATATATATATATTTACAATAAATATAAAACTTATACAATGTACAAACTTAATTAACATATACTTATGTGTATTTTTAAAATTATTGTGTTTTGTTACAGGTCTAATCAATTGGTACACAAATGATACCAAGATACAAATTTAGACCTCAAATATTTAGGAAAAATATTAAATTGTAAATGCAGCCTTTAATAAATACCTCATATATTTTTTGAGGTATATTCCATAAATACTTTCTGTTATGTTAATGTACTAAATATGGATCATCTTATTGTTTGTACTAGAAAACGTAAGTGTTTTTAAAAAGTAGTTTTTACTAACTAGGTATTATAATTTATTATTATCATTTTTTATGAAGTATCCTTTAATCGTCAAGAAAATATTGGCTGCTTTGGAAACATAGATTCGTATTCAGGTGACCATCAAGTAGATACAAATTTCAAATTTCCACCATCACCTCATCTTAGCAATGGATTTTTTATTCCATCAAAAGATTCTCATCTACAGAACACGACTACTTCATCATCATATTCTCACAGTGATTCAGATTCAGCATCAGATTCTAATTCACTAGATTCAAATTCTGATATATATGAACAAGAAGTACAACATTATGACAGTCAGTTACTCTCTTATAAAAAAAATAAGAAACCTTTTAATCGACTTCGTGGTTCTTGTTCTCTTCGTGGATATTCATCAGATTCTCTTCCATATAAGCATTCTTTTGCTCACTATTTACCTCCGATTGGAGTTTTTTGGGACATTGAAAATTGTCAGGTATGTAACCATTTGTTTTTATATATTTATTATAAATTTGTAACGTTTATGGTAAAAGGTCTCATGTTTAAATTACAGTTTAAATAACTATATTTTTAAATACCTATACTTAATTCAAAATAAGAATACATTAAAGTAGCGTCTATTTAATCTTAGTTTACTCTCATGTAAGGCTTATTAGTCACCATCTAGAGCTTGGTTATTATTCTGAATAAAGTTGATTCTTATTACTGAATTTGCCGTACACATATTCTTCTAAAATATATGTCACACAATTATATAATTTTTATATTATTATAGGTACCAAAAGGTAGATCTGCAGTAGCTGTAGCACAAGCTATAAGAGATCGATTTTTTATTGGGTATCGAGAAGCTGAGTTTCTTGTTGTTTGCGATGTTAAAAAAGAAAATGCACAAGTGGTTCAAGAACTAAATGATGCTCAAGTGAGATACCTATATAGGTAAATTAAACGATTTTAGTTAACTATTTTGTGTTGCAGGTAAATTTAGTTCATGTTACTTCTGTGTGTAAGAATGCAGCTGACGAGAAACTCCGCCTCTCGATGAGAAGATTTGCAGATTTACATGGGTCTCCTGCAGCTGTAGTTTTAGTATCCGGTGATGTGAATTTTGCATCTGATCTCTGTGATATCAGACATAGGTACAATTACAAAATTAGTAATTAGAATAAGTATATATATATATATATATATATGAAAGTATTAACGCTAATTGTGTATATATATATACACAATTAGCGTTAATACTTTCATGAAATGTATAAATACATTTTTCTTTTGTAGAAAAAAAATGCATGTGATATTATTGCATAATGAGTTATGTTCGGAAAGTCTGATTTTATGTGCGAATGAACATTACAATTATACATCTCTTGTTGAGATGTTACCATTAAGAAACGCTCTACGAGTAAGTTATAACTTATATTATTACAGAAACTTATTTGTTTTAATAAATTAGTGTTATGCTACAAGCATATTTAGGGAAGTATGCAAGTGTATTTAAGTGAAAATAAAATCCTAAATTGAAAGGTCAGAATTATTTAATTTTTGTTGATTATTATACTATTAGCTTCTTAAATTTATAATAAAAAAAAACATTTATTATAAAACAGAAAATTCCGTATTAAGCAGTTTTCCGCTTTATTCAGTAAACTACACAAAATCAGCTTGGCGGATCAGACACAAATTCCGGCTTATATAGTTTTTCAGTTTATTTAATGTTTAACTTTTGTAATACTATTAAATTAGTCCAGATATATTATAGAGTATATCACTATGATTTGACAGAAATGCATATAAAATGTATGTAAATCTGTCAGATCATTATGATACCCCCTGTATAGTTTGTATGTTTTAAACTACTATTTTATTAACTAGTGTTAGTAAAACAAAAATTAAAAAAACAAAAACTCCCCAAGATCATTCTGTCTGATAAGAATAAAACTTAAGACTACTAATTAATTAAGAATAAGGTTTTTTTTTCAGTAGTTGTATACATAGATAATTAATTAGAATGTTAAGGATTTTATATTAACATACATATGGGTTATTTATTTTTATTAGCAATCTGGAAATACACCTGTTGAAGTGATTGTATCCAATTTACCAGTAGGAATAGATCCAGCAAAAATTAGAAATCGTTTAAAAAGGTTGTCAGAAAACTGTGGTGGTCGAGTAGGAGTAATCAATAACTGTTCTACAACAATTCGATTTCCAACCAAAGAAATGGCTGCCAGGTAAATAATAACAATAATGATAAAATGTACATCAATGTCTTTTATTTATCAGTTTTATCTAGTTCAATGCCATATGTTGATTGTCCACATTTATATTTTTATATAATATTCCCTTTGGTATTCCCTAAATAGTATATATAGCATTTGTATTCATTTGACCTCTCAATAGTATTTTTGGAGTCTTCCATTGCAGTCATGCATTCAATTACTTCTTTAAGCTTTAATTTATTTTATGAGTAACTTAATTTCTATGTGTCTTTAATTTTATAAGAGCTTTGTGATTTATTATTTTATAAGTATTGTGTTAATTTTTTATCGTCATAAATTGAAGAAACAGAAAGGGAAAAGCACAGCAGTTTTTTAGACTTAAGCATGTTGGTTAAATTATTGTGTTTATTATAACCCTAGAGCCCAAAAACGAATGAACAAAGAGCGAGTGTTCAATAGCCAAATTGTTGTTAGTTTACCATTTGCTGTTCAAGAAGAGTCTCCGCCGTCTTCATCTTATGTAATAAGTAAGCACAAATACAACAAGTTTAATTTTATTATTTAAGTATTATTTATATTATGTTATGTTATGTAGATAGACCTTTAGTGCAGACAAGAGAAGAAAACATTCAACATATTGCAACCACCATACAATATTCATCTTCAAATAATATGCATTCTCGGTTTAATATAAATCCGGTTACTTCTCCCGCTCCATTTGAAAATAGAACGTATGGGTAATGCATAAATTTGTTTTTGATTTTACATTATTATCATTTTTGATCTTAATTTGTTTTTATAGTTTGTATGGGCAACAAATTAAAGGTGGTTTTGGTATGTCTCAAATGAATACTAGTTTAGATAATTCTATGAGACATCACAATCCGTGGCTGACGTCAAATTCTGTCGGTATACAAACGTGGTTGAATGGACCCCAAATCGCCATGGTGAGCTTTATTGTATTTAGAATTTAATGTAATCGCTCTAAAATGATCTGTAAAGTAAGATATTTAGTTATTTCTTATTAACATTGAAACGCGACATATTTTAAAGTTGAAAAATATTTGTCTATTTTTAGGGTATTTTTTCTATATTTGTGGGGGAAGGAGAGAACAGTATTAACTTTTTAAACCTTAACCTTAACATCAACCTTTTTAACTTAAAAAGTACATTTACTGTACACCTTCCATACTAAAGTCTACATAATTTCAATTTAACATTTCTGAATGTTTTCACAATAAATGTATGCGATTACTAATTTACATTTACCCCTTATCTAAAGACGAAAAAAGAAAAATTATTCACTTTTGTGTCTTGAGTATAAAATGTAAGTTTTAATTTTTGACCATTATGAATTATAAAGCTTATTATGTTTGTTATTGTTCACTTAGCCTATTCTTAATAAATGACATATCTACATTCGATGTTGTTAATTAATAAATAAACAACACAAACTTATGCATATTTTCGGAAAGTAAATAAGGCCATAATTTTTTAATTACATTTCTTATATCTTAGAATGGAGCAAGAGGTCCAGTAAATTATAAGGGAAGACAAATATTAAATACAAGAGATAATCAGGAACAACTACCTACGACTCAACCTCAAAAAGCAACTCCTCAAATTGCATGTAATTTGTCATGATATAAAATTACTCTTAAATAATATGAAATATTCAATGTATATAATTTGTTGATATATTTACTATGCTGTAGTGAAACAAAATGAAAACTGGATGCGACATGGGTATCCTGCAGCAATGAATCATGGCGGTCCTATTACTATCTTGAAAAGAGGTCCTAATGGAGCTTCACAAATAGATACACAAGTAAATTTAGATACACATTTCTTTTATAGTACTAAATACATTACAGTGAAACCTGTCTAAAACGAAATTGCACGGGATTGAAAAACTTCTTTATTAAGGAGAACGGAAAGCGCTAAATTTTATAAAAATAAAGACAAAAACGATAAGTGTCAGTTTAAAACTTTCTACCGAACTGATTTCAAACCTTTTTTTGTTATGAAGTTTAGTATCTTCTCTATGGAGGCTAAAAGACTGATTCTTTATTTTTGTTTTCAACATTTTTTTATAATCATTTATATTTTTACTTTTTTAATAAATCTAACTAAAGTCCTAATAGCTAAATCAAAAATTTTCCTTTTAGCCTCCATTGAAAAAATAGCAATCTTCACCTGAAAAAAAAATTAAATCTGTCCAATAAAAAATGACTTCTATAAAAGTCACTTTTTATCAAACTTTTGCTATAACTCGGAAAAAATAACTTTAAAAGTTTTATAGCATGAAAATCCTTATACTTTTTCATCTTAAAATTAGTCTGCATATTTTAAATGGCTACTAGATAAATTGTTGTCATATATTCTATCCTTTGTATCCCCATAATATATATATAGCCCTTTCCGTTCTCCTCAAGAAAATGCGACTGTGACTAATTCTATGGAGTAAAGTATAGGCAATTTATCGCAAAATCTTAATGTAGAGCTTTAACTAAAAGGTTACTTATTAATACAGTAATAACTAATGAGGAATCTTTAGTGATTGTATTTTTTTTGTCAGAATATAGATAAAATGGAAACTTGGATTGTTGGAAATGTCGAGGGTTTATTTGCGACCAATTTTATCACGAGTCGCAAGGCCCTTTAGCTTAAATTTACATTCTAATAATATATCACGCCCTCTTATGATAAATACCTTTTTGTTTATTAAGTTTAATTTAAAAATTTTTTTTTTGATAATTTGAAATTTAAGGTTTTTCGTGTGAAGCGTCATATGTTCTTGTGCTTACATAATATCATATTACATTTTGTTGTTCTTTAGATTAGTGGCCCAAGGCCGAACATGATCAATTCAAGTGGCCCACCTCCATATATGTTGTTTGGTGTCAATACTTCAATTCCTCCACCTCCCATAATTAACGTGCCGAGAAGAGTCAGTCCTCCTGCTATGATGGAAAACACAAATCCTGATGTTCGTTTTTTTGTAAATTAATTCTTATTATAATTCCTATAATATTGTTATTTTTTTTTATTAACAGCGATATTTTCATCCTATATCTCCATCTTTCAATAACTTGCCAACAAATCAACCACCAGTTGTTATGGCTCAACAAAGTCATCCAGTTGATTTGCACGTTACTAATTTAGACCAAAATATTGATTCTGTTGAAATGAAAAATATATTATTTAACACGTTTAGGGAACATGTCATGGTAGGAGACTATTTTGTTAGAATATTTTTGGAAATTATGTTCAAATTATTATTTATTTATTATTAGGTACTGCACGTGTCTGTATTTTATCAGTCTGATGGCAATTTCGCTGCAGCAGTGAGAGTATCTAGTCAGCAGGATGCACAATATGCAATCTCTAAGCTGCACAGGCGTAAAATCGGTTTTAAACGAATTATGATTGCTTATGCACATTCTGGTTATCCTCAAAATCCTACACTGCTCAGGTGAGTTTTTATAAAACCTAACACATTTGTTTCATAGATAACAACTTACATTTTGGTTATTCCTTTATTTGTATTATAGATCACAAATAGTGTCAATATTGACAGAAGTTCCTGGTCAACGCTTGCCACTATTTAAATTTCGTGAAATGTTTGAGAACCGTTTCATGACTTCAGTGTCTGTTTCCGATTTATTTAAAATGAAAGATGTATGTTTAATAACCGAAGAACCAAATCATAGAATAATTAGTTTAAATCCAGAACACCGTAACACACCATCTCCACTTCTTCAATCTTCTATGCCGATGTCACTTTTGGTAAGTTTTTTAAGTAGCAAAAATACCAAAAATTTGATTTCCAAGGTTTTTAGTTTACAAATAAATTAAAATTTGTCAAGAATCTGTAAGTAACTTTAAAAGTTAGAATGTGGGAAAATGGGAGATAAGTTTTGAATTAGTGTCAGTCTTTTGCTTAAAATGTCTGTATTATAATGTGAGTCAGCCTATAGGTATGAATGTTTCTTTTTTTACAAAGATGACTATATTTTTTTTTTTGTGTAGGACAAAAGTGATGCTGTTTCATATTGTCCAACTCATGCTAAAATTACTAAACCAACTGACGATAAAGGTTGGGCTGAATTGGAAATGCCTGCGTTACCTAATGTGAAAGTTTCATTGACAGAATTTTCTACGCGTTTGCATTCATTAATATCGTCACACAATAATTATTTAATACTCGCCACGTAAATATAATAATATTAGTTGATTATTTTATTTAATTCAAATTTTTAATTATATATTTCAGTATTTGCGATTGTTATGAAGCAGCATTTAATGAACCAATTCAAATGGATGAAAATGGTGTTCCTCTGGAACATATAGTTACTGCTGTTGGTGGTGTTGAGTTGCTACAAAGCTGTAGTGTCGGTATTAAGTATCTTACAACGTCATCTGCTTCCGATATAGGAAATATGTCCACTAGATCGTCTACTCAAGAATCTGACACTAAATCAGAAAGTAATTCTAAAAAAATTTCAATGATTATTAAGTTTGTCATAATTTGTATTTATATTTAAATGTATTTGTGTTTTGTTTATTCTTATAGTTAGTGTTAGTGGCTTAAAAAGTATTAGCCCACCATTAGCAAATAACTTGGCGTTATTAAGCCGTGAACTAGTTGATTTGTTAAAAACTTGTACTCATTGTACTATGTCGTTTAATCGATTTATACCAGCTTATCATCACCATTTTGGACGTCAGTGTCGTGTTGCCGATTATGGTTTCACCAAACTTATCGATCTCTTAGAAGCATTACCTAATATTGTTCAAGTATGTGCATTTATAATATGTTAATTATTTATTACACATGTGTGGGCATACATAATATATATATATATATATTGAAAATTAAAATTTTTCACTTAAACAATTTAAACTTTATGTACATAAATAGTAATTATTTTTATCAAAAAATGATCACATAGAAATGTATGGTTTTGGGTAGAGTAAAATAATATGTATAGATATTTTACTTATACAATTTTTAAAGGTGTTAAAAGTTGAAACTTCATTAAATTTAATATTTTGTCGGAGATTTTGTAAATTGTTCAAAATATTGCGCCCTGACCGGAGTCAGCTTGCCATTACTCATTGGTTAGGGTTCTGATCGATATATTATTTGGCTATTAGAATCTAATTTCTCTGTATATAGACATTTGGTTTCAGTTCAAAGCTGAAAAGGTATTGGTTTTTAATAATGAAATAGTAATTTATAGTTTTTAATTAGTTATTCATATTCTAATGACTTATTGCAAAAAAGTCCTCATTTGTAATCAATTAAAATAAACACTTCTACATTTGTATGCATTTATGTATTAATTGATGGTTTAAAAGCTAATCCAGTAAAAAATAATAATAAGCTTTAATTCAATTTTTATGCACTGAAAATTAGTGTGTTAATTGTTGGTTTATTAGTTAATCTAGTTTAAAAAAATTACAACAATCTTTAATTATATATTTAGGTATTCGGCGAAGGTAATAAACGCTTTATGACATTGGCGCATAAAGCTCAAATGCGTAGATTTACATCAGATTTACTACGTGTTCTTAAGTCGGTTGCTAGCAAGCAAGTTCCTGTTGTGGAGTTTGCGACTCTTTTTGAAAAAACACTTGGCCGTACATTTGATCCTGTCGATTATGGATTATGTTCTTTAGAAGATTTATTATCACAAGTATCTGAAAATACAGTTGTTATTGGCCATTTAGATGGACATAAGTCCGTAGCAATACCAAAACGTGAACAAACTCCAGACGAAATTGAACGTACAAAAGCATTTGCTAAAGAAGTAAGTGTTTAATATTAGTGATTGATTCATTAAACTTATTACAAATAGTTAATATTATTATTTTGATTAGTGGCTACAAACAGTTTTTGATTTTATCTCATCTTTGAAATACCTACTATTATGAAATTAATTATTTATTTAGGTAATTGAGTTATTGAGTCATGCTCCACAATGTAGTTTATTGTTTAATAAGTTTATTCCTTCTTATCATCATCATTTTGGCCATCAATGTAAAGTAGCAGATTTCGGATTCACAAAACTGATTGAGTTATTTGAAGCAATACCTCATATTGTTAAGGTACTATTAGGAGTATAACAGCTGTTTTTGTGTATTGGTTGTGGTACTACATAATGTTTAACCCACTCATTTTTATTTGTTTGTGAATTTAAACTTGTATGTTATTTATTATCATTTTTTAACTTTGTGAATAATTGTGATTTTTATGTTTTTAAAGTACTGTTTTAAAATTCAATTGAAATTTAGATTGAAGATGACTTGGAGGGTGAACGTCGTGTATCGCTAACTACAGAAGTAAAACAAAATGTGCTTGGCGAACAATTGGCTGCATTAGTTACTTATCCCTTGCCGATAAGCCAACTACAAAATGCATTCTTGTGGCAATATGGGTATGCTCTTAAACCTTCTATGTATGAATGCGAAACATTATTAGATTTACTACAAAAACTCAGTGACGCTGTTAAGGTTAGTTATAGACAGTAATTAATGCTATTATTTTTAGTTTTCTTCGCCCTGGCCTTTTTTTATTTTAATAACAAATAATAATTTGAAGTACATTTTTATTTGGAGCAACAAGAATTTTTTATTTGAAATACATTTTATTAATTTACTGTTTAAAATAATACAGTATGTCATAGATTATTAGTATATTAATGTCAATATTAAAAATGTATGTTATCTTAAACTTTATTTTTCTGACTCGATAGGAGATTTTCGGGTTCTACACATTTTTAAATTTTTCAACTTTTTTGTTTCCCCTCAAATTTTACAATTTTCAAAAATCCAATGTATTTTATTTAAATACATTCATATTTAAAATTTCAAATAATCTGGTTTTTAAAATAGTTAAAAAAATTAAAATTAAATTAATTTTTTTATTTAAACTTATTTTAAGTAAATACTATTTTTATTTAAATTATTATTTAAACAAAAAATGATTTAGCTAAAATTGAAATTTTTTTTGAAACAATTTATTCAGTTAATTGTATTTATATTTTGAAATTTTATTGAGATTAATTGTATTTTTAAAATAATTATTTGAACAAAATTAATTTTAATAATTTTCAGGTTTGTTTTTATTTAATATTTTTTTATATATATACAAAAATTTATTTCGTTTTTTAGATAATAGATAATCACGGCGAGCTATTATTGATAGCTGTAGATCGTAAAGAGGCACAACAGTTATCTTTGAAAGTGAGAAGAGTACTAATGGAACATTCTTCAAATGACAGAATGTCTGTTTTACAATTTCAGTCTGTGTTTCAGTCAATGTTTGGCGAATCAATTTGTAATGAAACTATACAAGAGAAGCTTAGTGATAGTGTTAATGTAAACTATTTTAATTTTACAATTAAAGCTATATATTTCTTTTTTATTTGAATATTATACTAAAAAATATGTTTAGATTATCAAAACCAAATTTGGAGAAGAATATATTCAGCTGACCCCAATACAGCTGTTTGCCCAAGATATTTATCGTTTGTTAATGATGACTGATGGCCGATTACTATTGTCATCCCTTGAGGCTGCCTACTTACGCATGTTTGGCACAGCTATTCAGCCAGCAGTTTATGGATATCAATCAGTGATAGCACTATTGACTAGTATTAGTAGTACAGTTCTTATTAAAGGAAGGCCGCCAAAACGTTATATTGTATTGAATCGGGAACTTGCTAGTAAGCGTTTGTCCTACCTCCTTGTGTTCAAAGCCATATTTTACTTTTTACTTACTAGACTACATCAATTTTGTAGGTGTTGGAATAAATTTACCAAATAGTGTAATCAAATCTTCCTCGCCAGAACCAGTAGATAAAAATAATTGTAATGGAAAGGCTGCAATTAATGGAACCAATCAACATGACATAAGCTATAATGAGGGTAGCCTAATACCTGAAGAAAACAAAGTAGATATATAATTTGAATTAAATAATTATATATGTAGAAAGCACATAAAGTTAACTCATTATCTTATTGAGGTTAAATTAAATTTCAAACTTAACTTGTATGTAATGGAAATGATGATAACAGGCCGAGTTTGACATAAATGTTTGAGATGTGGTTATAGATTTTCTGTTGGTTGAGATAATTTATTATTTTCCGGCATTGAAAAATATGATTCGTTGAAAACATTATCTGTATGACAATTCTCGGAAGCGATCTGGTTTTCTGATCCGGGTAGAATTAGTATTATTTTCAAATTTGGCTTTGATGCAAAGCTTAAATATTTTATTAAGATTTATTTACAATTTTTAACGCTAGTCAAAGATATTTTTTTTTTAAATGAAACTTCTATATGTAGGGTCGAAAAAAATGTACGGCAGATTTTACCGTTTGGAAACAAATCTTACGGAAATGAATCTGATAGGTTATTGGAAGTAAATATAAGAAAATATATAAGAGTATGTAACCCAGTATTGTCGTTGATAAATATTGTACAGTACCAGGACTGCATATGATCATAGACAATGCAGCGTTCCGCAGGCCAATCTGTAGTACATACGTCACAGTATCAGGGTCAAATGAAAAACAGCTACTTATTAGCTCTTTACTGTTTTAATCTGCAGTGCAACAACATAAGGCTGCTATAGGTCGCACCTTGATACACAGAATTCTGTCGTCATAGCCATAGCCACACAACTTCAAAAGAAATTCTACTTTATCTGTGCATTCTAGCAACATACACATTTTTTTAATTTTTTGTTATTAATGATGATAAATCAATGATGAAGTTTGGTTTGTGCTAAAAATGATGAACTTGGGGGCCATATGACACAAAATAGATTTAATATGTTGGATCTGTTGATTTTCTAGTCCGGTTCTCTGACATTTGAATCTAGTTTGTGTATGCTTTTTCCCAATAATCTGATTTACCACATACTTTTTTTTTTTATGGAGTGAAAAACTCGAGTGTTTGTCAGTAGCCACTCCATTTTTTATTTTTTTTATTTTAAATTAGCGATTCTGTTTGTATATTTTTTAAGTTTTAAATAATGATTAATGTACTTAAATTAAATAAATGATTTCTAATTTTATATCAATGAAAAAAAAAAAAAATAATAAAATTATCACCTATAAATTATTATTATGATTTATAATTAAATTATAGTGATGACATTTGATTAGGCCGAGCTGATAGATGTGCTTCTATTGAGAAATTTATTAATTTAATTCTAATTGAGATGGTTAACATCTCTTGGAATTAATTGTTCTCTTAGTTGTCATAACCTATGTGATAATCTCTCGGAAACGATTCATTTATCTGATTTATTTTTTTATAATTTAAATGTTAATATTGTATTAATAATAAATTAGGGTCTTCAACTATATTTTTTAAATTAAACTATTTCAAAATTTTTCCTTTATTTGATCGCAATACTAAAAAAAAAAATCGCAGTCAATATTGTGAAAAAGCAATTTATTAATATAAATTAGAATTGATCGGTATTAACGATAAAAACAGACATAGTTAGTAAAAATTAATTAATACTTTATATAATGTTGCGATATTTTAATGTAAAAGTGAAAAAATTATTGACAATATGACAATATCGCTGAAGACCCCATATAAATTATTAATACAATATTAACATTTAAATACAAAAAAATAAACCAAAAAGGATGTTATAATTAATTTTTATTTTTTAATAATTATATTAGCTGTTGGGAAATGACTAGTTTAGTAGCTTAAATGTTTTAGAGTAAGTAACCTATTACGATGAATTAAAACAAATCAATGAAAAATATAAATAAAGATAAAATATATTAAAAAAAATTAAATATTTATACTCGTTTTCAGACACCACTAGTTAAACTACCTGACTTGAAATTGCATCCCGATATTTTCAATATGAGTCCCATGTCGCTAGTAAACAGTTCTCCGCCTCAAGCGCCACATCCATCTCAAGTACCAATGCCAACAGAATTGTGTCCACCGTTTGGTGATAAGGCATATAAAACACATACTAGCATTAACAATAACAATCACTATGGGGAGAAACAACTGTGCTGTCCTATGATTGGATCCAACAAGCCAGCAAATATCCATGAACAAGAAGGTAACTTTTAGAACATACAATAATTTTGATTACATAATTATTAGTGAAATATAATGAATGAAATTTGTTTTAATTAGGCAATCAGTGTTTTGGACCACAAATAAACAACCGTTTTCATTCCTAAATTAATTTTGCTAGGAGTTCACTAGTTTTTTAAAATGAAAGACGTAAACTAAAAAATATATTTATATAAAAAAAATAGGCTATAGGTATATTGTATTTTTATATAAGGACTGACTATCACTCCTAAATAACTAAACTTTTTTTATTCGTTTGATTTTTAAACAAAACATTTTCCTTGAGAAAAACTTCTTTATATTTATATATATATATACAAAGTCTTTAAGAATAATTAAAAAAGTGATGTGTTAATTGATCTCACTTTTGATTTTTATGTGTTCACTAGATGTTTTAATTTATATTACGTTTGTCGCATAATTATATCATAATAATATAAATAATATATATCTATTTATCTATATATCTACAATGTTTAACTTAATAAGTAATAATAATTTGTGATAAAGTATGTTAATAATTCAGATTTATATAGTCTGGAACTATTATTTGAAATGTTCTTCGTACAATAAGATTAACAATATATATTATATTAATTCATTATGGATTTAGAGTTAACATTTAGTTAAAACCAAAAGGTTCATACACAATTAGTTTTGCTCCATGTTCGAACATAATATGTAATATATTTTATTTTTTGGATATTTATTTAATAGCATTAGTGCATATTTTTGAAATAATAAATTATGTGTTTTAAAGGTATAATATAATTTTTATTACCAAACTAGAAACACAAAACAAAGTAAAAAATGTTAGTTTATGTTTTTTTTTCAACATTTTAAATTACTAATCAGTGGTCCCTAGTTAATGAATTTTGGTTCAAATTGTTTCATGTACTTGTAGTTATGTTTGAAACCACCACAGATTACAATGAGACATATTTATACATATAATTATAATTATAATTATAACTATTATTATTATTATTATTGTTATTGTAAAATGAAGCATTTTTGCTATCATTGTTTTTTCTCTTGGTAGCTTTAAATGGCCTAATTTTGTTAAAAAATGTTTTATATTAAATTATAATATAACAATATTCTATTAAGGATCATGATAATAAATTGTATTTCCAATCGAAAATTAAATTATCTGGAATTGGCATAAATGAAAAAAAGTGTAGTACCTACTTAATTTAATTATTTCAAGCTAGTTAACATTGTATATGTTTATATTCATATTCCTATATTATTAGTGTCAATATATTGACAAAATACATATTCCCTTTTTTTTTCAATAAAATCGAATTTTCAACAAAGTTTTTTTTTTTAATTTCATTAATGTGCAAAGTATATAAATAGCAAATACTATGCTTAATTTAAGTAATGTTTTATTATGCGATGTCATTACAGCTTTTAGAACATGGACGATTCACCTTAATCTCATATTTCCTATTAGTTCGTAAACTATGATGATAATTATTATGTATGTGCCAATATTTAAAACATTATTATTATAATAAAAAAGTTCATTTATTTTTTGTTATTTATTTCGTTATCGACCCGTGTTCAAGAAATGTTAACCATTTTCTAGCATGTATTTCAGTTTTTACGCAAAATCGAGAAGGTATTGTTACAATAACTTTAAACCGGTGGACCGATACAGACATTGATCAATTATGGATCGAGTTAGTAACAATTAATTTAGTATTAAGTTTGCTAGTATAATATAGGCAATCAATTCTGATAAATGCCGTACCAATTTTACTTGCACTAGATTGTAAGATAACGTTTTACCACCTACTTGTTAAGGACTTTGATATTGACAATTTTTCGAAGTATGTTTAGTTAAAGCTCGTATAACCTTCATGCTGATGAGTTTCAGGTATATCCGTGTCACTATTTTTAAGCCGACGCGACGTTCGGATTTTGCAGAGTCCATCTTCAGGGCGATGATAGTCACGACTGTCGGGCTGTTGTGGCCATACTGAAACATAGCTGAACAGTCGTGACTGTCATCGCCCAGAAGATGGACTCTGCAAAGTATATTAATTTGGTGAAATTGAAAATGGTGTTATCAAATAGACGTTCGACCAAGTAATATCTAGTTGTTCCGATAAAGTTCAGCAGAGAATAACTCCGTAATTTTTGTTTTAACTTTATTATTTAAACGTATACAATGATTGTCTGATTCTGAATATATTTTATAATGAATATGTATACACGTTTTTAGTATTTAATATTAATTTTATACTATATTATATACCAAACAAAAAGTTTACAATTTAATAGTAAAAAAAGTTCTTTTTTTGTACGAGAAAAATATTATAATTTAATTTTAAGTTTATAGAAAATAGTTTGTAATGTATCTTTAGAGTAATTTGGAGCTAAAATCTAATCTGTCGGGCTTACTCTCTCCAAGCATCCTCCTAGTTAGAGCCAGAGCATACGTGGGAGGGGGGAGGGGGCGTCCGACCCAACATGCTATCCATAATTTAGCTCTGTGTACATTTGTTCATAAAACCATAATGCATATGCATTCTAATAGTTATTATGGCTTATGCTTTCAAATTAATAGAAAATTATTGACATTAAATATAGGTATTAATTTAACACACTTTTAAAAAATATCCTTTTATAACTGTTACAAATCAAAACTATAATAATCCAGACACTGGGAATTGCATCTCTGGATCGTACCAATGAAGTGACATCAAGAATTGTTTCACGAAATGTTGAGCTAAGGTCAATTAAACATTCTTTGATATCATCGCAGAAGATATCTGAGCACAGAGGAGTGGCCGAGTGGGTAAGGTGGCAGTGTGTTAGCGCTCGCTGTCGCCGGTTCGACACTCGGTCACGGGCGCTTCGTTTGCCGGGCGAGCAATCGTCCGGCGAAAAGGAACTGCCACCCCCCTCTCCGGCGTCGGACTGATCCTGACGATAAATGATAATATATAATATTATTATTATTATTACTATTTTGAAAGTCAGTAATTGTTATAATACACAATTTATAAATTTACAAGATGCATTCAGCCCGGCGGTCATAGAAATCATACGGTCCAGTGGAACTATTTCCACTGTCCAACCGGGCCAATCCGTCTCTGGCTACTGCTAAATGGTAATACAATTTCTTCAGTTTAGTCCTAATATTATTTTGTTTATTATTTCTGAGTAGATTTTTTGTCACAATGCATATTTGTTCTTCATTCAATTTAAAGATTATATTATATATTATTACATTTTATTTGAATTTTATCCATTAAAAAGATTAACTGATGATTTTTATATTAGCAATAACTGTAACACATCAAAGAGTTTCTAAGAAAAAAGGGGCGTCTCTTGTTCAACAAAAAAACTATTTTGTTGTTATAATGTAGGTAAGGCACTAATAAAGAACGATAACTAGTAAGTTAAGCGTTCATTTAAGAATATTACTGCCGAGGTGTTAGAAAAAGTAACACTTTCATTAAGTGATGCTTAAAAAAATCTTCTATTAAGTTTTGGCTTAAAAGATTTTTTTTAATTCCATGGGCGCATTGTGGTCTGACTACACATATGCTTGTTTAAACTACAATTGAAAAAAAAAATCATATTTTTTGCTACACAAATAAATTCCTTGCTATCTTATTATTTATTTTTATATTTTGAAATTTAAACGAACTCTAATATTGTATTTTCATTTAAGGAAGTGGTGAAGTATATTATATTAATTAATTTTACTGACTCTCCACAGTCCACCGGGAGTTCTACAAGGGACAAAAATAGAAATAACCTAAGAAATAAAATTGTAGAATATACCTAACCTATGCCTTTGTTTGTTCTGCGTCTTTATTTTATAAAACTTATATTAGATATCAGATTAGAAGAAAATTCCGGACCAGGTAACCAGCGTGGAACCGACAGGTCTCAATTATCAACTAACTTATAAATAATTATATTTTCAGACTAAACGCAAAATTATCCGGGATCGTAGTGGTATTGTATGTCAAACGAGATGAGATTGATATTATGGATTGTATTTTGGTTTATTTGTAACCAAAAAGTTTGGGAGATTTTAATTTGAAGCCTTGCACGTAATTCCTCGGTCAATTTACTTTCGCAACCTAGCAATGGCGATTCGGCGGCGCGCTGGTTAGGCAATCTCACTACGTAAACGAATGCGTGTCGATCACGTTCACCGCAGTATAATCCTACGGCAGAATAATTGCCCATTATTAATACTGATGTAGTTCGATCAATAACATTTGTCTTGGATACTTCCTCGAATCTCGATATATGTACCTCGTTGGTTTAAGAACAATAATTCTAATGTTTACTCTCTCGCGTACTTGAGAGTTCACCTACATAAAATACATTACTATGATTCCAGTGAGTTGATCATATATAAATACAATTAATACATACTCACATAATGTGTTTAATTTGTATTTTATAATAATAATAAAGTACTATTATATTGCAGTATTGTGAGATGTGAACAAAACAATGAGTATAGTATTTATAATATAAAATTATATTTTCTGTTGTCTTTCATTTACAATTACAATGTTACTTTGTGTTCAAAGTTTTTATATACTATAATAATTTAAGTAACAAACTTTTCAAGGTAATTTTGTTATTAGTTAAGAATAACTCAATAAGTTATTTGCTATACAAAATAGCCCGGTTAGTTAATAAGTTATAGCATCGTAAACGTAACTTTAATCCTACTAACTCGTTATAACCCGGCTTTGACTGATTAACCGAATCACTTGTCACTTCAAAAAAAAAATAGGGCGGGAAACTTGAATAATTTTTTAATTTCTACCACTTACCAATTAACCTTTCTTCGAGCTTCTACATATTAAAATTTCGCGGTAGCAACTGCTTTGAACATCTTTCTGAGCGCCAATGAATCTGTCTTTCGCCACGCGAAACTGTCATACGTTTCATATATCTATCTACACCTTTGGTTTTAAATAGGTTTACATACTGATGGAAGTCGGTTATTACAAAATCGAATGAGAAAACAAATTTAATTGTTATAAACTATGTTTAATTATATAGTAAGCGATTTTGTTTTATTACTATGTCCTTGGCAGGGCTCCTAATTTTGTTTTTGGGGCGCAGTTTCACTAAACAAATATGGGGTGCTTAAACACACAAATATGTTCCAGTTTCATAGTACATATTTCATGTATAAAGAGCATTCATTGAATAAAAAAAGCGTTTAGCACACTCAACCCCGTCAAAATTACACTTGTAGTTAGTACCGGTGTCGTATTTCCATACAATTATAGGTATAATTTCTTTGTGCAAATTGTCGTTTAACCGCGGTAACGGTTGACTCGTTAATTTCACTCGGATCAACTAAAAGCGCGATGATATCACGTGTATCGCGTACATATTTATACATACCGTGTGATAAAATAGTGTTTACAAAACAGACGGTCGTGTATTTTAAGCGTTGTATCGCGGTTTCGGGTACCCGCCGGACTGAATGTCAAGTTCGGTGTGTTTACTTTGCCTATATATACTCACACTTACCCGTTTATTTAGTATATTTCAGTATAGAGGTTCCTCCTGTTGACTGCCGAGCGGTCGTCGTTCGATCTCGTGTCCGCAGATACTCGCGACGGCTACGGTCATCAGGGCACGAGATCAACCCCCTTCCCCCTCCCCCCGCCCCGTTGTTCGACGGTCATTGGTGGAACGGGGCAAAGGCGGTAGCGCGGCGGCCGGTCGGCGCAACAGGATGTAAGCGTACACTGACGCTCGGATAAACACACACACACAACTGACAAGTCGTGGGCGAGAAACAGCGCGTTTCAGTCTGTGTGTGTCGGTCGCGCTGAGTTCACGACTCGCGTTTCCCGCGCTTAACCGTCGCCGCGATAACCCGCGTTCGCGATTTTTCCATCACGTTATTATTATTATTTCGGTTCTGTCGTGTTATTGTTGTTTTTGTTTCTAAAATCGTCATCATTGTGATTACCGTCGATTTCCGGTCGAAGGACAACGTCCGTCGTAACGACTTTCCCTCGTCGGGCCACCGAACGAACCATGTCTCGACCCGACTATTAATACCTATACATAGGTATTATTATACCCTGGTCATTGTACGCGGTGGTATTTAGATTTTGACACCGTTCAAAGTCGCGTGGCCGTCAGAACGCGGTGCATGGATTTCGCGGAAAAGTATTTTTGAGTGAGTTATTTTTTTTTGTCTAAAAAAACATTTGTATCTACGTGTAAAGCCGACCAGCCGATCCCTTTTAAATTATCGCGTTAATTCCATTAACGTTTACGAAAAATGGCCGTACGCCAGATTTCCATAATGACGTATCGATAATAATATAGCGTTTATCCCGTCGGGTTATAAAAAACGTTTTACGGGTGCTCGTACATAGTACACACTAATAGATACTCCTCCGGTTGTCCATCGGTTTACGTTATCGTTGTAGCCGATTTCACGCATACTTAAAAATTGTTATTTTTCAATTAGAAAACGAAACGGTTCGAAATTTAACGAGCTATTTCATCAACAAGAAAAGAGTAACTACTTAAATCGTCACATTTTATCGAGTTTAAAGAATAGGTATCGCTGCACAGAACTGCATTCCGACTGCGCAATACTCAACACTTCAAAATAATGTAACTTATTTACAACATATAGATTATAGATATATAAGTAGTACATATAGACAGGTAGTGCTTGTTATAATTAACAAAAGTCAGACAAAATAAACCATGTAGATTGTTTGAACATTTTTAAGTACTTTTACTTTACTTGGCAAACATAATGAAATAATCTGAACTACCTACGTAATATTTGTACTGAAAAATATTTATTACTTTAGAACTTCAAAATAAATGTTCAGCCAAAAGTCAATATATTTTATTACATTTTCAAAGGCAAGTTTAAATTACTACTATATTATGAAACATTTATTAATTTTAACTTATTTTAAAGAAGCATTTTATTTGACAACATAAATTTGTATATTCTACCGCAGTAGGCCAGTGTAATAAATGTTACACTTATAGCCTTTTGGTCAACTTTAGTGTTTACATTTATATGGAAATGCACGCAGCGAAATTAAACAAACACAACTAACACTTTTAAAATGGTCTACCTTTGTATTTTTAGGTACATTAAAATGAATACATACATTTTTTGTAATAATTCAATTATTTTCATTTAATTCAAATTAGTTGTTGAATATGTAATAATGTGTAAATTATTATGTGGAAAAAATTGTTAGAAAGTAATATTACATATTTTTTTTCATTTATAAATACTTAATAATAAAAACCCTGTATATTACAAGAATTTATGTTGTCTATATTTTTTACATACGGTTGCTATATTTGATTAATTATTTGTCATACAAACATGTACGATGGTAGGTGTTAAATAAAATAATGTTTTATTAGCTTGGTAAGAACTAAGAACCGACATCTAAATCTTAAGAAATAGGTAGTAAATTAAAAAAAAAGCTAATTTAAAATGTATTTTTGACTCACAACTGAAAAATAAGTAGTTCATGTTAAATAAAATCGCCAATAATTTTAATATGTTTAAACCTTCGACACGAATTTATAAATTATGAGAGTAACATATATTTTTTTAAAGATTTTAAAGTTATCTAAATAGTTTCATACAGTTTCTTCTAAAAAAATTGTTTAAAGATTGATTGATTAATATATATATATTATAGGCGTTAAGTAAATACTATTTTATCATTCTACCTAATAATATTGTTTATTTATTGTATACTTAATGCTAATAATAAAATGACTAAAACTCAACCTAATTAGAAAAATTGTGGTTAAATAAAAGACAGTGTTCGAATATAAGTAAAATATTTAATTTTATTTGGTACTTATTTCGATATTATACGTTTCATAAAGTTTCACAAGGTTTGAATGTAAGGGTATTAAATTTATTTTGTAAATATAATTAAATTAGAATATAAAAAAGTTATAAGTTACTCATTATTTGTTGTAAATTTTACGAAGTTTTTTTATTTATGGGTTGCGACGTTATCCTTTTTCATTTTATTTCTATACAGTTGACAAATATTCTAAATATTCTTTTATAGAAAATGTCATTCATAAAAATCTGAGATATCACAAATGAGAATATCGATATGTCATGTATACGTTATGTATAATATCTTTGTAATACTACAATTTATATAATTACTAAAACACAAAGTAGGCCATTTATATTTATATATTGTTTATAATCTTATAATATTTTTGTCTTATTCAAAATAACGTTAATACTCACGACTTAAATAAATACAGAATAAATAATTTTCTCGGAACATACCTAATACAAATTTTGTAGTTTTTATTTTTGAATACATTTTTATGTATGTTATTGTACAATTTATAAAATTATTTACCTTTTTTAGTCCAGAGCTTTGTCAACTTTTAAAACTTAATGGTAACGTATAAATAGTAAACTAACTTTTTAAAGTAAGAATAATTTGCTGACAAATTTTACTGGTCGATAACTAATTTTTTGATATTACTTGAAAAGTAATTTGAGTTCAAAATTTAGGACGGGAGGAGGAATGCGGTTGAGTGATACCGCGTAGATAAAAATAATAATTCACTTCACCCTTACTGCTGTCCTAAACTTAAAACTCTAATAACCTTAAAAGTAGTTATCCAAAACTGGTTATCGACTAGTCAACATTTTCAGCAAATTATTCTTAATATAAAAAGGTAATTAAATATGTACATTATATTACAAAATACATACATTACAATATATACGTTTCCAATCAAATTTCAAAAGTTGATAGAGCTTTGGAAATACTAAAAAAGGTAGATTTTTGGTAATTTTATAGTATTGTACTATAATATAAATAAAAATGTTTTTACAAAGAAAAACTGTAAAATTGTAATTGTTTTTCGAGAAAATAAGTGTCTAACGTTAAATTAATACTCTACATTATAATGCAACTAACAAAACTTAAATATATAATTTAAGTTACAGTTAATTTATTGGATGATTCAGTTACCTTAGTAATCTTTTCATTTTAGCAATTGGAAGAGGTTATTGATTAAAGTATTAAAATACTTATTTTGTTAATCTAATAATGTCTCTTTTACATCCCCATAGGTTTTATTATAAAATTCCAATGGGCTGAGACAATTCATATGTAGGGTTTTTAAAATTGTTCTTGGTTAACTCTGAGATGCAATGATATAATAAGAATTATGGCTGGCTTGCAACAGAGACCTAAAGCGTGAAAAATATTGCATCTACTCAATGCATCCCTAATCAAACCTTGATCTCACGCGTTAAAACATATGTTTAGATAAATCGACCACGGTGCGACTTCGATTGTTTTAAAGGAAAAATAGAAAATTTTTAGAGTAAAACATATTTTTTTATTTGAATGTATAAAATTGTTCGTGGTGTATGTGAAAGCGATAAATTAAAAATTACCCAACTGAGTTGAGTTCAAATTTTTGAAATTCAGTGACTTTTTGCGAAGGATTTAATGAGGATTTTCGACTCTTCGTATTCTCCCTGTCCATGCTTAACCACAATCTGTTTAAATAAAGTTTAAACTTAATTTTAATTGATGGCGAAAACCCAAAATGAAACCAAATAGAACGTGTCAATTTTTAAGCGACGCTGAGTACAACAGTACTTTTTATGATATATATTCATAGAGATATAGTTTTTTTCAATTTAGGGTTCTAGGTATTTTAATGAATGAGCGGAGAGAGAGGATCAGTGAAGTATTATTTTTAGCTGTGTTGTTACATACTGTGTTACTCGTTTAGTGCTCTTTTAGTTTAGTCTTATAATCTTATAACACTAATAATATTGTAACCCAATAAGTATTTATACAAAACTAGTAATCAGTCTGTCATTTTTTTAAAACATATTTTTTTTACAAATGGTTATTTTGAATTCGGTTTAAGTTAACAAATCAAGGTCTGATAAGCGGCATGATGACAATAATTATTTCTCTCAAAATTGTTTAAACCTAAGTCTTTAATTCGATCCCAAGTTATGAAAAAAATTGCTGTAGATACATGTGAATCTATTAATTCTCGTTAAAATTACTTGCTAAACTGACTATTAAAATGTAAACAATTATAAAGACAATTCATCAAATTTAATTTATTTTTTCGTTTGTACAGTCGTACAATGTTCAAAATATATCCCCTGAGTGGAAAAATTGTACTTTGAGGAATTCAAACATCTAGTTAACTGGTTAAATGATAATTCATCATTTATCTTAAGAGGATGTGTATATACGATTTTTTTATAAAAAAATACTGCGTTTGTATTTCAAATGATACGAATTTTTCAATGAAAGGTGATAACTAATAAGTTTACCATGTTTTTTTGGAATTCGATTTTTATAGTTGACATTTTTTATATTTTACATGCAACTATATAAATATTACTATATTATGATATTTTTGTTAAGTAGTAATGCTCGCTTTTTAAATAATTTTTTCAAAATTAGATTCCAACAAATAATCTTTGTTTCTTCATTGTTTAAATAGAAAGAGAAATTTGGAATTTTCTTTACTTGAAACTTCACGGTATTTGTTCTACAAAAAATAGTTTTTATGGACAATTTTTGAAATTTCTGCTGTAGAAATGACTGTGGTAGTCTGACAAAATAAAAATAATCCTTATTGCTATATTAACAAGTATGCACTATAGTTCTAAATTAAGATTTTGCGAAAAATTGCCTATACCTTACTTCTTAATAGATGAATGGTGTGGCGTTCTCTTCAGTGTTCTAAACATTATACTTTTTTACATTTGCAACAGAGGGTTAGGGCTGGTACTGACGTCAGTCATTTCACCCCCTATACATTTTACTTAAATTGCTATAAGATTTTACCTGTAGGCAGTAGCTATATGAACGTACTGCTTATATTTGTAAAATAATGATAACTTTTTTAACTGGGATAACAATCTTATAAAACTCTCATGAATCCACAAATGAAGTAGAATAATTGAACAAAAAATGTAAATTAAGCTTAAAAACCAAGCTATGTATTATACATTTCAGTGTAAAGATTCGTTACTTTAATTTTTTATTACAATAAAATGTATACTCATGATTTTATAATGAATATATTAAAATTTCGAAAAGTTATATTATGATAATTTCAGAAAGAATGTAAATTTTCATTTCTGTTTTTAGATAAAATAAGTGAAATATAGTTGTATAAGAAATATATAAAATATTTCTTTTTTCGTGTTGTTACTATTATATTACGAATTTATTCTAAATACTTGATAAAATGTGTTGTCACTGTTCTATTTTTGATTCATAATCACTAATCAGTAATCTAATAAGTAACATTTTTTTCAAAAAGAACTATAAAACAAACGTTTTTGAGTTTCCCGTTACGCAATAAGTAGTATGAAAGTCGTTAGATTTGTATTTATAAAATAATGGTAAAGCACACGCACGGATTTGTATTGTAAATACTAATAGAAAACAAAAGATAACTAAGTTAAGCTTACTAAGAGGTACTAAGCTATGTAACGTGTGTAACGAACCTACTCGGTTAGCTGGCTAGGTTAGGCAAAGTGGCCGTCGATAAGGCTAAAATAGACAGATCCCCACAGGAAAACGGTTGGTTAGGCCGCTTCTATGTCTAAGTAGCCTTAAAGTCTCCCTTATTAATTTAATATATCGCCCAGGGAGCTAGAGCGGGCGGTCACACTGTTAAATAATCTAACTTTCAGCTGCAGTCTACTAGATGTTTTATTTTAAACTAAGGTCGCTACATAAAATACAAAATTATACAATATATATACATGTATACACACTCTGACCTGGGTTGGACGATGGAATGGTTGGTTAAAGCGGAGTTGAAACGGACGCACACAAAAGATAGTCGGATGGACGGCTGTAGCAAAACGGCAAAAATATAGGGCGCAAGGTCAAGGGTATTGGCGGTCCGCGATGGTAAAGTAAACTGGTTAATTAGGTTGAACGTGGGGTGCATTGTCCTGTGTGTGCGACTGTTCCCATACCTATAATCGGGGGCGCTGTGTCGGTAGGTTTGGGACGCGAAGGAACGGTCAGGTGAAATGTGATCGTGTCACGTGTATATGATACAAAGCATGTTATAATTATTTAGTTTATTCGGCCTTTTTTTGAATACGTCTATAGTTTTAAGAGTATTATTGTAATATTATTTATTTCAAAGTTAAATAATCATATATTTTCTGGGTTGGTTATTTTTAATAATATGTATTTTTAATATTTTATTGATTTCTACTTAAAAGAGTTAAGTCAGCTGAAAATATTAACTTATTCTGAGTTAGGAAATTAAAACGTTCTACATGCATTAAAGGGAACGAAAAGCGCTGTTTATTAAGGAGCAAAGGATAGGCATTATATGACATAAATTGATATAGTAATTTAAAAATATATCGATTAATTAAAAAAATATTAAGTTATTCCAGTAATAAAACTTTTCTTTGAGTTATATCGAAAGTATGATTAAAAATGACTTTCGTAGAAAATCATTTTCCAACGTATCTATTGGACGGATTTCAATTTTTATTTTTTCGTGAAGCTTATTTTCTCTATAAGAACTAAAAGACCGATTTTTGATTAAATTATTTGATAATTTAATTAGTTAGATTTATTAGAAAAAAACTATTAAAAAAGTAAAATATAACAACCGCTTGTAACACAAATATTGAAAACAAAAATAAAATTGAATCGGCTTTTCAGACCCCCATAGAAAAGATATTTATCTTTATAACAAAAATAAATTTGAAATCGGTTCGGTAGGTACTTCAGAAAGTGACTTAGCGTTTTAGTCTTTATTTGTAAAAAAATTTGGCGTCCTCCGTTCCACTAAAGCTATGATGTTAATACTTTTGTTTTTTAATTTAATGTCAATCGTACTAGGTTTGCTCTCTTTTTTTACTTTTGATTAAATAATATAAATAAATTCATTAGGCTGTAACAATCAGGGGAAATAGATTCAAGTTAGATGCACTTATGTGATTATTGTATCGTTTTTTTTTTTCTAAACAAACTTCTAAACAGTTATTTTTTCATTGAAGTACCTGTCCCTTTTGTATTTAGAATTATATACCTAGTATTAAATTAAATTATAATTATTAATTTTGGATGATTGTATTTTAGGGCTTCTTTTGAAGTATTATTGCGATGAGGCAATCTGCGGTCAGTGGTATAGAGGAATGTGGATATCGGCGAACTAGCTGCCATCATAGTTTATTGGTTCGGAGTAGCTCAGAACCAGACATAGTCGCGGTAAGTGGTTATCCAGGTAGTTTAGACATGGAGGCATACGATGAAGAGGAGGACGAAGACGATCCCGAAGATGAAGGAGACGACGATGACTGTATAGATGCAGAACGTAACCAGCAGGAACAACTGCCATACCCGGGATTTGTACCCATTTCCATGAAGTACTTGGATCAGAAGTCTAGACCCAGAAATTGGTGTTTAGCCATGATCACAAATCCATATCCTTTTACTACAATTTTTAAAATGATTATTTATAAAAAACAAAAATGATTACAAAGAAAAAGCTAAAACAGTTGAACAGCTAAAAAACATTTAATTGAAAATTTTTTGTTCGTATTCTTTTTCTTTAGTTATCTCAACATAATATGTACATTAAACCTTTATATTTTTAATTTGTATTGCGATGTAAAATGTTTGTTCCCTTAAATTAAAATCTGCCTGAAATCATATTTATTATTTTTGTTTACAAAGTATTTACAATAATGCAAAACAAATAATTGGCGTATGAGATTAATTTGTTTTTCACAGTGTATACAAACATTTATAAAAGTAACGGTAGCCGGGGACTAAAATATATAAATGAGGGTTGCTATTTTAGTTCTGTTTTCAATTAAAAAACGGTTTTGATATGGGATACATAGGTGATTCGGCAACTGTTATTTGAATTATAACAAGCGTATAATGAAATAAACCACAATTAGAGAAGCGTTAAATCCCACAGGATTTTATATTTATTTTATATTGTATGAACACGTATACGATTTCGATAGTGTATACATATTTATACACAATAGTGTTACGGGGTTTGACCCAATTAATAGCCTGGAGTTTCAATTAATGTTTTTACTTTTAGAAAAATGGGCATGTAAAATGTATGACACAACGTTCACAACTGCGTTTTGAACAACAAACTATTAGATTATAACTCTGTAAAATATGTGATGTTTTAAACAATACAGGTGATGTTTATTTATATTTATTAATTATTTTATTAGATTATTGAAAACCTATTAATAAATTAAGTATAGTGTAATTAGTAATACATATAATCTAAATTCTAATATATTTAAAATATAAAGTGTACAATTTTATTTGTTGGTTTAAAGTTAAGCTATAACTTCTATAAAACAAATCGTAAACTATATTTGATACTATCATTAGAAAACAGACTAATTTATATCATAACCCGCAAAAACAAATAACATTAAACTAGGTATGGAAAATTATGAAAATTTAACTTTGTGGACTATTTCTCATATCATTATATGTATTTTGGAGATAATTAAACTTAATGAATGTAATAAAACTATGATGTAAATCGTATGACCATCGGATAGGTTTATTTTAAAAATATTTCAACAAAATAATATGATCGATGTAGTATGTCCCGGGAAAATCAACATTTAAGTTAGGATAAGTATGTATGTAGCTAATAATATAGTGTCATGTATTTGACTACAAAGTAATTGATGAATATTAATGTCCTATGAAATCTCACTCTACTTTTTTTTAACTTTTAACTTTTAATATTTTACAAATGGATAAATAATACTGAATTACATAATTTATAGTAATTATAGGGGTGAAAACTGTGTGGTAGGTAGTTTTTTTCCAACGAAACTTTCATATAATGATTATTCATTATTAAACAGTTTTAGTTATTAATTGCTTTGTTTTATAAACGATGTATTGATCTCTTAATAAAATTATATTTAACTGTTCATTAATACTAATCTAAGTATACGTTTGGCATGGGAAATCGTTTAAATTTTAAAAACTAGATGACAACATTTTGCATTAATAATATGGGAGGAAATTATTTAGCCATTCCAGTAATTCCAATTTTATAGTTTTTATTTTTAAAAACATTTTTTTACGTTATTTTACAATATTATAAGATTACCAAATATTTTAATTTTTTTTCTATTTTCCAGAGTGCTATCAACTTTTGAAACTAAAATGGGAATGTATATATTTAGTTATCTTTTTGAAAGTATAATTATTTGCTGAAAATGTTGACTGGTTGATAACCAGTTTTGGATAATTACTTTAAATGTATTAAAGTTTAAAACTTAGGACGATAGGTGGAGTGCGGTCGAGTCCCCCTGAAGATTTCTCCCGTCCTAAATTTCAAACTTATTAATTTTAAATGTAATTATCCAAAGGTGGTCATAGAGAGAGAGAAAGTAAATCGTAGAGCCAAATTTTCAATAAAACTTAATATTAAGCTATGATTTGTAAAGTCGTTTATTATTATTATAACAGAGAGGTATTTGTTTTTAAATATAACTACAGGTCTTTATACAAATTTTATACAAATTTTAACTGTCGAAACCTTCAATTTTTGACTTATCGAAAAAATGAAACGGCTTATTTGGGGGTCCCCCGATGTCGAATCACCTATTACTTACCTTTCATGCTGAAACACCCTTTATAACTTAACTAATATGATCGTATTAAAATTTTTTTTTTAAATTAAATATTTTAATTATAGTTATAAATGATAGTAGTAAGGCTGACTATACTATATTTATTTGCATAAATCAGAAAACATTCGATAAAAAAAGGTTAAACACTGATTTCTTTTGAATGTCAAAAGTTACATCTGAAGTACATATGTCACTACCTATTTTTAATGTTACTTTTTATGTAATTGTTGACCTTTAGTCACGTGTATATAGAACATATAACATTTGAAATATGTCATTTACATCAAAATATAACTGCGTACCGTGTGTCACACTGTGCATACTGTGATGATATTGAATGTATTTTATAACGGCTGTGCATAATGTCAGCATTTAAAGGTTATGTCTATTATAAAATTCAATATTTCTTCTATGTTTCACTTATTAAATTGTACAAAACATTTTTTATATGAGAAAAGTGAGACAAAAATAAATTTTAACCTAACTGAGCCCCCTTTATATTTGTAACGTACAAGTAATGCGCAACTGTATGTAACTTTCTCGAAATACAATAATAACATAATAGTACCATAACCTCAAAAAAAAAACCAATCATTTAAAGGGATGCTACCCGCACGTTATTTATAGTGTAAAACAGGGTTTGCGAAAATCAATACTGTAGATGCTAGAATATTACTAGAATCAATAAATTTTCATAGAAAACTATTTTTCGTGGACATTTTTTGATAGATTGAATGTTTTTTTCTGTTAACGTTGAAAGTTGTTTTTTTAGTATTTTTCAATAATTGGATAAAAATAAAAGGATTCAATCATCGAAAATTAAAAAAAGCTTAAGTACAGATAATGCTCCCATTTAGTTACTGTGGAAATTTAGTGATCTGAAATTTATTCCTAAATACTTTGGTTTTGATCACCATAAATCTATTTTGATGGAAAATAATTGGATTTTTTTTGTTTTAGGAATGACTGAAAGTCTGACAAAAAATAATATAACAACTAATAAAGAATTCTTATCACTGTATTAATAAGTATACGCTATAGTAGTTGAAGCTCTAAAAAATTGCCTATACCTTATTCCTTAATAAATATGTGAGTAGTGTGTGCTCTTAACCATATGTTATGTGGTTAGATTTATGAGTTAAAGACATTAGTTATTAAATATTCACATCAGTAGGTATGATGGTATTTTAAAAGAAATGCATTTTGAAAAAAGTTATGTTTTGTAAACATGTGATAAAACGGTTACCTTTTTTGCACTCTTTTAGTAGATCATAAATAAATAGTACATTTATCCCTTAAAATATGATAAAAATAACAATAAACTTTTTATGATCCATACCTTATCATATTTTAACTTAGTATTCAGTTTTTTCTTTTAGTATATTTCAATACAAACTGAATATTTCTTATACGTTCTACAATAAAGTATTTTTCAATGTATCTATTATTCAAATATATTTAAGTGCAATAAACATAAATTTATTATTTTTACGTTTATTTGTGATCATTGTTTGAAAGCGCTTTATACAATAAAGAAGATGAATTGAGTTACTTAGCATAGAATTTTGCAGCTCATTTACAGTGCACACCTTACCTAATTTATTCTTTGCGATTCTGTTAAGCATTTCTAAAGAATAAATTATTCGCGGTTAGCAGTCCTCCCTTTCGCTAACAATTTTCCCTAATTAGTGGGTAATTAAGCACGGATTGAGTTTCCAGGAACAATCAGATTTATACAACGCATAGTTTTTATTTGTTACAGCTGTATTCTATGGTCAGTTATATTAAGATATAATAATTCAAAATATGATATTATTAGTCGATTATTTATTATTAAATAAATATAGACACTTTCGACGTAGAAATATACTGTAAATTGCACTTGATATAGCTAAAATATGAAATCATCATATATTGTTTTTATAAAATATATCTATATTTATTTTTACTTCGTAGTCATGTAGTAATAATGATTTCAATTGCATTAACTTTTAGAAACTAATGGAACTATATCTGTTTAACGTCTAATCTTTCTGTAATTTGTATTACGTCTACTCGTATTTTACTTTTTTCCATTTCGAATACATAGTTACAATCCAAAATTCTATTACCAAGTTACTACAAAAACGCTTTCGCCCCTTTATTTTTAGGTTTAAAAACTTAACTTATTTTTATTATTTTTATATTATAAAGCTCTTAAATTTTAATTTGTAGAGTTTTATAAAGTTTAAAGTAAAAACTTAAAGTTTCCGTTATTTTTACATTTATATTCTACAAATAAAAGATAAGTACGATTATTTAGTTTAATGAAATTAATTAAAACTTTTATACATTTTACCTAGGTTTTCTGTGTTAATTTAAAATGTATTTAAGGACACATAACACGCACATGATTTACCTACCTAATAGGCGTTGACGCAGGTACATTTTTTATGCATACCTGTGTGTGTTATTTGTTATTATAGTTTTTATTTGAATTCAAATTATCATTATTTTTTAGATTTGTATATTTTATTTAAACAAAATCGAATGTTCAGTGCTGTACGAATAATTTCTACCGCTGGACACTATTATGATCTTTAATTCAGACTTCAGAAAAAAGATAAATTTTTTTTAATGTTAATGTATAGGTCTAAATATGTACCCGGTACCTCGTTAATTAAACCTTAAATTAAAATGATATGATGATAATTTAGGCTCCACTCAATATATGTATTTATAAATTATTATATCGTAGGAAATTTAAATACTATACCTAATAAAATTATTATATAAATATCATAAAAAAA